TGCCAATTTGTCTGAGAACTTTTTGTTATTTTTCTCTAGAACGATCAGATTCTTAAGTGTTTTATTTATTGATTTAAAGGTTTATTATGTAACTTTTCTGGATAGGGAGGGGTCTTGTCACCTGCTCGTTGCCATGGAGAAGTCATTTCGCTCCGCTTGGAATGTTTCACAGTACGACATTAAACATCTTTACATTACGTTTCTTCAGTCCCAGGTGGTTTTATTGCTCAAAAACACCTGGAAAAACAGGCGTTGTGACGTGTGAACGGTGTCGCCTCTCCGCCGATCTGACCTGTAACTTTGTCCAGTTTGGTCTCCGTGAAGATGGGAGAGTTTAACGCGACACCGTGGAACATTTCAGACGAAGCAGTGACATCTCCGTGAAGAAAAGCATTCGACGGACGCTCCTGAGAGATTTTAGGTTTTGCATTTCTTCGCCACGCGGGTAGAACTGTTGATATTTCAGAAACAGGAGACTGAAAGGTTAAAATGTGAAAATCTAAACTGTGCAGAGGGTTCGGGGGGAGCGTTACATAAGGAGCCCTCATGGTTTTGTGGATGAGTAACATGAGGAGCTGTTCGTGTTGTGTAATGAGGAGCCTGTGTGGGCAGTTTGGTTCAGCGGCGTTTTAATGTTTCTGTTTAGAGTTTGGAGTAAAACGTGTTTTTATGTGGCACGTTTTCACTTGGAGCACAACACGACTGTGAATATGTACACAAAAAGCCCACACAAACAAGTGTAAATGTTTAAACGTATCCGGTGTTATTGTCGATGAAACTAAGAGAGAGAAAAAAAAAACAATAACAACAACAAAACTAAACATTGGGCCTTTATTATTCTCACTGAGATCATTTGTATTTTTAATTCGGAAGTTGTTGTCCATAAATAAATACACGAATGAATGATATGATATAATATAGTGAATAAATAAATACATAAAAACAAATAAATACATAAATAAATACATAAATCAATGTATGCTATAATAAAAAAATAAATGAAATAAAAAATACATAAATACATAAATCAATGTATGATATAATATAATAAAAAATACATAAATAAATACATAAATCAATGTATGATATAATATAATAAAAACATTTAATTTAATAAAAAATACACATAAATAAATAAATACATAAATGAATGATATAATAAAAATAAAATTAACATATTAAATAAATACATATTTTCATAAATAAATACAAAAATTTATCAATGAATAATATAATATAATATAATAAACAATATAATAAATTAATAATATAAAAATAAATACATACATGAATGAATGAATGATATAATAAAAATTAAATAAAAATATAAAATAAATAAATAAATACTTAATAAATACAAAAATGAATGAATGAATAATGTAATACAATAAACATAAAAAAGTTTTTAAAAAATACATAAGTAAATAATGCTTACATAAATAAATGAATGAATGAATGAATGATATAATATTAAAAAATTATTAAATAAAATAAAAAAAATAAAATAAATACAAAAATTAATCAATGAATAATATAATAAACAATAAAATAAATAAATATATAAAAATAAAATACAAAAATGAATGAATGAATAATGTAATATAATAAACATGAAAAAAGTTTTAAAAATACATATATAAATACATACTTGCATAAATGAATGAATGAATGATAAAAATAATATAAAAAATAAAAAAAAAATAAAAAAAATAATATAAAATAAATAAATAAATAAAATAAAAAATAAATACACACATAAATACATACATACAGTAGATTAATACATTTATAGATTTATTTTACTTTCTGGAATGTTCCGCCTTGAGGCATTAAACACACGTCTGTCTAACATTTATTTAAACACTGTTGATTTTCGTGCTAAAATGCCGTAGAAACCTTATATTTGACCTGTAACTTGACCTAGTGACGTCATCTGCTTGTCTCCATAGAAATTGACAAGTTTAAAGCCGTACTGTGGAACATTCCGGGCAATCCGTGGATGAAGACGAGCAGGTCTAGCAGAAAGAATTATACAGTGCTCCTTTAAATGTGTTTTATTAGAAGAAACAATCAAAACCTCAGGAGGATGTCTGTGTCAAAATGTTGATTAAAATAAAAAATAAGTGTTGTCTTTTTTAATCTGTGTGTCATTAGTTCATTTGTATTTCAATATAAAACCAAAAATAAGAAAACGAAAAAAACAACTATTTTCTTCATTATTTGTCTCCAAAACCAAAATGAAAAAAAAACAAAACAGATAACGATTCGCTTTTACAGTTTTCGATTTAGCGTTTAAACAAATAATGGGGAAAAAAAAAAAAACGAATAACGACCGTTTCCCGTTTACCTGACTGAACCAGGACTAAACCAGGACTAAACCAGGACTGAACCAGGACTGAACCAGGACTGAACCAGGACTAAGCCAGGACTAAACCAGGACTAAACCAGGACTGAACCAGGACTGAACCAGGACTAAACCAGGACTACTAAACCAGGACTAAACCAGGACTGAACCAGGACTGAACCAGGACTGAACCAGGACTAAACCAGGACTGAACCAGGACTGAACCAGGACTAAACCAGGACTGAACCAGGACTGAACCAGGACTGAACCAGGACTGAACCAGGACTGAACCAGGACTGAACCAGGACTAACCAGGACTAAACCAGGACTGAACCAGGACTGAACCAGGACTGAACCAGGACTGAACCAGGACTAAACCAGGACTGAACCAGGACTGAACCAGGACTGAACCAGGACTAAACCAGGACTGAAACCAGGACTGAACCAGGACTGAACCAGGACTAAACCAGGACTGAAACAGGACTGAAACAGGACTAAACCAGGACTGAAACAGGACTGAACCAGGACTACACCAGGACTAAACCGTTTTCAGTCCTGGTCTGGTCTTGGTCTGGTCTTGGTCTGGTCCCGGTCTCAGTCCCGGTCTCAGTCCCGGTCTGGTGACGGTCTCAGTCCCGGTCTCAGTAATGGTCTCTGTCCCGGTCTAGTCCCGGTCTGGGTCCGGTCTCAGTACCGGTCTGATCCTGGTCTCAGTCCCGGTCTGGTGCCGGTCTCCAGTCCCGGTCTGGTCTTGGTCTCAGTCCCGGTCTGGTGCCGGTCTCAGTCCCGGTCTGGTCTTTGGTCTCAGTCCTGGTCTCAGTCCCGGTCTGGTGCCGGTCTGGTGCTGGTGTCAGTCCTGATCTAGTTCTGGTCTGGTCCCAGACCTGGTTTAGTCCTGGTTTAGTCCTGATTTATTCCTGGTTTAGTCCTGGTTTAGTCCTGGTTTAGTCCTGGTTTAGTCTTGGTTTAGTCCTGGTTTAGTCCTGGTTCAGTCCTGGTTCAGTCCTGGTTTAGTCCTGTTTTAGTCCTGGTTCAGTCCTGGTTTAGTCCTGGTTTAGTCCTGGTTTAGTCCTGGTTTAGTCCTGGTTTAGTCCTGGTTTAGTCTGTTATCCATTTTTTTCCATTCTTCATTTAAACCCAAAATCGAAAACTTAAAAAAAACGAATCATTATCTGTTTTTTTCATTTTGGTTTTGGAGACAAATAACGAAGAAAATAGTCGTTTTTTTTTTTTTTTTTGTTTTCTCATTTTTAGTTTCATTTTGAAAAGCGAACGAACGAACGACACATGGATTTTTTTTTTGTCCGCAAAAAGTCAACAGCCCGGCGTTCACGTTCACCGTTTTCTCTGCCGTTGGCCGTTTTCAGACCGTAAAGGCAAAGAGCTGGCGGCGATGAAGGCCGACCTGCTCCGAGCCCGAGACATGAAGAGATACATCAACCAGCTGACGGTCGCCAAGAAACAGTGTGAGAAACGCATCCGTCTGCTGGGAGGCCCCAACTACGAGAACAGCGAAGAGGGAGGAGCAGAGGAGAGCGAGGAGCCCCAGAGCCAGAAGGTACAGGGCTGGACTGGACTGAGCTGGGCTGGACTGGGCTGGACTGAGCTGGACTGGACTGAGCTGGACTGGGCTGGACTGGACTGGACTGGACTGGGCTGGACTGGACTGGAGCTGGACTGGACTGGCTGGACTGGGCTGGACTGGACTGGGCTGGACTTGCCTGGACTGGACTGGGCTGGACTGGACTGGACTGGGTTGGACTGGACTTGCCTGGACTGGACTGGGCTGGACTGGGCTGGACCGGGAGCGGCGTTGTCACCATACGAACATTTCAATTCCAAAAAAATAGACCCAATCAGTGATGTGGTGGAGATTTTTTAAGTGGGGGTACGTGATCTGTGACGTCATCGATAACCAGGTCTAAACCAGGACTGAACCAGGACTAAACCAGGACTGAACCAGGACTGAACCAGGAACCAGGAAACCAGGACTAAACCAGGACTAAACCAGGACTAAACCAGGGACTAAACCAGGACTGAACCAGGAACCACTAAACTAAACCAGGACTGAACCAGGTCTCTAAACCAGGACTGAACCAGGAACCAACCAGGTCTGAACCAGGAACTGAACCAGGTCTAAACCAGGTCTAAACCAGGGACTAAACCAGGTCTAAACCAGGACTAACCAGGACTAAAGGACTGAGAACTCCGAGAGTCCAGGCCGTGGAGCAGGGCCCGTCACCCAAGGTCTACATAGTTCCTGTACTAGTTTTATTATCGATTATTATCAGATTTTTTGATACTTTCGATGACTTTTACACTGGTCAGATATATAATAGAAGGCTTACAAAAACGATGCAGTAAATTACACTAAATAAGTGAAATAAAATAAATAAGGCAAGCTAAGACCAGATAAAGAAGGTTCAACCGATAAAAATGAGTCTTAAGAAGTGATTTAAAGGATGATGCTGATGGTGATGGAGCCGAGGAACCTGGACTGAAAAGGCTGAAAAGGAGGATCTAGTCGGCGTTAAAAGTTCTGAAATGTAACTCGGCGCAAGACCTAAAACGAGCTTTAAACGTGATCAGTAAAATAGTCAAGTCTGTTCTAAAAGACACGGTTTATTTATTGTGACAGAGACGGGGGATGACGTGAGATTTTAAATATTGTGATTTAATTGCACCTGCACAGGAGCCGATTGATTTTCCGCTCTGCTGTGGGGAGGCAGACAGGCTGCGGTAAATGTAAATGTTAAAGCTGGAGCGACTTAAAACACAGACCGCGGAGGCTCTGCAAAGGCTCGAGCGAAAGAGCTAAAACACCAAGAGTGGAAGCAGAAGTTTAGAACAACTAGATTGGGCATTCGATGAAATTTCTTAATTATTATTATCGATGAATCATTAATGTTTTTATATTAAAATGATCATCATTATTATTACTATCTGCACTAATCTGCATAAATAAATTCAACTTTACGACATATAAACCGTAACGACTCTAGAGCCACATCAGCTGTTTGACATTAATGTGTTTAATTCAGTTTTGTTCAAATCTCACAGAAACAAAACTTAAAGGTTGTATGGAGGATTTTTTTGTTTTGTTTCAAATTGTCATTGAGTGTGTCTACATGCACATCAATAACCCGGTTATGATCGGGTTTTTTGAGTATCCCAGTTTCTTCATGGTGCATGTATACGCAGTAACCCGGTTATGGCAGTGTCCCGGTTATTAGAAACCGAGTTACTGTAGCTGGTTTATTCCGATAGTAACCGGGATACTTGTGTCATGTAAACGCAGTATCCCGGTTACTGCAACATAAAGTTGAGTCGCATGCGTCCAAAAGACACTTTCCAGCCTCTCAACACAACAGTAGTGACATAAATAAATTGACCAACATAAATAAAGTGACCAACATAAATAAAGTGACCAAACGAGTGAAATGACTGTAAAATAAAGAGCTGTGCTAAACCTGCACTCGTGTGACCTGCACTCATGTGACGCTGAAAAGCTAAAACATGAAACTATCCTCCTATACTCTATACGCACGGAACACATTTACCATCATTAGCGCCTCTTCTGTCACAGAAATAACACACATAATCCACAGAGTCGTGTCATTTAGTCCAAAAGAAACTGATCGCATCAGCGGCACAAGCAGCGAGTTGTTTTTATCGCCGCTAACAGTTTATGCTAATTAGCCAAACGGTCTTAAGTTTCGTTTCTGTTAAAACGTAAAACAAATGTGATCAGAGCTGAATGAATTATCTGATCAAACGGGGCTGATGTGTCTATAGTGTTTATGGTTTATATGTTGTAAAGTTGAGTTTATTTATGCAGAAGATTTTAATGAAGAATCTGCGCAGTGGATTGTGGGAGATCTCGTAGCTCCATAGCTTCTTATGCTAAAGGAGCTCACGGTTTGTATTTTTCCTGGTTTATGAAATTGATTTAAGTTAATTTTTGCGCCTGCGCATTTGTAAGATTATGTCAAGAAACCGGGATACTCCATTTGATCATGTACACGCGGATATGAGTGTCCCGGTTTCTCAGTGCGCATGTAAACACAGTAACACCGAACACTGACAGAACCGGGATATGGCTAATAACCGGGTTATTGATGTGCATGTATACACACTCATTGAAAGTTTAAAATACCTATTACAGAGATGCAGCAGCCTTGGAATTATGATGACCAAAAAAAAAAAAAGAAAGAATGAAAATCCATCAACTGTGGACGTGTTGAGGCCAGGAGAAACATCAGCCAATAGAAAACGAGGCTGCCTCATTTTCTATTGGCTGTTAGGTTGTCAATCAAACTCCCTACGTTTCTAGTGTAACTGAGTCGTCGGCGCGCGGGGATTACGTGGTTTATGCAGCGGTTCTTAGAGGCTTTTCCAAACTGTCGCTTCCTCACGTTGTGCGACTGAAGCAGACGAAGGGGTTGTTCTGGTCCCGGTCTCAGTCCTTCGTCGGTCGCTAAAATATTTCTAGACGGGTCACTTCAACAGTAATTCTGAACACACACTGGCTGTAAACAAGTGTGATTTTTAGAGTAAAGAGGCGGGAGGAGGTGTTTCTACTGAGGGAGCTCTGGAGGAGGAAGGTGGTGTCACGCAGGCACAACATTTGGAAAAAGGACGGTTGCTGTATTTCACTTTCCTTAAAAAATCCTCTATACAACCTTTAAAACCACATCACTAATTTGCATAAACTAAGAGAAGATAAAACTCCAGCTCTTGTGTCACTGATGTGGTTCAGTTTCTGTTGGATTAAAAGACATGACTCAGGTGAATACAGGTCAGTGTGACCAGATTTGTGTTTGTCAAAACCAGGACAGCGTACGGGGGAGGGGCGGGGGGCCTCGTCATCCACATTGAGCGACTCTCACCTGGTAAAACTTTTTCCCACTGGACACAGAAACATATGTGCTGCTTTATCCACTGTGCACATGGACTCACACTTGTCCCAACGCAACGGAAAGTGTGGAATTTCTTGTACAAATCCTGGTTAAATCCACATTTGTGCTTCGGTTCGTTACAGACTGACCCACTGTTTGTGTCTCGCTCCTTCTGATGCAGAGACACATGTACACACCTGTTTGGTCACGACACACACAGCAACATACATTCAGTTTGTCGATTAAAATTAACATAATCGATGAAATTCTTGATGATCACTTATCAATTCATCGATCAATCATGCCCATCCCTAGTTATAACTAAATCAAAACAATAAAAACTGTTGTATTTATAATATTTGTACAAACCTTTTCAGGCTTTTCATCCAGTGTCAACTCCGGCTTCAGAGGTTCATTGACCAATAGTGACTAGTCGGTAGGATGTAACGATATCCAAGTCTCACGATACGATATCGTCACAGTATGAACCTCACGGTACGATATTTATTGCAATATGGTGGGGAGTAGGGCTGGGTATCATTAAGAAGTGGCCGATACGATACATACCTCGATAGAGTGCACTTTTGATTCGATATATATTTTCAAATCGATTCGAACAGTTCAGAAAAAACAGAAAAAGCATCGATCGCAGACCTCCCCACGACTACCCCCATTTTTTTATAAACGATAAAACAGTCTTCTTGGACAGACCATAGCCTTTGGAATATGAAAGGATCCCATTGTACATCCCCAGCAACACGGTTTGGTCAATACGATAATACCCGATATTAGAAACACTATTTTGGCCTCTTTACCACAAGTGAATCATCTCACGATAGAATCCAGGATTTCTCGATACACAGCCCAAAATGAATCATTCTTCCTTTCACATTTCCAACAAATCTGAAAATTCAGGCCAAAATCGACATAACTGAGTTATGCCAAACAAAACAAACAACAAAAACAAACACGATAATACGAACACAAACCACGAACAACATATCGATACATAGAACATACAAAATAAATACCAAACCAGGACACAACGTACCTCGATACACAGGCCACGATACGACAAACAAACTCAAACAAAAAACTCGACAATAAAACAAATCGATTCGACAGGCAAAAATAAAAATAAAGGCTAAATCATGGCTGTGATACTAAAAGTCTTTGTTAAACCACTTCTTCTTGTGCAAAGTTCATATGAAACAAACATTTTAATCCTCAAAACAGTCAAAATGTCAAATGTGTCGCATAAACGAGTTTCCTTTCACTCCACAAGCAACAAAACAGTATCACTGTAACAAAATAATTTAGTAAAACACACGTAAAAATACTCTTGGTGATATATCGATACAGCAGCCCACGATATCAATACTGTATCATCACATTAAACGATACGATATATTGATATTCCGATTATTTTTGCACAAACCTAGTGGGGAGGCTCACGATATTACGATATTCTACATAATAACAAGACTGACATAATAAAATGTTTTGACCATCATTTGGTAAAACATTTATTGTCATTTTCACATCAGTGACATTTTGAACAGATTGAAAAGCTTTTGAAGTAGAAGTGCAAAATTCAAGTCACAAATAAACAACTGTACACAAGGAGCGAGCTGGTCTTTTCAGCGTCATGTGGCTTTAAGTTTTTTTTTTTTCTGTAAAACGTAAACAAATGTGCACAAATCTGCATTAAAAACATTATTACGCAATGTATATCTGAATCCTCCTCGTAGGAAATAAAAAAAAACAAACTTAAATACGATGGCATTTTATATTTCGGCTCCAGTTTAGTCACGAACTTTTTAAACCCGACGCCGTCACCGTGGAAAATGGATCAGATCTCTTGCTTCATGTTCTGTGATGTGTTTGGTTATTTCTTGAGCTGTCGTGAGTGTAATTGCTTCACGTACAGTTTTTTGTCCCGACTTGATTTTCTGAACACATTCTTGAACATTTTCGGCATGTAGGTTTATCACGTGACTTTTAAAATTTTAATCTTCATGATTATTTATGTTTTGATTTGTTTTTATTATGATTTTAATGTATTTCTTATTCTGTAAAGCACTTTGAATTACTTTGTGTACGAATTGTGCTGTACAAATAAACTTGCCTTGCCTACGTTTTGCCCTGTCCCAATCCAGAATAATATGTCCTTTTTCATCCGTGTTTTCTCTAACTCCAGTGTTTTCCGTGTCTCTGTTCAGATCCTGCAGTTGGAGGACATCCTGTGTAACGCGGGCTACAGGGAGCACTTCAGAGTTTATATGGAGCGAGTGGATAAGAGAGCACTCATCAGCTTCTGGGAGCTCGTAGAGACGCTCAAAACAGCAAACAAGGTCATCATCAAAGCACCTATGACATGTACCAGAGTAATCAGAGTACAAATGATGAGTAACTGTATTCAGTTACAGTTACTGTTTCACTGAGTGGGAATTGGATTACAGTTACTTTGTTGAAGTAAATGGATTACACAGAGGGATTTTACTGTTTTTACATTTTGGGCTAAATCTCTTCTTTTTTTCTTTTTTTTTCTTTTTTTTTACCAAGTCTAAACCAGGACAAATTCAGGATTGAACCAGGACTGAACCCAGGTCTATTCTAGATCTAAACCAGGACTAAACCAGAATTAAAACCAGGTCTAAACTAGATCTAAACCAGGTCTAAACTAGATCTAAACTAGGTCTAAAACCAGGTCTAAAACCAGGTCTAAACCAGGTCTAAACTAAACCAAACCAGGATCTAAAACCAGGTCTAAACTAGATCTAAACCAGGTCTGAAACCAGGTCTAAACTAGATCTAAACCAGGTCTAAACCAGGTCTAAACCAGGACTAAAAACAGGACTAACCACTAAACAGGACTAAAACCAGGTCTAAACTAGATCTAAACCAGGTCTAAACCAGGTCTAAAACTAGACTAAACCAGGTCTAAAACCAGGTCTAAACCAGTCTAAACCAGTCTAAAACCAGGTCTAAACCAGGAGGTCTAAAACCAGGTCTAAACCAGGTCTAAAACCAGGACTAAAACCAGGTCTAAACTAGATCTAAACCAGGTCTAAACCAGGACTAAACCAGGTCTAAACCAGGTCTTAAACCAGGTCTAAACTAGATCTAAACCAGGACTAAAACCAGGTCTAAACTAGATCTAAACCAGGTCTAAACCAGGACTAAACCAGGACTAAAACCAGGTCTAAAACTAGATCTAAAACCAGGTCTAAACTAGATCTAAACCAGGTCTAAACCAGGACTAAAACCAGGTCTAAACAAGATCTAAAAACCAGGTCTAAACCAGGACTAAAACCAGGTCTAAACTAGATCTAAACCAGGTCTAAACCAGGTCTAAACTAGATCTAAACCAGTCTAAACAGATCTAAAGGTCTAAACCAGGTCTAAACCAGGTCTAAACCAGGTCTAAAACCAGGTCTAAACCAGGTCTAAACCAGGTCTAAACCAGATCTAAACCAGGACTAAAACAGGATTTAACAGGACTAAATCCTGCTGTGTGGACGTGTTTCTTCTTCTTCTATCAATAATATTTTTAATTTGGTTCAGTAAAGTTTGGACTTTTTATTTTCTTTTATCAGACAAAACTTCTTATGTGAAGATTTCCTCGTCTTTGTTTCTCTACAGCAAATCAAGTAATCCAAAGTAATCAGATTACATTACTCACTTTAAGTAATTTATGGGTTATGTTACAAACTACATTTTGGTGTGTGTAATCTGTAATCTGTAGGGGAATATGTTTTAAAAGTCACTGTTAGTTTATCTAAAATAAAACAAGAAGAAAGACAAGAGATTAATTCAGTTTTACTCGCGAGGAGAACGGGCAGAAGTGGGCATCAAAACCAACAGTCTCCACACGTTCTGATGTCAAGGCCGTTCTCCTCCTTTTATTTCATTAGGAGGAACTAGTTACAGAATGATAATTCTCAAGGGGAAGGGGAAACCAGCAAAGACATCATAAGAAACTGATGCAGCTAGCATAGTACAAACACATAAAACATGATTAACAATCAGGAGGTGCCTTAGGTCAGACACCATCATTACTCTTGCATGTGTGACAGTGGGAGTTGGCTTCATGTGAGGAATCATCTCAGGTTCACTAGAGCGACAGGACACTGCACACAGTGTCAAACACACAGAGGTTATTCAACAAGTCAAGTGATTGTACATTATAAATCAAAGAATTGTAGTACATAAATGGTTAACTTAGGCACAGAATATCACACAAGTATTTGCAAATATGGGATAATAAATTATTCTGACTGTCACCTTCCCGATCCTGTCGTTGCATTGACACGTTCTTCTTCTGCAGAGTGAAGTGCCGCAGATCGTGGGAGAGATCTATCAGAAGTTCTTTGTGGAGAGCAGAGAGATCCCAGTGGAGAAGGTTCTTCTGAAGGAGATCCAGCAGAGTCTGGTGGGAAACAGAGGGACACAGGTGTTCACCAGGATCCAGGAACAGGTCAGGAGACACAACACAAACCTGATATTTAGGTCAAGACAGTTTTGATAGATTTTTTTTTTCATTTGTATTTTAAGTTTACCCAACAGAAAAAAATAAAAATAAAATCACTCACATATCCAATCCAATCCACTTTTATGTCTATAGCACATTTCACAAACAAACTGTTTCCAAAGTGCTGCACAAATACATAAAAATAACAACAATAAGATGATAAAATAAACTACTAAAATAATACTAGTCTTAAAATAATAAAACCAGTAAAATAAAATAAAACCAGTAAAAATAAAAATAAAAACAAAATCATAGAATAGAAATAAATAAACCAATAAATAAACTACTAAAATAATACTAGTCTCAAAATAATAAAACCAGTAAAATAAAATAAAACCAGTAAAAATAAAAATAAAAACAAAATCATAGAATAGAAATAAATAAACCAATAAATAAATTAAATCAGTAAAACCAATAAAAACACATAAAAATAAATAAAAGACACAGAGGACCACACAACTCACGCGGTGTTAAAAGCCAGAGAATAAAAGTGGGTCATATAAAAACAGAAAAGGACATTTCTCAAAAAGCAACAGGAAGAAGAAAACGTGTCTTAAAGGTTGTATAGAGGATTTTCCAAGGAACGAGAAATCCAGCGACTGTTTGTCCTTTTTCAAATGTTGCGCATGTGTGAAACCACCTCCCCTCCCCACAGCTCCTACGTAGAAACACCTCCTCCTCCTCCTCCTTACGCCACAAACAGGTTTGTTTACAGCCACTGCACATGACTTGTAAACAACTAACTACAGTGTTGGTTAAGCAAGACGGAGAAGTGAGGAGAGGAGGAGAGGAGAGGAGAGAGAGAGAGGAGAGGAGGAGAGGAGAGAGGAAGAGAGGAAGAGAGGAGAGAGGAGAGAGGAGAGAGGAGAGAGGAGAGAGGAGAGAGGAGAGAGGAGAGAGGGAGAGAGGAGAGAGGAGAGAGGAGAGAGGAGAGAGGAGAGAGGAGAGGTGTGCGGAGATTCAGTGCCCGGAGAAGTGAGGAGCAGGGGGAAGAGTGGATCGGGCAGCGGGACAGGAGCAGGAAAGGGTGCAGAGAAGGTTGCGCGGAGATTCAGTGCGCAAATGAACTAGCTACAACACGCAGCAGCAAGTGGACTCTTTCTTTGCCTTGAAAATGACGTTTTCAGACATAGGATATCGCTTTCGTGTCCTGAAAAACGTTTGTCTAGCTCTTGGAAATAAAGTACGTTTTCATAATAAGCAGAAGTTTCCTGTCCAGGAGTAATTTGTGGACCAGTGCGTCAGTCTTTAGACTCTTCGTCTGCTTCAGTTGCGCCATCGCTGGAATGAATCTCCAAGAATCACCTTAGTTTGGCTTCGCTGCTTTTCCCCTTGTCTTCTTCTTTCAGCGACCTCAAAAACGGACTTTCTTTTGCGGTGAACTGCTCCTGGATTCTTGTCTGTCATTGCAACAAACTTTGTGCAAACTGTGAGGAAGATATAGGTCAAAAAAAGAACTGTTGTGTTGGTGGAGTAAACAGCGTCTGTGCGTCTTGCGTCTGTGGACTGCGTGACAGTCGTACGTAAACCACGTACCGGCGGCGCAGGCAAGTCAGTTACACTAGAAACGTAGGGAGTTTGATTGACAGCCTGTCAGCTCACAGATAACGAGGCAGTGTCGTTATCTATTGGCAAATGTTTAGCCCCACCACGTCCAGAGTTGATGAATTTTTATTCTCTTTTTTTTGGTCATCATAATTACAAGGCTCCTGCATCTATAATCTATCACTGACAACTTGAAACAAAAAAAAATCCTCCATACAACCTTTAACCCACCCCTGTTCATTACATTGTCACAAAACATACATAATATTACATCATATTTACATATAGCAAAACAAATTGCACACTGTACACACTAAATGTGTTGTAGACGTGGCAATTTTAACCCATTTTCTTCCTTTCACGACAATGGCAAAGGTATAAGTTACAAGAAATATATGCAAATATATGCAAATCAGCTGAGGGCGTGGCCAGGTGGAGTCGAGCCAGAGGAGCAGCCCTGGGTGTAGGAGGCGGGTCTCGTTTATATGCGGGTGGATGAAGTGGGTCCTCGTTAGGGGTGTAACCGTACAGAAACATCACTGTTCCGTACGTACCTCCGTTTTGAGGTCATGGATCGGTTCATTTTCGGTACAAAACCAACAATTTGCTTGTTTTTTATTTGTGTGTTTATCAAACCAACAATTTGTTTTAACTTTTTACAAACGGGAAAATGAAATAAATGCAAAGTGCTGCTTGGCAATACTAGTAAATTAAATAAAATATTCTCAAATAAGCAACAATATGTATGAAATATTATAAAAAATGAATTCCTTGTAAATGGTAAACAAAACTTTGCAAAAAGTAAAGTGCAGCACAAACAGTTCCAGCTTCAAGTTTTACTCAGTCTAGCGGTGGACGTGGAGAGTCCGTGTTGGTGAAAGGCGAAAGTGAGGATCACGGCGCAATGACCGTAGTTTTGTGAGGATTCACTTGGTTTGGAGGAACGTAGTCAAGGCAAGGTGCATTTGTTGTGAAGGCGGCCGTCCTAACTAGGGATGGGCATGATTAGTCGATTAATCGATAATTGATCATTAAGAATTTCATCGATTACGTTAATTTTAATCGACAAACTGAATGTATGTTGCTGTGTGTGTCGTGACCAAACAGGTGTGTACATGTGTCTCTGCATCAGAAGGAGCGAGACACAAACAGTGGGTCAGTCTGTAACGAACCGAAGCACAAATGTGGATTTAACGATGATTTGTAGAAGAAATTCCACACTTTCCGTTGCGTTGGGACAAGTGTGAGTCCATGTGCACAGTGGATAAAGCAGCACATATGTTTCTGTGTCCAGTGGGAAAAAGTTTTACCAGGTGAGAGTCGCTCAATGTGGATGACGAGGCCCCGCCCCCCTCCCCCCGTACGCTGTCCTGGTTTTGACAAACACAAATCTGGTCACACTGACCTGTATTCACCTGAGTCATGTCTTTTAATCCAACAGAAACTGAACCACATCAGCGACACAAGAGCTGGAGTTTTATCTTCACTTAGTTTATGTAAATTAGTGATGTGGTTTTAAGTTTTGTTTCTGTGAGATTTGAACAAAACTGAATTAAACACATTATAATGTCAAACAGCTGATGTGGCTCTAGAGTCGTTACGGTTTATATGTCGTAAAGTTGAATTTATTTATGCAGATTAGTAGTGCAGATAGTAATAATAATGATGATCATTTTAATATCAAAACGTTAATGATTCATTGATAATCGATCGTTAATTCTTCCGACGATCGATTAAAAAAATTTCATCAAATGTCCATCCCTAGTTCTAACTATAGGAAACACTGCCCCAATCATGGACGAGTTCCTTCGTGAATATTAAAGCGTCGAGCCTCCGTGTAGCTGCACATGTAATGGCGGAATGTAAACACACACTATTTGCGTAAACTCACTCGTGCACAGACCTGCACCAAACTGAAAATAGAACAATAATTAATACAAACACGGCACACAAAGGGACATGGCAGTATTTTATCTGTATTCTTTTTTTTTTTTTTTTACTTGCGTCACCCAGCGCTGCCACTCACCCGTAAACACAAAAGCAAAAGCTTTTGTTTGGGCACTGCTTTGGTTAAAAAGAACAACGAGGGTCTGTGAACAAGTCGGGAGATAAAGACGACTATTAAACACAACACAAGCCTGATGTACGAGTCAGGAGGGTTCAAAACTCTCACACATTACACTACATTTCACACATACATGACATTATTCACCAGAGCAGGTTATAGTTATACTGAACTATTTAACAGAACATAAACCAGATATTTAGGTCAGGAGAGTTCAGACTTATAGAACCGCGTTTATTATCTAACATTAGGGCATGATTAAGCAGTTACTGATACGATATACACCTACTAGTGATGGGCATTCGATGAAATTTTCTTAATCGATCGTCGGAAGAATTAACGATCGATTATCGATTAATCATTAACGTTTTGATATTAAAATGATCATCATTATTATTACTATCTGCACTAATCTGCATAAATAAATTCAACTTTACGACATATAAACCGTAACGACTCTAGATCCACATCAGCTGTTTGACATTATAATGTGTTTAATTCAGTTTTGTTCAAATCTCACAGAAACAAAACTTAAAACCACATCACTAATTTACATAAACTAAGAGAAGATAAAACTCCAGCTCTTGTGTCGCTGATGTGGTTCAATTTCTGTTGGATTAAAAGACATGACTCAGGTGAATACAGGTCAGTGTGACCAGATTTGTGTTTGTCAAAACCAGGACAGCGTACGGGGGGAGGGGGGCGGGGCCTCGTCATCCACATTGAGCGACTCTCACCTGGTAAAACTTTTTCCCACTGGACACAGAAACATATGTGCTGCTTTATACACTGTGCACATGGACTCACACTTGTCCCAACGCAACGGAAAGTGTGGAATTTCTTGTACAAATCCTGGTTAAATCCACATTTGTGCTTCGGTTCGTTACAGACTGACCCACTGTTTGTGTCTCGCTCCTTCTGATGCAGAGACACATGTACACACCTGTTTGGTCACGACACACACAGCAACATACATTCAGTTTGTCGATTAAAATGAACGTAATCGATGAAATTCTTAATGATCAATTATCGATTAATCGATTAATCATGCCCATCCTTAATACCTACATACAGTGCACTTTCAGTTTGTACGATATATTTCAAACTGATTCGACGCGGTTTGATAAAAAATAAAGGTTAAATCATGGCTGCGATGCTAAAAGTCTTTGTTAAATCACTAAATCACTGTGCAAAGTTCATATGAAACACAAACATTTAAATCATCAAAACAGTGAAAATAAACTTGTTTTCTTCCACTAAACAAGCAACAATATATATATCGATACAGCAATGATACAACGATATGATTTCACACGGCTGTCTACCGTGGTCTGAGAACATGTCAGGAGGTAAAGACAACTATTAAACACAACAAAAAAACGTAGGTAAAGGAGTTCAAACGTAAAACATATAACACTAAAAGTACTATTAAAAATATAGTTCATTATAAGGGAGTTATATGGCAGTACACGACTTTAGTCAGAGAGAGAGAAAAAAAAAAGTACTATTTTGTTCAAAGTGCACATTTTAAACTAATACAAGACTCCCGTTCATTTCAGTATTAGAGGTAGTACAAGATTTCTGGGGCAGGATGTTATGTTCTTTCCCGAGGACAGTCAGGTCATTGCGGAAAATTGGGCCAACTCAAATTGCGATTTTGATTTGACTTCAGCATATTGTGCAACCCTCTCTAACCAACAAACTCTAACTTCATAATAACGGAACGAGGATGATTACGCAGAATATGGGCCTTGGACATATAAATAATCAACTGTATTGTCTAGTCTACCCAGTTTTTTTCACCTAACCCTAAAAAGTGGAATATTGTGCTGTGCTCGCCCCACACCACCAGCTCAAAGTCCTTGTTAGCTTAATCTATGTCCTCATCAGATATGTATAATACTCCCTACAATGGAAGCATAGCCAGACTGGACTAGGCTTGAAACCAACAGTGAAGAGAGGCATAAATTGACATTTACGGAAGCCCTGAGAGGCAAGAGAAAAAAAAAAAAAAGAGGCAGATCATTTGGGCTCTATTTTCTAAGTGTTTTTTTTTTTTCACCAACTCAAAAAAAAAAAAAAATCTACAAAAAAAAAAAAAAATTCTACAATTTTTTTTTTTCCTCTTGTGTTTTTTTTTTTTTTTTTTTTGCTGTTGATGTGGCTGACGAAAAAAACAAAAAACAACTCAGAGCCAAAGTGTTTTCCTGGTGTGTTATTATAAGTACCACACTTCAGTTCTGGCAAACTGCCTGAGATTTGTCTTATGGCGTTAGGTTCTGGGTTTGGACGTGGGAGGTCGGGGTTCGAAACTCACCTGGTCCGGGTTGTGCATTTTTATTCTAGCTGAATACAGTCTTTTCATGAGTTTTATGTTTTATGTTCTCTTTTATGAGTAATTTGAGAAGTAAGATCGATGAATCATTGATCCGCTGTCATTCTGTGAGAGCGAGAGTGGGATCACTGCTCCAGGCTGGAAGACTGAACGCCGCACTGCCTCTGGTTTTAGCGGGACTGAGGTGCGCTCTGACCCGAACAGACATGAAAGGACCAGGACTGAACCAGGACTGTTGGGAGGGGCCCGGAGCGTGCGTCCGTCGTAGACCGTTGGATGATCGCAGCGTCTCTCTCTCTCGCTAGCTCTCAAATCCCATCGTAACGAGAACGTGCAAAAGCAAAATGTCCTCTCCTGGGAAACACGGCCGCTCTACGTGTCAGGCGCACCTCAGTCCCACTAAAACCAGAGGCAGTGCGGCCACATCAACAGCAAAAAAAAAAAAAAAAAAAAAACACAAGAAAAAAAATAAAAAATTTGTAGAAATTTTTTTTTTTTTAGAAAAAAAAATTGATGAAAAAAATGTGTAGAAATTTTTTTTTTTTAGAGAAGATTTTTAAATTTTTTTTTTTGAGTTGATGAAAAAAAAAAAAAAACACTCAAATGACCTGCCTCTTTTTTTTTTTCTCTTGCCTCTCAGGGCTTCCGTATACATTTATTTGGGTAAAATACAGAAAAGCTCCTTAAGAACGACCAAAACACCAAGAAAATGTGACGGTACTGACTCACATGTCACGAATGGGCCGAGTGCAGAACAGTTTTCTTTAATTACGCACTGGTTACACAATTTTATCATTACCAACCTCTTCAAACCAAATCTCAGCTTTTGATTTTGAAATTCAAGTCACCCTATGTATTACCACATGACATCACAAGGTGGGACAGAGTGTTTTCTGTTTTGAGAGAAGAACTCAGCCTAAGTCTGCAGGGTTTGTGTGTTAAACATGTGTAAATGAATAAAAAACACAACTCCAGGTTTGTTTGTGACGAGGAAACGACATCAGAACATCAGATCAGAAAGTAGCATAATATGGGCCCTTTAAATTTATATTCATGTTTAGGCAGTGTTGTGGAGTAACAGATTACATGTACCGGAGTTACGTAATCAGAGTACAAATGATGAGTAACTGTATTCAGTTACAGTTACTGTTTCACTGAGTGGCAATTGGATTACAGTTACTTTGTTGAAATAAAATGGATTACACAGAGGGATTTTCCTATTTTCACATTTTGGGCTAAATCCCTCCAGTAATTTTACTCACTGCCGGACCTAAAACCCATCTAAAACCAGATCTAAAACCAGGTCTAAACCAGGATCTAAACCAGGTCCTAAATCAGGTCTAAACCAGGATTCTAAAACCAGGACAAAACCAGGTTCTAAACCAGGTCTAAACCAGGTCTAAAACCAGGTCTAAACCTAAACCAGGTCTAAATCAGGTCTAAAACCAGGTCTAAACCAGGTCTAAAACCAGGTCTAAAACCAGGTCTAAATCAGGTCTAAACCAGGTCTAAAACAGGTCCAGGTCTAAAACCAGGTCTAAAACCAGGTCTAAACCAGTCTAAAACCAGGTCTAAACCAGGTCTAAAATAAACCAGGTCTAAACCAGGATTTAACAGGACAAAACCAGGTCTAAAACCAGGTCTAAAACCAGGTCTAAAACCAGGTCTAAAACCAGGTCTAAAACCAGGTCTAAAACCAGGTCTAAACCAGGTCTAAACCAGGTCTAAACCAGGTCTAAAACCAGGTCTAAAACCAGGTCTAAACCAGGAGGTCTAAAACCAGGTCTAAACCAGGAAACCATTCTAAAACAGGGTCAAAACCAGGTCTAAACCAGGTCTAAACCAGGTCTAAACCAGGTCTAAAACCAGGTCTAAACCAGGTCTAAACCAGGTCTAAACCAACCAGGTCTAAACCAGGTCTAAACCAGGTCTAAACCAGGATTTAACAGGACAAAACCATGCCGCGCGGCCCTTGTCTCCTCGTCTTCTATAAATAATATTTTTTAATTTGGTTCAGTAAAGTCTGGGCTTTTTATTTTCTTTTATCAGACAAAACTTCTTATGTGAAGATTTCCTCGTCTTTGTTTCTCTACAGAAAATCAAGTAATCCAAAGTATTCAGATTACATTACTCACCTCAAGTAATTTACTGGATTACGTTACAAACTACATTTCTGGTGTGTGTAATCTGTAATCTGTAGGGGAATATGTTTTAAAAGTAACCTTCCCTACACTGTGTTTAGGTGACGGAGACGATGAGAGAGCGGTACTACCCTTCGTTCCTCGTGTCGGATCTTTACGACAAACTGATTCGAAGAGACGACCAACACAACCAGAGCCAGTGCAGCGCCGAGGAGAAGGAGGAGGAGGTAACGCACTTGGAGCTGCTGTGCGACGTGATGTCAGCTGTTGTAGAATAATAGAGCTTTTTCACGACGGCCGGAAGTGCAGCTCTGTACATTTGCGGAGCTTCCAGTTAATGGTTTTCTGTGGTGAAATGTGAGTATACATGTCTGGCGTATTCTCTACCAGCTTCATAAATTTGCCTCATCACCAAATCTTAAACTAACGAGATTCACACAGGATAAACATTTTTCCATGAAGAATTTATCCAAACCCAAATTAATTATGGATTTGATAACTTGGTCACTCAATGCAACTGACACGATTTTATTAATTTTAATTAATTAATTTTATTTATAAAGCTACGTTTATATGATGACGGTCTGAACAGAAGATGCATCTTCACTTTTTATTCCATATTTTGACGAGCGTTTTCAGGAGGAAATCTGCTTGAATACGGTGTGGAATTTGATTGAGTATACATGGCAGGCGGCTACGTGGTGACGCTTAGTGGTGGTGTGCATGACATAAACGTACTCGACGTGAGCAGATCTGACCAGAGTTTTGCGTCTTGGGCAGTGTAGACGAAAACGCTACGGCGGAGTGTATTCAACTTTTCCACTCTGGAGGATGCTTTCAGATTTTTGTGTTTTTTGAATCCCGAAAACGCCGTTATCATTTAAACGAAAGGCACTTCTGATAAAAATGTTTTGTTGTTTTTATCCACAAGTGTTCTCGCGTAAACAGGCCCTCAGTCGCAGGAAACACTCAAACCGTGAAAAAAAGTGCGACTCATAGTCCGAAAAATACGGTAAGTAGACTAGAATTAAACTTAAAAATCGATTTCATGATGTGGATATTAGCATAGATTGATTTCTGCAGTTCGAATGCGAGACGTCTCTAGGACCGTAACGTTAGTTTTGCTCAGTAGTTCACTAATGCATCGTTGTTGTTCTCCTTTAAGTTTTCGTCTTTCTTCTCTTGATAGTTGTGGATAAATTCTTCATGTTAGAATGTTTATCCTATGTGGACCTCGTTGGTTGAAGATTTGGTGATGGGGCAGATTTACGACGCTGGTGGAGGAAACGCCAGACATTTACACAAACATTTTACCACAGAAAACCATTAACTCGAAGTTCTGCAAACCTACGCTGGGACACTTCCGGCTGTTGTGAAAAAAAGGTTTATTGAAGTATTATTGAAGAGTTTAAACCAGGGGTGTCAAACATACGGCCCAGGGGCCAGATCCGGCCCTCCAAGACCTTTAATCTGGCCCTCGGCTGATTTTCTACTAAAATATTTTAATTTTATTTTAAAACCTGAAGACAGAATTTGCAATCTTTCGCACACCCTTCACAGTCAAAACCTCTGATGTGCTCGCAGACGTGCAACTAGAAATAACAGATTTACAGTTACTACCTTTGTGAGCAGGTTTTGTCAATAATGAACATTAATAAAACAAAGCTGCGCTCAGAGATAAAACACACAAGCACTTGAATGACGTTCTGAAGATCTCAGCCACTCAGGACACGGTGCCTGATGTTGATGCACTTGCGCAGGCTAAAAGATGCCAAGTTTCAGGAGCAAAAAGAAAGCGTGACCGAATTCTATGAAATGCTCACGAGTTAATGTTCTGAATCAATCAATGTGACGGAAAAGTTACACAGTGCGCCTTTAAAGCTCACATGAGTCAACTTTACCTAATATATGACCTTTAAATGCTCCACTGAAGCACTCACTGCATTGATTATATTGTGTTGAAATTGTGTTTTTCTAAAAGTTTCAGGTTGTTCATAATATAATATTTTGTAAAAGAAAGATATGGAGTAAGAAAGCTGTCAAAAATATTCGTGCGCATAAAATAGAAATTCGTGCATATTTGGCTGTAGTTGCGCATAAAATAAATATTTGTAAACTCTCAAATGAGTCCAGTCGTACATAAAATATATTGTGTGTATTTTATCCATCAGAATACGAATTGAAAAATTACGACGTCATGAATTACAATCACGAAATGAAAATTTACGATTACGCTTTCATCAGTACGAATACGAATTCACAGACGGAATTTTACTGTCAAAAATACGTCATCACTTCACAGACATTATCCATCGAGCAGAAGAAACATCGATCAAGATCAAGACTGTGCAGCTCAAGTTTGTAGCAGAGGGTAAACACAGAGTGGCTGTAGCCGTGAATGTTTTAATCTAAACATACAGAGAACCTGATATTTGTTAATTAGCCCTGGGATAACGTTACGTCTGATGTTGCCAACTGGCTTCACTATGTTTTCTAACATATAGGTGCAATTTCCCATTCAAAGGAAGTGTTTCTACACAATATTACACAGCAGCGTTCGGTTCCTGAATTCAAGACATTTTTACAATAGATTTTAATGAACCCACTTGTTGGTCGATGTTGTAGCTTCTTGTGCTTTTACTCTGTTTTTACTCTGCTACAAACTTGAGCTGCACAGTCTTGATCTTGATCGATGTTTCTTCTGCTCGATGAATAATGTCTGTGAAGTGATGACGGATTTTTGACAGTAAAGTTCCGTCTGTGGATTCGTATTCGTACTGATGAAAGTGTAATCGTAAATTTTCATTTCGTGATTGTAATTCATGACGTCGTAATTTTTCAATTCGTATTCTGATGGATAAAATACACACAATATATTTTATGTACGACTGGACTCATTTGAGAGTTTACAAATATTTATTTTATGCGCAGCTACAGCCAAATATGCATGGATTTCCCAAATACGCACGGATTTCTATTTTACGCGCACGAATATTTTTGACAGCTTTCTTACTCCATAGAAAGAGTTCATCAATTAAAAAAAGATTTCTGTAATACATTTGCGTTTCTCTTCACAAATATTTGAAGCTATTTTTGGGGTTTATATACGATGAGTTTTCTGATCCGGCCCCTGGGGGTCAAAGTAGGTTGGATACGGCCCCCGGACCAAAATGAGTTTGACGCCCCTGGTTTAAACAGAGACATGACACTGGAGTTCTAACGCAGGAGAAGTTCATGGGGACGCTCCCAGCTCCTTTAACACTAAAAAAATGCTTGTATTAATCCTCTCTACACGGTTTTTCCCCACTGTAAATAAATTCTTGTTCCTAATATGGACCAGGCTCCAAATTCTCTCCTATAACTTCAGGCGTCGATGAGCTTCGTTTGACTGGAGCTGAACGCCGTGGGTCTTTACACGCTCTCAAGGTCTCAAATCAAGTTTAACTCCAGGCAAAAACACTTGATGGAAAGTGCACACGGAGGCCTCAGATCTGTAGCAGCTGTGGTCCTAAAATAGAAACGGTCCCAGAGGACACTCGTCAGCCCGGCCGTAATGAAGAAATGGATTTTTCTCGTTTTAACAGGAAACATCTGGAACATTTCTCGGCAGACTGTACATGGTTTTAATGGTGGTTTCGGCCGTAATCTCCTGAAGCCCATTGTTTTGTTTTTTTACGCACGAATAAAACCTCACGATCTTTTGAGCTTTAACTGTACGTGACTTATGAGCAACTGAAGGAAATCCGTATCTGTAAAGTAAAGGCCTCGTAATGCGTTTTTATTTTTATTCATTTTCACCTTATTCCTGAAGTTTCCGCCGGCGCCACTGGGGTTGTGTTATTTTGCACGGGGCTGCAGATCTTTACAGAAAATAAATTCTATTCATACTTTGCAGTTAAATAACTCTGGGGATTTACACAAAACCAGTGATTTGTCCCAGTTTTATATAAGAAATGCCCCAGGTGTCCCTATTCTGAACACTTTGATCCAGACCAACAGTAAAGAGGAGAATATATTGTCATTTGTTTAGGTAAAATACAGAAAACTGAGCTTGAAAATGACCATAAGAAAAAAAATAAATAAATAAATCACCGTCAGAAGTCCCTCAGAGTTTGATTGACCCACGAAGTAAGTTATGAATGGACAATTATTTTATTTATATCACCTAGGGCTCGGTGTCATAAAGAAGTTGCCGATACGATACATACCTCGATACAGTGAGCTTTTGATTCGATACGATTATATTTCAATTCGATTCGATACGGTTCAATAAAAAATAAAGCCTAAATCGTGGGTGTGACACTAAAAGTCTTTGTTAAACCACTTCTTGTACAAAGTTCATATGAAACACAAACATTTTACTCATTAAAACAGTGAAAATGTCAAATGTGTCGCATATACGAGTTTCCTTTCTCTAAACAAGCAACAAAACTGTGGCACTGTAACAAAATAATTTAGTTAAATATACCAAAAAAAATCCTCTTGGCGATATATCGATACAGCAGCCCACGATATCGATACTGTATCATTACATTAAACGATACGATATATCGATATTTCAATATAGGTTCTAGATATATATGTATATGGTGGAATGTTCAGCAGTTACCATGGTGATATAATGTACACAAGTCTCGTAGTACTTGAGACCGGCCTCAAGACCTTTTTTTTATTTATTTATTTTTTTTTTACGGTCTTGGTCTTGTCTCGGACTGGACCGCGTTTGGACTCTGTCTTATCTCGGTCTTGAAGGTGCTTGGACTCGGTCTCGTCTCTGACTCGAGGTCTTCTTACCGGGACATGTTGCTGAAGTTTGCCAAATAACCTTTGACCCTGTTTCTCATCACAGTGTCCCGGTCTGGACCCCAGGGAGGAGGTGGGCGACGAGGGCAGCAAAGGCATCAACGAGCAGGCCAGCTACGCAGCGACCAAACTCCGCCAGCTCTACGACAAACTGGAATACAAGAGACAAGCGCTGGGGTCCATCCAGAACGCTCCCAAGCCAGACAAGAAGGTACGTGAAACAAACGCTCCCGAACCAGACAAGAAGGTACGTGAAACAAACGCTCCCGAACCAGACAAGAAGGTACGTGAAACAAACGCTCCCGAACCAGACAAGAAGGTACGTGAAACAAACGCTCCCAAGCCAGACAAGAAGGTACGTGAAACAAACTCTCCCGAACCAGACAAGAAGGTACGTGAAACAAACGCTCCCGAACCAGACAAGAAGGTACGTGAAACAAACGCTCCCGAACCAGACAAGAAGGTACGTGAAACAAACGCTCCCGAACCAGACAAGAAGGTACGTGAAACAAACGCTCCCGAACCAGACAACAAGGTACATAAAACAAACGCTCCTGAACCAGACAAGAAGGTACGTGAAACAAACTCTCCCGAACCAGACAAGAAGGTACGTGAAACAAACGCTCCCGAACCAGACAAGAAGGTACGTGAAACAAACGCTCCCGAACCAGACAAGAAGGTACGTGAAACAAACTCTCCTGAACCAGACAAGAAGGTACGTGAAACAAATGCGCCCGAACCATAAAGCGGGAAGGGCACTTCACCTATGACTTCCGCACAAACCTCAATGCTGCGACGCGATTAGTTCGCGCCCGATTAACCTTACAGCAGGAGCACGCCAAGATAGATTCTTTTCTTACACTTATATATGTTTTCTGTTTTCAGATCGTGAGCAAACTGAAGGAGGAGATCGGGGCCATGGAGAAGGAGCACAGTGAGCTTCAGCAGCACATCAGCCGCACGGACTGGTGGTGTGAGAACCTGGGCCACTGGAGAGCCACCATCACCAACGCAGAGGTCAGAACATAACTCCAACACCAACGCAGAGGTCAGAACATATCTCCAACACCAACCAACGCAGAGGTCAGAACATAACTCCAACACCAACGCAGAGGTCAGAACATAACTCCAACACCAACCAACGCAGAGGTCAGAACATAACTCCAACCAACCAACGCAGAGGTCAGAACATAATCTCCAACACCAACCAACGCAGAGGTCAGAACATAACTCCAACACACAAACCAACGCAGAGGTCAGAACATAACTCCAACAACCAACGCAGAGGTCAGAACATATCTCCAACCAACCAACGCAGAGGTCAGAACATATCTCCAACACCAACGCAGAGGTCAGAGGTCAGAACATAACTCCAACACCAACCAACGCAGAGGTCAGAACATATCTCCAACACCAACCAACGCAGAGGTCAGAACATAACTCCAACACCAACCAACGCAGAGGTCAGAACATAACTCCAACACCAACCAACGCAGAGGTCAGAACATAACTCCAACACCAACGCAGAGGTCAGAACATAATCTCCAACACCAACGCAGAGGTCAGAACATAACTCCAACACCAACCAACGCAGAGGTCAGAACATAACTCCAACACCAAGGTCACCAACGCAGAGGTCAGAACATAACTCCAACACCAACCAACGCAGAGGTCAGAACATATCTCCAACACCACCAACGCAGAGGTCAGAACATAACTCCAACACCAACGCAGAGGTCAGAACATAACTCCAACACCAACGCAGAGGTCAGAACATATCTCCAACACCAACCAACGCAGAGGTCAGAACATAACTCCAACACCAACCAACGCAGAGGTCAGAACATAACTCCAACACCAACGCAGAGGTCAGAACATATCTCCAACACCAACCAACGCAGAGGTCAGAACATAACTCCAACACCAACCAACGCAGAGGTCAGAACATAACTCCAACCACCAACAGAGGTCAGAACATAACTCAACAACCAACCAACGCAGAGGTCAGAACATAACTCCAACACCAACGCAGAGGTCAGAACATAACTCCAACACCAACGCAGAGGTCAGAACATATCTCCAACACCAACGCAGAGGTCAGAACATAACTCCAACACCAACGCAGAGGTCAGAACATAACTCCAACACCAACGCAGAGGTCAGAACATAATCTCCAACACCAACCAACGCAGAGGTCAGAACATAATCTCCAACACCAACGCAGAGGTCAGAACATAACTCCAACACCAACGCAGAGGTCAGAACATATCTCCAACACCAACGCAGAGGTCAGAACATAACTCCAACACCAACGCAGAGGTCAGAACATAACTCCAACACCAACCAACGCAGAGGTCAGAACATATCTCCAACACCAACGCAGAGGTCAGAACATAACTCCAACACCAACCAACGCAGAGGTCAGAACATAACTCCAACACCAACGCAGAGGTCAGAACATAACTCCAACACCAACGCAGAGGTCAGAACATATCTCCAACACCAACGCAGAGGTCAGAACATAACTCCAACACCAACCAACGCAGAGGTCAGAACATATCTCCAACACCAACGCAGAGGTCAGAACATATCTCCAACACCAACGCAGAGGTCAGAACATAACTCCAACACCAACCAACGCAGAGGTCAGAACATAACTCCAACACCAACCAACGCAGAGGTCAGAACATAACTCCAACACCAACGCAGAGGTCAGAACATATCTCCAACACCAACCAACGCAGAGGTCAGAACATATCTCCAACAACCAACGCAGAGGTCAGAACATAACTCCAACACCAACGCAGAGGTCAGAACATAACTCCAACACCAACCAACGCAGAGGTCAGAACATAACTCCAACACCAACCAACGCAGAGGTCAGAACATAACTCCAACACCAACCAACGCAGAGGTCAGAACATATCTCCAACACCAACGCAGAGGTCAGAACATAACTCCAACACCAACGCAGAGGTCAGAACATATCTCCAACACCAACACGGAGGTGGGTCTGGCTCTTCACGATAACCGAAGCAGGTTTTCAATACCTGAACGGTCATGACTTCGCCTCTGGTGAAACAAACTCCCGAGGATTCATCTTGAACCTTTTGTCGGTGCTGCATTTGAGCGAAAAAACACCGGTGACTTACGTTTTCTGATCTATGTTATAATGTTTCCTCATCACAAACAGATCTGGAGTTGTATTGTTTGTTTTTTTTGTTTTTTGAGGAGGTAACAACATTAGAACACGACGTAAATCCCACAAGAGTCCATGTTGTGTAATACAAGACCTTTGACTTTGTACCATTTACCCGATCGATTCCTCGGCTCTGAGCTCTGCTGATAAAAATGTGTCTTCTTCCACGTTGATGATGACTGCACTGTGTGTTCGTGTGACCGTGTGTGTGTGTGTGTTTCATTTTTAGCCTCAGATTAAATCTCTGGTCTCGTGCGCCGCAGCGTGAAGCTCAGATCGAGATTAAAATACTCCACATTCCTCAGTCACGTCGCGCTGTGTCTGCAACACTCTGAAATATCGATTACATGTTTAACTTTTTCATATATAGGCCATGTTGTTGTGGTGTCCTGCCCAAAGACACAATGGCAGTGAGATGAGGCAAAACATCAACCCTTGGATTTATGGGTCTATGCCCAGTGTTGGGAAGGTGACTTTTAAAATGTAATCCCCTACAGATTACAGATTACATCCCCCAAAATGTAGTTTGTAACATAATCCATTAAATTACTTAAAGTGAGTAATGTAATCTGATTACTTTGGATTACTTGATTTGCTGTAGAGAAACAAAGACGAGGAAATCTTCACATAAGAAGTTTTGTCTGATAAAAGAAAATGTCCAGACTTTACTGAACCAAATTAAAAATATTATTGATAGAAGAAGAAGAAACACGTCCACACAGCAGGATTTAGTCCTGTTAAGACCTGGTTTAGACCTGGTTTTAGTCCTGGTTTAGACCTGGTTTAGACCTGGTTTAGAACTGGTTTAGTCCTGGTTTAGTCTTGGTTTAGACCCAGTTTAGACCTGGTTTTAGTCCTGGTTTAGTCTTGGTTTTAGTTTAGAACTGGTTTTAGAACTGGATTTAGTCCTGGTTTTAGTCCTGGTTTAGTCCTGGTTTAGACCTGGTTTAGTCCTGGTTTAGACCTGGTTTAGAACTGGTTTAGACCTGGTTTAAAACTGGTTTAGTCCTGGTTTAAAACTGGTTTAGTCCTGGTTTATTCTTGGTTCAGACCTGGTTTAGTCCTGGTTTAGACCTGGTTTTAGTCCTGGTTTAGTCTTGGTTTAGAACCTGGTTTGGACCTGGTTTAGTCCTGGTTTAGTCTTGGTTTAGAACCTGGTTTGGACCTGGTTTAGTCCTGGTTTAGAACCTGGTTTGGACCTGGTTTAATGTCCGGCAATGAATGGAATTACTGGGGGGAAAAAAAGGGATATATCCCGAAATGTGAAAACTGGAAAATCCCTCTGTGTAATCCATTTATTTCAGCAAAGTAACTGTAATCCAATTACCACTCACTGAAACAGTAACTGTAACTGAATACAGTTACTCATCATTTGTACTCTGATTACTCCAGTACATGTAATCTGTTACTCCCCAACACTGTCTATGCCTTAAAACATGTATTTATTTTTTTGTTTTTTATCATGTTATATTTGTTTCTTTTCTCATTTACTCCCTTCAAGTTGTATTTTAATCTCCCATTGAGCGCCGCAGTTTTCTAATGTGGACGTCAGCGCATTTGTCTCTTTTATTAAGTCGTTTTAGATCAATATTCAGATTTAAAATGTCCAAATTATAAAGATCCATGGGTGTCATGGGAGATTATGACAGTAGCGCAGACACACGCACAGGTCTGGCTTTAACAGGTGATATTTAGATTTTCAATAGACCTTTTTCACAATGACTGGAAGTCCCGCCCGGTAAGGTGAGTCAGTCCAGGTTCATGGTTTTCCCTGGCAAAATGTGTGTGTAAATGTGTGTGTGTAAATGTGTGTGTAAATGTGTGTGTAAATGTGTGTGTGTAAATGTGTGTGTGTGTGTGTGTGTAAATGTGTGTGTGTAAATGTGTGTGTGTAAATGTGTGTGTGTAAATGTGTGTGTAAATGTGTGTGTAAATGTGTCGTATTCTCCAGCAGCTTCATAAATCTGCCCCATCACCAAATCTTTAACCGTCAAACTTTATTTTATTAACGACCAGCATTAGTGAACTACTGAGCAAAACTAACATTATGGTCATGAATAACGTAAATAATAAGTCATTCATTAATAGTTTTGCTTAAACATTGAATCCAGAACAAGTGAACCGTATTTTTCAGACTATAAGTCACACTTTTTTTTATGGTTCTGGTGTTTCCTGCGACTTATACTCCGACTTGTACATTAACATTTTCAGACTGACAGCAGCTAGAGGGCGCTCTACGCTTGTGTGTCAGTTTTCCGTTGTCCTGCAAGTCGTGAAATATGCAGCAAAAAACGGTAATCGAGCAGCAGAAAGAAAGTTTGGAGTGAGCGAGAAACTTGTGAGGCACTGGCAGAAAGCGGGAATGGAGAACACGACTTCACGGCGACCGAGCGGATGCACCATGAAACTTTCCTGGAAGTGATTGGATGACAAAGCCTGGACTTCAGTGACAACAGAAGTTGTGTGGAGTTGTTCAGAAGTGACACCGAGGATGAAAAATTCAATGGATTCAGTGGATATAGTGATTTAGAGTGAGATGGAGAGTTTGGTAAACTTATGTTCTGTTGTTTATGCTATAATTATCTGAACAATTGTTCATATGTTACGGTAACATATTAACGCCTATTCAGTCTGTTGTTCTTTATTCTGTTGTTATTACTATAACTTACCCTGATTTTATAAAATACATTTCCCCCAAAAACTGGGACTTGTAGTCCAGTTCCACTTACATGTTTTTTCTTCTTCATTACGCATGTTTTGGCTGGTGCGACTTCCCCAGGGCGACTTATAGTATGAAAAATACGGTAATATAAAATAAAAACAAAATTTAAAATAAATAATGTCTCTATAGTCTATCTGTAGCTGGCGTTCAGCTCTAATACATATTTGATATGATCTCGAGGGCCAAATATAATTATATCGTGGGCTAAATTTGGCCCCGGGCCTGAGTTTGACATGTCTGATCCACATCATGAAATCCATTTTTTATTTTAATTCCAGAATCAGTCTGAGTTAATGAGTTACTTCTGTTTTATTCATGACCATAACATTAGTTTTGCTCAGTAGTTTACTAATACTAGTCGTTGTTCTCCTTTAAGCTTTCGTCTTTCTTAACTTGATAGTTGTGGATAAATTCTTCATGGAAGAATGTTTATCCTTTGTGGACCTTGTTGGTTGAAGATTTGGTGATGGGGCCAAATAATAATACCCCAGACATTTGTTCATGTAACTGGATGAAAGAGAATGGACGTGTTTATTATTTAGTTCAGAATATGGATAACTGCACGTGATTAAAAAGGAAACGGGACCAGCTTCGTATTAATATTGTAATTTTGTCCGTGTGTGTTTCCAGGCTGCAGAGGAGGGAGGAGAGACTGTGGCCTGTTACAGCGTCTGCGTGACTCTGGACGAAGGAGACGAGTCCAACAACAGCAGATGGACCGTGCAGAGAAAACTCACCGAGTTTCAGATCCTGCATAGAAAACTCACCGAGGTAAAACTACTGCACACAATATAAGATCTGATATATATAGCGAATATATGGTACTGTTATAATTGAATTGTCTTGTTTTGTTCCGTTTTCCAGTGCTTTCCATCATTAAAGAAACTCCAGTTGCCGTCCTTAAGCAAACTTCCCTTCAAATCCATCGACCAAAAGTTTTTAGAGAAGAGCAAAACGCAGCTCAATGCCTTTCTACAGGTGATATTACAATAAACATTAAATCAACCTTCTCCCCAGCCTCGAGTTTTGTCCTCTTAGCTAATACTGCCCCCTGCTGGTGTAATGTGTGTTTTGTGTAGCGTCTCCTGACAGATGAGCGGTTGTGCCAGTCTGAAGCTCTCTACGCCTTCCTCAGCCCCTCTCCAGAGCATCTCAAGGTAAACTTTAGCTTCACGGATCAAAACATTCACCCCGGCTTACTCTGTTTAGAAGATTGTTTTCAATATTTTGAATTAAATCAGTGATATTTCTAATAAAAAGTCGTAAAAATGTGCATTCATGTAGTGAAATAGCTTTTGTTATAGCAGTATTTATGACACTGTTTACAGTTACACTACAACCTAAAAGCTGCCACACATTACAGGAGAGTTTGCCCGATTTTGGCGATGAAACTGAGCGTCCAGGGGAGAGGACGACGGACACAGAGACGCGACATACAAACTCAGGAAATAATGAGAAGACTTTATTCCTCACCTCTCGTAAAGCGGTGAATTTAAAGTGCAACGTCTCATCCACGTTATCTGTAGAATTTGTCCTCCGCAAATAATGACCCCAGTCTTCTAAACCGCGCTGTGAACCCATTTTGAGGCCTTCTTTAAAAGTAAAAAAGGCGCGAGTATTTTATCATGTGTATCTGTTTACTGGACCTTGTAGGTTGAAGATTTGGTGATGGGGCAGATTCATGAAGCTGCTGGAGAAAACGACACACATTTGTTCATGTAACTGGATGAAACAGAATGGACGTGTTTATTGTTTAGTTCAGAATACGGACAACTGCACATGATTAAAAATGAAACAGGGCTCTGAAGATTTTAAGTCTTTTGAGTTTGCCGCACGTTTAAAAGTCATTTAAGATTTACGAAAAAATCCTGTAGTGGGTGGCAGCCTGAAGATGAAGTTCTCTAAAGTCTGTGTCAAATTTATCCTGTTTTATCTTTTTTCTTTTTTTGCAATATTTTATTTTTGCTTTTTGTTTGAGTTATACAATACACAAGAAAGAACACAGTTGAACAACAACAACCCCATGCCCACCCTGCTCACCCACAGAAAAAATAAATAAATAAAAAAAGAGGGGGAGGATGCTTCACACATTTCAATAGTTCACATAGATATGAATATTTATTTTGAATATTTATTCTGACAGTAATACATAGAACATAAATTTAAAAAAAACAAAATGTAAATACATAGATATAACACAAAAAGTAACTATTTCTATTCTGTAATAACAGGCAAAATAAATGTTACGCAGAATTTTCCTTGTGTCTGAAAAAGGAGTGGGAGAAAGTAAATACTTATTTAACCTCACCCCTTTCTTCTACCGTCCCAAATTAACAAAGAACATACAGACGTCTCATTTCCTGAACGATATAAGCAATAATGCACAGTACCTGCATTGCATTACAAGGCTGGTTTAGGACATTCATTTATCAACAAAGTTTACATCTTAGAAATACATTTATAAGTTCCACCATCATGTAACAACCTTTCAAATGCTGTAAGTTTGGGCAATAATCCAGTACGACCCAGATTATTAGTAAGAAACGATCGTACTTGCAGGTAACAAAAGAATGTATTATTTGATAAGCTGTATTTTTCTTTTATCCTGTTTTATCTTCACACTTTTTTCCTCTCGTTTGTTTCATTTTTCAGGTCATGTCCATTCAGAAGAAATCCTCTTTTTCTTTGGCGTCGTTCCTGGAGAGATTTCCCGGGGACTTCTTCTCCCACACAGATGTAAACGGCAACGCTACAGTCTACGTTCACTTTTTCGTTTTTGTTTTTCTTTTTCTAGTGAAACTGACCGTCCAAACAAATCAAATCTATAAATGCATTTACACTTTGAACTTTTTTCTTTAGTTTTTGAGTTCACAAAGTTGCTATACACATTTTGAGGCATAAAATTTCACATTTTTGTTTATTTCTCCTGACAGAGAGCGCGTTGAATTTTGTGCCAGTTTTTGTTTCACGTGGATAGGCCCAGGAATGAAACCAAATTCTCTCTGAATCTAAAAAGTACACTACCGTTCAAAAGTTTGGGGTCACCCAGACAATTTTGTGTTTTCCATGAAAATCACACTTTTATTTACCACCACGAGTTGAAAAATGAACAGAAAATATAGTCCAGACATTGACAAGGTTAGAAATAATGATTTGTATTTGAAATAATCATTTTTTTCCTTCGAACTTTGCTTTCGTCAAAGAATCCTTCATTTGCAGCAGTTACAGCATCGCAGACCTTTGGCATTCTAGCTCAGGGGTGTCAAACTCATTTTGGTTCGGGGGCTATATCCAACCTACTTTGATCCCAAAGGGGCCGGATCAGAAAACTCATGTCATATAAACCCCAAAAATAACAATAACTTCAAATATTTGTGCAGAGAAACGCAAATCTATTACAGAAATCTTTTTAAATTGATGAAATCTTTCTTATTATAATATTATGAACAACCTGAAACTTGAAGAAAAATTCAATTTCAACACAATGTTTTAACATGAACTTGTATGCAAATAGGAATAAGTCAGTTTTTCTTGGAAAATCCTGCACTCAGCTCCACTTTTCTCATGTTGGACATTTTTCTGATGAGGGGGTCACGGTCAACAGTCAAAACGATCGTCCTTTAAGAGCGTTTGGAAAGAGACAAGTCTTCATTTGTGCTGCTCTGGTGGGAGGGGCCACGTACAGAGACGCTGGAGACGCTGCTGTGATAAACACCACAGAAAATTAACAAGATTTTAATAGAAAATATAATTAAAATTTTTAGTAGAAATTCACCCAAGGGCCACATTAAAGGTCTTGGAGGGCCGGATCTGGCCCCCGGGCCTTATGTTTGACACCTGTGTTCTAGCTGTTCATTTGTTGAGGTAATCTGGAGAAATATCACCCCACGCTTCAAGAATCTCCCCCCACAAGTTGGTTTGACTGGATGGACACTTCTTGCGTCCGTACGGTCAAGCTGCCCACTTCTCTTTCTACTCTGCTTGGAGTCTTTCTGTGCTGTTCTCTGAAGGGAGTAGAACACACCGCTGTAGGAAATCTTCAGTTTCTTGGCAATTTCTCACATGGAACAGCCTTCATTTCTAAGACCAAGAATAGAGTGTCGAGTTTCACGTGAAAGTTCTTCTTTTTCTGGCCATTTTGAGCGTTTAATCGACCCCACAAATGTGATGCTCCAGACACTCAACCTGCTCAAAGAAAGGTCAGTTTTATAGCTTCTCTAACCAGATAAACTGTTTTCATCTGCTCTAACATGATGCACAAGGGTTTTCTAATCGTCCTTTACCCTTATGACACAATGAGCAGCAAACACATTGTACCATTAAAACACTGGAGTGACAGTTGCTGGAAATGGGCCTCTGTGCACCTGTGTAGATACTGCATCAAAAACCAGACATTTGCAACTAGAATAATCATTTACCACTAGGGATGGGCATGATTAGTCGATGAATCGTTAATTGATCATTAAGAATTTCATCGATTACGTTCATTTTAATCGACAAACTGACTGTATGTTGCTGTGTGTGTCGTGACCAAACAGGTGTGTACATGTGTCTCTGCATCAGAAGGAGCGAGACACAAACAGTGGGTCAGTCTGTAACGAACCGAAGCACAAATGTGGATTTAACGATGATTTGTACAAGAAATTCCACACTTTCCGTTGCGTTGGGACAAGTGTGAGTCCATGTGCACAGTGGATAAAGCAGCACATATGTTTCTGTGTCCAGTGGGAAAAAGTTTTACCAGGTGAGAGTCGCTCAATGTGGATGACGAGGCCCCGCCCCCCTCCCCCCGTACGCTGTCCTGGTTTTGACAAACACAAATCTGGTCACACTGACCTGTATTCACCTGAGTCATGTCTTTTAATCCAACACAAGTTGAACCACATCAGCGACACAAGAGCTGGAGTTTTATCTTCACTTAGTTTATGTAAATTAGTGATGTGGTTTTAAGTTTTGTTTCTGTGAGATTTGAACAAAACTGAATTAAACACATTATAATGTCAAACAGCTGATGTGGATCTAGAGTCGTTATGTTTATATGTCGCAAAGTTGAATTTATTTCTGCAGATTAGTGCAGATAGTAATAATAATGATGATCATTTTAATATAAAAACGTTAATGATTAATCGATAATCGATCGTTAATTCTTCCGACAAAGAATTCCGAAGAAAATTTCATCGAATGCCCGTCCATATTTACCACATTAGCCAAGTGTAGAGCAGGGATCTCCAACCTGTGTCTCAGGAGCTGCTGGTAGATCCCCACCCCCTTCCAAGTAGCTCGCCAAAGGATTTCTGAATTATACATATTGGGCTGAATAAGTAAAATGAATTGTAAATGTGTAATTTTGATACCTAACTATGTACACTGATAAATGGATAATGGTTTATGTTTTATAGGCATCTAGCTCTACTCTATCTAAGGCTTACCGTGTTTTTTATTCAAGTTTTAGTCCAAATTTTTATTCAGATTTACTCAATTTCTTGTGACTTCTAAAACTAGTAGCTCTTTGGCATTTTCGTTTTGTAAAAGTAGCTTAAAGACCCCTGGTGTAGAGTTTATTTCTGATTAGTTTAACGTTATCTTCACTGAAAAAAAAAACAACGGCTCTTTTCTTTCCAAAATAAGGAAATTTCCAAGTGACCCCAAACTTTTGAACGGTAGTGTCGTGGTGGAATGTAATGAAGTAAAAGTATCAAAGTACTGTACGTTTCAGGTATATGTGCGTTCTACTTTAAAGTACATTTTACATTTTACTTTTACGTCACCGCGTTCGAGAGCAGGTACTTTCTCCTCTTTCTACTCAACTACAGTTTTAACACGACTGAAAAGTATTTGTAAGTATTTTTTGTGATTGTCTGAGACGTGCGGAAAAGGCCGAGGGTTTATTTTTAACACATTTGAAGTTTGAGTGAACAAAAATATGCAAATAAAAACTAATCGGAAAAAAATATGATCCCAAAATCTGCACAAAATACTTTTACTTTTTATTCTTAAGTACATTTTTAAATGGGTGGAAAAAGTATTGAAGTACATTTTAATACGGGTACTTAATCTGTGTGTCTTTGTTTTTCAAAATAAAACCAATAATAAGAAAACGAAAAAAACTATTATTTTATTAATTATTTGTCTCCAAAACCAAAATGAAAAAAAAAACTATAAGGATTTTTTTTTTTTTTTTTCAGTTTTCGATTTTGTGTTTAAATGAAAAATGGAAAAAACGGATCATGTTTCCCGTTTATTGGACTTAAACTGCGATGCCGAACTTTTGCGCCACATTTGGACTGAACTAGGACTAAACCAGGTCCGGGACTGAGACCAGGACTTAGACTGGGTCCAGACAAGAACTGAGACCAGGACCAGACCGTGATTGAGACCGGGACTGAGACCGGGACAAGAACGAGAGTGAGAATGGGACCGAGACCGAGACCGGGACTGAGACTGGGGCCAGACCAGGACTGAAAACGGTTTAGTTCTGGTTTAGTCCTGGTTCAGTCCGTTATCCTTTTTTTTTTTCATTTTTCATTTAAACACAAAATCGAAAACTGAAAAAACTAATCTTTGTTTTTTCATTTTGGTTTTGGAGACAAATAATGAAGAAAATTGTTGTTTTTTCGTTTTCTTATTTGTGCTTTTATTTTGAAAAAACGAATGAACGAACGATACACAGATTGTACTTCGATACTTTTACTTAAGTAGATTTTTCACAAAACAGATTTATTTTTCGCAGATTTCAGTGTACAGTAATCTTACACAGAAAACTCCACCTGAGGATTCTGTCTCCAGCTCAGTTTACAGAATATTTGGTCATTTTTTGTTTGTTTTGTTCCTTTTAGGAGGACGGAGACGACGACAGCGACTTCTCAGATTACGGAGACGAGCCTGACGGGAGGAGGGACGCGCTGGCCGAGCCCTGTTTCACTCTGATAGGAGAGATATTTGAACTCAGAGGAAGTAAGAAGCGGATTTTACAACGTTTATATCATTTAAAAGGATCCCCGGCTACTTTAATAATAATGATGATCATGATAATTCTTCCGACGATCGATTAAGAAAATTTCATCCAGTGCTCATCCCTACCGTGAACGCCACAAACAAACAGAACCACTCACCCATCCCACTGTTGTGTTTCATTTAAAGCCCCACGCCGTTTATTTGTGAAAAAAGTTTGAAAATAGACCATTTAATGACAGCGCGTCTTATAACCCAGAGCGACTAATAGTGCGGAAAATACGGTAATTGTGCTCGTCCGACAGCATTTTCCCATCGCTTTCTGTTTTAGTGTCCCGTGGAAAGCAGTGAACGCTCGCATAAGTCGAACCCCACGACAGAAGGCAACAACCATGTGACGAGGTTAACAATGATGTAAACAAACACGGCAAATTACTAGTGATTTATTTTCTCCTTTTTTTTTTATTAAAAAATGCTACAAACGAACATATTTGAGACGATAAGTGACGCCAACGTTAATCATACAAGACCAGCGTGTCAAAGTAGCCGGTGGTCCTTTTAAATTCAAGCTGTATTGCCACTTCATGGATGTACACAATAGTAGCTCATTCACACAACATTATTTCATTAATTGTAATACTACTCATGTGGTATATCGTCTGTCTCGCCCTTGTCCAGGAGGTTTTTTCTGTTTTGGCCGCACTAAGAGGCGTATGCGATTAGGGTTAGGGCCATTTTTGTGAAAATCATAACAGCAGTGACCCTCTGCTTCGTACTGAAGGTGTTGAACATGTGGAACCACTGGCACGAGGTGGAGACAGACTTCAGAAATTAAATCAAAGAGAAGCTTTCTGGATTCATAAACTGAGAACATGTGAACATCCAGGTTTAAATGACTTTGATCTGTCGTTTTTTATAATAATATAAGGTTTAATAATGTTTTATTAATGTTGTATTTACAACCACTGTAGGCTGATAGGGTCTCTATGTATATTGTTGTTATTATGGTTATTATTGTTAATGATGGCAATAATAATAATAATAATAATAACAATGATAATAATAATTATAATGATAACAATGATGATAATAATAATGATAATAATAACAATAACAATAATGATAATAATAACAATAATAATAATGATAATGATAATAACAATAATAATGATAATAATGATAATAATAATAATAATAATAATAATAATGACAATAATAACAATAATAATAATGATAATGATAATAACCATAACGATAATGATAATAATAATGATAATAATAATGATAATGAATAATAACAATAATGATAATGATAATGATAATAATGATAATAATAATAATAACGATAATAATAATAATAATGAATAATAATAATAATAATAATAATAATGATAATAAATAATAATAAAATAATAATAATAATAATAATAAAAAAAATATATATATAAAAAAATATAAAATAACACTAATATAATATATAATAAAAATATGATACAAACTATAAATATTAATAAATTATTGGTAACAATAATAATGGAAACATTAATGGTAATGATGTGTGTGTTTTTTTGTTTTTACCTGTACCATGTCCTGTCTTTGTGCACCTGTTTTGTCTGCCTCCAGTTGACTCCAGCCTGTTATTGGTTGATGTGTTCTACTTGAAGGCCACGTCCAGGCTCTGTTTTAATTAAGCCCTGATGAAGACCAGTTAAGGGCCAAACATGTCGGCTTTGGCCATTCAAATAAAGGCCTTTTAACTGTATTTTTCCTCGTGCGATGTGTTAACTTTTACTACAGTTTTGGAGTTGCCTGGAGTCCGTTGTGTTTGTGTATTGCCATTTAATTTGATGTTATATTATATTTACTCCCATGTTCTGCTTTGTCTTTAGTGTTCAAGTGGGTGAGGAAAACACTTATTGCACTAGTCCAGGTGACGTTTGGACGCACCATCAACAAGTGAGTTTATGTTTCTACTCAACGCTCACGTTACCGTGTCGTTTCGTCGTCACAGACCCGGAAATGTGTTTTTGTTTCATTCGCACGTTTAACGCACAAACCCGGCAGATTTAGGCGGAGTTCTTCTCTCGAACACGAAACAAAACGTAAAAGTAAAAGGAGCGAGTCACATGAAAACTTCCACGACACGGCATCCGGCGTCTGGAGTAACGAGTTAGAAAAGAAAAAGAATTACTGCCTTGTTTTTTACTGTAACAGCAAAGTAAAGCATCACAGGTTTAGACCTGGTCTAGTCCTGGTTTAGTCCTGGTTTAGTCCTGGTTCAGTCCTGGTTCAGTTCTGGTTTAGTCCTGGTTTAGACCTGGTTCAGTCCTGGTTTAGACCTGGTTTAGACCTGGTCTAGTCCTGGTTTAGTCCTGGTTCAGTCCTGGTTCAGTCCTGGTTCAGTCCTGGTTCAGTCCTGGTTTAGTCCTGGTTTAGTCCTGGTTCAGTCCTGGTTCAGTCCTGGTTTAGTCCTGGTTCAGTCCTGGTTTAGTCCTGGTTTAGTTCTGGTTCAGTCCTGGTTTAGTCCTGGTTCAGTTTAGTCCTGGTTCAGTCCTGGTTTCAGTCCTGGTTTAGTCCTGGTTCAGTTTCCTGGTTCAGTCCTGGTTTAGTCCTGGTTCAGTCCTGGTTTTAGTCCTGGTTCAGTCCTGGTTTAGTCCTGGTTTAGTCCTGGTTCAGTCCTGGTTCAGTCCTGGTTTAGTCCTGGTTTAGTCCTGGTTTAGTCCTGGTTTAGTCCTGGTTTTAGTCCTGGTTTAGTCCTGGTTTTAGTCCTGGTTTAGATCTAGTTTAGACCTGGTTTTAGTCCTGGTTTAGATCTAGTTTAGACCTCGTTTTAGTCCTGGTTTAGACCTGGTTCAGTCCTGGTTCAGTTCTGGTTCAGTCCTGGTTCAGTTCTGGTTCAGTTCTGGTTCAGTCCTGGTTTAGTCCTGGTTTAGTTCTGGTTCAGTCCTGGTTCAGTCCTGGTTTAGTCCTGGTTCAGTCCTGGTTTAGTCCTGGTTTAGTCCTGGTTTAGACCTGGTTTAGTCCTGGTTTAGTCCTGGTTCAGTCCTGGTTCAGTCTTGGTTTAGTCTTGGTTTAGTCCTGGTTTAGTCCTGGTTCAGCTCTGGTTCAGTCCTGGTTTAGTCCTGGTTCAGCTCTGGTTCAGTCCTGGTTTAGTCCTGGTTTAGTCCTGGTTTAGACCTGGTTTAGTCCTGGTTTAGTCCTGGTTCAGTCCTGGTTTAGTCCTGGTTTAGTCCTGGTTTAGTCCTGGTTTAGACCTGGTTTAGTTCTGGTTCAGTTCTGGTTCAGTTTCTGGTTCAGTTCTGGTTCAGTCCTGGTTCAGTCCTGGTTTAGTCCTGGTTTCAGTCCTGGTTCAGTCCTGGTTTAGTCCTGGTTCAGTCCTGGTTCAGTCCTGGTTCAGTCCTGGTTTTAGTCCTGGTTTTAGTCCTGGTTTTAGTCCTGGTTTAGTCCTGGTTTTAGTCCTGGTTCAGTCCTGGTTCAGTCCTGGTTCAATCCTGGTTTAGTCCTGGTTTAGACCTGGTTTAGTCCTGGTTCAGTCCTGGTTTAGTCCTGGTTTAGTCCTGGTTTAGTCCTGGTTTAGTCCTGGTTCAGTCCTGGTTTAGACCTGGTTTAGTCCTGGTTCAGTCCTGGTTTAGTCCTGGTTTAGACCTGGTTTAGTCCTGGTTTAGTCCTGGTTTAGTCCTGGTTCAGTCCTGGTTTAGTCCTGGTTCAGTCCTGGTTCAGTCCTGGTTCAGTCCTGGTTTAGTCCTGGTTTAGTCCTGGTTAAGTCCTGGTTTAATCCAAGTTCAGTCCTCTTATAGTCTTATTTTAGCCCTGTGTCGGTCCTCGTTTAGTCCTGGTTTAGTCCTGGTTTAGTCCTGGTTTAGTCCTGGTTTAGTCCTGGTTTAGTCCTGGTTTAGTCCTGGTTTAGTCCTGGTTGATCTTTGTTTTCTTTTTGTCTAAACGTCGGTGTGGCTGTTACCTCTTTTCCTCTGGTGGTGTTGCGTTCGCAGGCAGATCCGGGACACCGTAAACTGGATTTTCTCGGAGCAGATGTTGGTGTGTTACGTCGGTGTGTTCAGGGACACGTTTTGGCCGAACGGAAAGTTAGCGCCGCACGTCAAAGTCCGAACGGAGTCGGAACGGAACGAGACCAAGGAGCGAGCGCAGCAGAAACTTCTGGACAACATCCCAGGTACTGACCGGCCGAAAGAGACTTTAGACCTGGTTTTAGACCTGGTTTTAGACCTGTTTTAGACCTGGTTTTAGTCCTGGTTTAGACCTGATTTAGACCTAGTTTAGACCTGGTTTAGACCTTAGTTTAGACCTGGTTTACACCTGGTTTTAGACCTGGTTTTAGTCCTGGTTTAGATCTAGTTTAGACCTGGTTTAGACCTGGTTTAGACCTGGTTTTAGTCCTGGTTTAGACCTGGTTTAGATCTAGTTTTAGTCCTGGTTTAGACCTGGTTTAGATCTAGTTTAGACCTGGTTTTAGTCCTGGTTTAGATCTAATTTAGCCCTGGTTTTAGTCCTGGTTTAGATCTAGTTTTAGACCTGGTTTTAGCCCCAGTTAAGCCCCAGTTTAGATCTACTTTGGGCCTGGTTTAGACCTGGTTTAGACCTGGTTTAGATCTAGTTTAGACCTGGTTTTAGTCCTGGTTTAGATCTAGTTTAGACCTGGTTTTAGTCCTGGTTTAGATCTAATTTAGCCCTGGTTTTAGTCTTGGTTTAGATCTGGTTTTAGCCCCAGTTAAGCCCCAGTTTAGATCTACTTTGGGCCTGGTTTTAGTCCTGGTTTAGATCTAGTTTAGACCTGGTTTAGACCTGGTTTAGTCCTGGTTTTAGTCCCGGTTTATACCTGGTTTTAGATCTAGTTTAAACCTGGTTTAGACCTGGTTTTAGTCCTGGTTTAGATCTGGTTTTAGTCCTGGTTTAGATCTAGTTTAGACCTGGTTTTAGTCCTGGTTTAGATCTAATTTAGACCTGGTTTTAGACCTGGTTTAGTCCTGGTTTAGATCTAGTTTTTCATCCTGGTTTTCATCCTGGTTTAGTCCTGGTCTAGTCCTGGTTTTAGTCCTGTTTTTAGTCCCGGTTTAGACCTGGTTTAGATCTAGTTTAAACCTGGTTTAGACCTGGTTTTAATCCTGGGTTAGTCCTGGTTTAGTCCTGTTTTAGTCCTGGTTCTAGTCCTGGTTTAGTCCTGTTTTGTTTCAGTCCTGGTTTTTAGTCCTGGTTTAGTCCTGGTTTAGTCCTGGTCTAGTCCTGGTTTAGTGTTTAGTCCTGTTTAGTCCTGGTTTTAGTCCTGGTCTAGTCCTGGTTAGTCCTGGTTTAGTCCTGGTTTTAGTCCCGGTTTGACCTGGTTTTAGATCTAGTTTTAACCTGGTTTTAGTCCTGGTTTTAATCCTGGTCTAGTCCTGGTTTAGTCCTGTTTTAGTCCTGGTCTAGTCCTGGTTTAGTCCTGGTTTAGTCCTGGTTTAGTCCTGGGTTTAGTCCTGTTTTTAGTCCTGGTTTAGTCCTGTTTAGTCCTGGTTTTAGTCCTGGTTTAGTCCTGGTTTATCCTGGTTTAGTCCTGGTTTAGTCCTGGTCTAGTCCTGGTTTTAGTCCTGGTCTAGTCCTGGTCTAGTCCTGGTTTACGGGAAGTGTGACGTGCATGTGTGTGAGCTGCAGACACTGACACTCCAGCCTGCAGCGCCTCTAGTGGCCGTCAGTGTGAAAACCTCAACATACAAGTCGCACTGGAGGATAAGTCGCAGGAAACACCCGAACCGTGAAAATGAGTGAAACTTTTAGTCCGGAAAATACACCAGGTGGAAGTACAGCTGGTTTGTGCTGTTAAACAAGTTGGTCACACTCAGATTTGTGTTGAAACTGAAGCAGCACGAACAGGAGCACGAACAGCAGCACGAACAGCAGAACACGCAGCACGAACACGAACAGGAGCACGAAGCAGCACGAACAGCACGAACAGGAGCACGAACAGGAGCACGAACAGGAGCAGCACGAACAGAACGAGCACGAACAGCAGCACGAACAGAACAGGAGCACGAACAGCAGCACGAACAGGAGCAACGAAAGCAGCACGAACAGAACACAGCACGAACAGCAGCACGAACAGCAGCACGAACAGCAGCACGAACAGCAGCAGCGCGAACAGGCAGCGCGAACAGCAGCGCGAACAGGAGCGCGAACAGCAGCGCGAACAGCAGCGCGAACAGCAGCGCAGCAGCGCGAACAGGAGCGCGAACAGGAGCACGAACAGGAGCACGAACAGGAGCACGAACAGCAGCACGAACAGCAGCACGAACAGCAGCACGAACAGCAGCACGAACAGCAGCACGAACAGGAGCACGAACAGCAGCACGAACAGCAGCACGAACAGCAGCGCGAACAGGAGCGCGAACAGCAGCGCGAACAGCAGCGCGAACAGGAGCGCGAACAGCGGCACGAACAGGAGCGCGAACAGCAGCGCGAACAGCAGCGCGAACAGCAGCGCGAACACAGGAGCGCGAACAGCGAGCGCGAACAGGAGCGCGAACAGCAGCGCGAACAGGAGCGCGAACAGCAGCGCGAACAGAGCGCGAACAGCAGCGCGAACACAGCGCGAACAGCAGCGCGAACAAGCAGCGCGAACAGCAGCGCGAACAGCAGCGCGAACAGGAGCGCGAACAGGAGCGCGAACAGGAGCGCGAACAGGAGCGCGAACACAGCGCGAACAGCAGCGCGCACGAACAGCGCGCGAACAGCAGCGCGAACAGCACGAACAGCGGCGAACAGCAGCGCGAACAGCAGCGCGAACAGAACAGCGCGAACAGGCAGCGCGAACAGCGCGAACAGGAGCGCGAACAGGAGCGCGAACAGGAGCGCGAACAGGAGCGCACGAACAGGCACGAACAGGAGCGAACAGGAGCGCGAACAGCAGCGAACGCACGAACAGGAGCGCGAAACAGGAAGCAGCAGCGCGAACGCAGCGCACGAACAGGAGCACGAACAGGAGCACGAACAGGAGCACGAACAGGAGCACGAACAGCAGCACGAACAGCACGAACAGCAGCACGAACAGGAGCACGAACAGCAGCACGAACAGCAGCACGAACAGCAGCACGAACAGGAGCTTGTGTTGCCCAGCGGCTTTTGAAAATGTGTTGTTTAAATCTATTCTACATTCAGACCGTTTAAAAAAAAAATAAAAAAATATAAAAATGCGGAACATCACGCACACAAAACAGCTGTAAAGTCTTGTTTCAGGTCAACATTATGTACGTGTTTTCACTTTGGTCTTTGTTGTCCTCTTCCTGCAGACGCTTTAACAAACCTGGTGGGTCAGCAGAACGCTCGATACGGGATCATCAAAATCTTTAACGCCCTGCAGGAGGCCAGCGCCAACAAACACCTGCTCTACGTAAGAACAGCACGAATCCATCCGTGTGTCGTTCGGTCACTCGTTCTTCAATATCAAACCAAAAATAAGAAAACGAAAAAACAACAGTTTTCTTCATTATTTGTCTCCAAAACCAAAATGAAAAAACAGATAATGATTCGTTTTTTCAGTTTTCGATTTTGTTTTTAAAAGAAAAATGGAAAAAATGAATAACGACCTTTTCCTGTTTACGTGACTTCTGAGACTGTGATGCCGGACTGAACCAGGACTGATCCAGGTCCGGGACCAGACCAGGAGTGAGACCGAGACCAGGCCAGGACCAAACTGGACTCACGCTTCTGTCCGGATGCTGCTCCACCTCAGAACCAGTCGTGGTTCTTGAGTGTGGAGGACTGGAGCAGCACGTCCAGACCTGGAGTCCACAGAACATCTCACTTTCCCCACACAGAACCAGCGCACAGACGATGACACGGACCCGCTCAGACCACTGGTCTCGGTCTCAGTCCCGCTCTGGTCCTGGTCTGGTCCCGGACCTGGATCAGTCCTGGTTCAGTCCGGCATCACAGAAGTCACGTAAACAGGAAACGGTCGTTATTCATTTTTTCCATTTTTCTTTTAAAAACAAAATCGAAAACTGAAAAAACGAATCATTATCTGTTTTTTCATTTTGGTTTTGGAGACAAATAATGAAGAAAACTGTTGTTTTTTCGTTTTCTTATTTTTGGTTTTATATTGACACACGAGTGACACACAGGTTGGTGTTGATCAGTTTAACCAAATGTGACGTTCAGACGGACGTGAACAGGACGATTATAAAGTTAAAGTTAAAACATAAACACAACCTTTGGACTTTTTCCAGTCTCCTTCAGTTCTTTTTCACTTTTTTTCCTTTTACTTGGAGTTTGCAAATGACTGACCCAGAAGCAGGCGGTTTGTTTGGTTTGAACAGTTTTCATATTTGTCGTGTTGTTGACGTGTTTTTGTCCGTTTCAGGTGATGATGGAAATGTTACTGAAGGAGCTGTGCCCCGAGCTCACAGCAGAGGACACGGTCTGAGTCTGGACCAGGACCGAGTCTGGACCGGGGTCTGAGTCTGGACCGGGGACCGAGTCTGGACCGGGGTCTGAGTCTGGACCAGGACCGAGTCTGGACCAGGACCGAGTCTGGACCGGGGTCTGAGTCTGGACCAGGACCGAGTCTGGACCGGGGTCTGAGTCTGGACCAGGACCGAGTCTGGACCGGGGTCTGAGTCTGGACCAGGACCGAGTCTGGACCGGGAACCGAGTCTGGACCGGGGTCCGAGTCTGGACCGGGGACTGAGTCTGGACCGGGGTCCTGGAGTCTGGACCGGGGAGTCTCCGAGTCTGGGACCAGGGTCTGAGTCTGGGACCAGGGTCTGAGTCTGGGACCAGGGTCTGAACCGGAGTCTGGGACCAGGGTCTGAACCGGGAGTCTGGGACCAGGGTCTGAACCGGAGTCTGGGACCAGGGTCTGAGTCTGGGACCAGGGTCTGAGTCTGGGACCAGGTTCTGAACTGGACCAGGGTCTGAACCGGAGTCTGGGACCAGGGTCTGAGTCTGGGACCAGGGTCTGAGTCTGGGACCAGGGTCTGAGTCTCTGGACCAGGGTCTGAACTGGACCAGGGTCTGAACCGGAGTCTGGGACCGGGGCCTTGAACCGGACTATTTAACCAGAATATGGACCAAAACATGGACCGGAATCTGGACCTGGAGTTTAGGCCTTTCTGTAGCGACCAATCAAACTGCCACGACGGACCGGGACCGAACCCTCCACAAACAGAAGAAGAAGAAAGAAGAGAAGAAAGAGAGAGCGAAAAAAGAAAGAAAGAAAGAAAAGAAAGAAAGAGGAGAAGAGCTGTGGTCCAATTCTACTCATGAAAAACGACCAAACAGGAAACGACTTTTGTGGTACAGACCTGAACATCGCCATGGAAACACAACCCAAGAAACCATGTTAAAGGCGCACGCCCACACACACACCACCCCCTCTTCCTCCTCTTCCTCTTCCTCCTCGTCCATGTTCCCTGGGGCTGTGGCGCTAACCGGAGGCACTGCTCTGTCTGAAATCAGTCCAGAGCGACCGGACGTCCCAGTTCACCCGGGACGATCCGTGTGTCGTTCGTTCATTTGTTTATCAAACTAAAACCAAAAATAAGAAAATGAGAAAAAAAATAAATAAAAATTTCTTCATTATTTGTCTCCAAAACTAAAATGGAAAAACAGATAATGATTCGTTTTTTCAGTTTACGATTTTGTGTTTAAATGAAAAATGGAAAAAAAAAAAAAAACGAATAACATTTCCCGTTTACGCGACTTAAACTGGACTGAACCAGGACTGAACCAGGACTGAACCAGGTCCGGGACCAGACCAGGACTGAGACCAGGACTGAGACCGGGACCAGATCAGGACCAGACTGTGACTGAGACTGTGACTGAGACCGGGACCAGACCGGGACTGAGGGCGGGACTGAGGGCGGGACCGGGACCCGACCGGGATCAGATTGGGACTGAGACCAGGACCTGACCAGGACCTGATCAGGACCGGACTGAGACCAGGACTGAAAACTGTTTAGTCTTGGTTTAGTCCTGGTTCAGTCCTGGTTCAGTCCTGGTTCAGTCCTGGTTCAGTCCGGCATCACAGTTTAAGTCGCATAAACGGGAAACGGTCGTTATCCGTTTTTTTTCATTTTTTTTTTTCATTTAAACACAAAAACTGAAAGAAAAAAAAAAAAAGAAAAAATCGAATCGTTATCCATTTTGGTTTTGGAGACAAATGATAAGGAAAAATATCTCACATTTTCTTCGTGTTTTGGTCGGTTTTTTAGATGAATTTTTTTGTATTTTACCTAAACCAATGACAATTTCTGTTTGTCTTTACTGTTGGCAGGGATCAAATTGGTCAAAAATAGGGACACCGAGGAAATTTCTTGTATAAAACTGAGACAAATCACTGGTTTTTGGATAAATCCACAAACTGGGACTGTCCTGAATCTGTGAATCATGTGTTTTTCAAAATAAAACCAAAAATAAGAAAAGAAAAAAACAACTATTTTCTTCAATTACAAACTTGTTTCACAATTTTATTACGACCAACCAACACAAACCGAGGACGTCCCAGTTTTTGTTTTTTTTAAAGAAAATCTGGTCACTGCAAAGTATCAACACAAGAGACGATGCCCCAAAACGACGCGCGAACACAGAATCACAAATATTAGTCCGTGGTCGGCGCCTTTACTCTGGTTTCTTGTGTTTGTTTTTTTTTCACTGGAACAAACTTTCCTTCACTGAAAATCACTTTGACCTTTCACTCTCGTAGCACTGCGTCCGCTCCTCTGTACCACAAACGGTGACGGCCGCTGTACCGGATTTTTACTGCGTCAAAACCCGGGAAAAACAAACAGAGTTACACTTTGGGCAGTTGGTCTAAAGTCATTTCTTATTTACCTCAATAAACCTTTTCCTCAGCAGCCGGAAGTGCAGCGCTGGAGCTTTGTGCAACTTCTGGTTCATTTTTAAGTTTTCTGTGGCAAAATGCGTGTGTGCGTGAGTGTGCGTGAGTGTGTGTCATGTTCTGCCCCGTCACCAAATCTTCGTCCGACAAGATCCACAAAGGAGAAACATTCTAACGTGAGCAATTGATCCACGACGATCGAGAGAAGAAAGGACGACGCACGAGTGAACTGCTGAGCAAAAGTCATGTTACGCTCATGAATCAAATATATGCTGTTTTTCGGAGAATAAGTGGCACTTTTAGGGGGAAATTAATTTGATAAAATCAGATCAGGAGCCGACATTTCCTGTGTAAAGTCAAGTTGTAGTAAAAACAACAGAAGAGAAAACGACAAACTGTTAACGTCACATATGAACAGTTCTTCAGATAAACTAGAACAAACAACAGACAGTGTCAAGGAGTAACAGATTACATGTACCAGAGTAATCAGAGTACAAATGATGAGTAACTGTATTCAGTTACAGTTACTGTTTCAGTGAGTGGGAATTGGATTACAGTTACTTTGTTGAAATAAATGGACACAGGGATTTTACTGTTTTCACATTTCAGGCTAAATCCCTGTTTTTTTTTTCCAGTAATTCCACTCAATGCCGGACACTAAACCAGGTCTAAACCAGGTCTAAAACCAGGTCTAAACCAGGTCTAAAAATCAGGTCTAAACCAGGTCTAAACCAGGTCTAAAACAGGTCTAAAACAGGTCTAAAACCAGGTCTAAAACCAGGTCTAAACCAGGTCTAAACCAGGTCTAAACCAGGTCTAAACCAGGTCTTAAACCAGGTCTAAAACCAGGTCTAAAACTAGGTCAAAACCAGGTCTAAAACCAGGTCTAAACCAGGTCTAAAACTAGGTCAAAACCAGGTCTAAAACCAGGTCTAAAACTAGGTCAAAACCAGGTCTAAAACCGGGTCTAAAACCAGGTCTAAAACCAGGTCTAAAACTAGGTCAAAACCAGGTCTAAAACTAGGTCAAAACCAGGTCTAAAACCAGGTCTAAAACTAGGTCAAAACCAGGTCTAAACCAGGTCTAAAACCTAAACCGGGTCTAAAACAGGTCTAAACCAGGTCTAAAAACCAGGTCTAAAACCAGGTTTAAAACCGGGTCTAAACCAGGTCTAAACCAGGTCTAAAACCAGGTCTAAAACTAAAACCAGGTCTAAAACCAGGTCTAAACCAGGTCTAAACCAGGTCTAAACCAGGTCTAAAACCAGGTCTAAACCAGGTCTAAACCAGGTCTAAACCAGGTCTAAACCAGGTCTAAAACCAGGTCTAAAACCAGGTCTAAAACCAGGTCTAAAACCAGGTCTAAAACCAGGTCTAAAACCAGGTCTAAACCAGGTCTAAACCAGGTCTAAAACCGGGTCTAAACCAGGTCTAAAACCAGGTCTAAAACCAGGTTTAAAACCAGGTCTAAAACCGGGTCTAAAACCAGGTCTAAAACCAGGTCTAAAACCAGGTCTAAAACCAGGTCTAAACCAGGTCTAAAACCAGGTCTAAAACCAGGTCTAAAACCAAACCGGTCTAAACCAGGTCTAAACCAGGTCTAAACCAGGTCTAAAACCAGGTCTAAAACCAGGTTTAAAAACCGGGTCTCTAAACCAGGTCTAAACCAGGTCTAAACCAGGTCTAAAACCAGGTCAAAACCGGGTCTAAAACCAGGTCTAAAACCAGGTCTAAAACCAGGTCTAAAACAGGTCTAAACCAGGTCTAAAACCAGGTCTAAACCGGGTCTAAAACCGGGTCTAAAACCAGGTTTAAAACCAGGTTTAAAACCAGGTTTAAAACCAGGTCTAAAACCGGGTCTAAAACCAGGTCTAAAACCAGGTCTAAAACCAGGTCTAAAACAGGTCTAAAAAGGTCTAAACCAGGTCTAAAACCAGGTCTAAACCGGGTCTAAACCAGGTCTAAACCAGGTCTAAACCAGGTCTAAAACCAGATCTAAACAAGGTTTAAAACTTCTCTACAACAAATCAAGTAATCCAAAGTAATCAGATTACATTACTCGCCTTCAGTACTTTAATGGATTACGTTACAAACTACATTTTGGTGTGTGTAATCTGTAATCTGTAGGGGAATATGTTTTAAAAATCACCTTCCCGACACTGACAACAGAACAAGTTTAACAAACTCTCCATCTCACTCCAAATCACTAAATCCATTCAAGTTCTTCATCCTCGTTGTCACTTCTGAACAACTCGACCTCCGGAGGTAAACAGAGCGACGCAAACTCTTCTGTGTCGCTGTCGTCAGACTCAGCGTCAGTTCCAGTTAGAATTATTCGGGTCTTTCTGAATCCCGACAGGATGGTTTCGGTGTCACTGAAGTCCAGACTTTGTCCATCCGTCCAGCGACTTCAGGAAAGTTTCACGGTTCGTCCTCCCGGTTCTCGTGAAGCTGTGTTCTCCATCCTCGCTTTCAAAACCCCAGTCCCTCACAAGTTTCTCTCTCACTCCAAACTTTCCTTCTGCTGCTCGATGACAGTTTTTGGCTGAATATTTTGCTACTTGCAGCAGGACAGAGGCTCTTTCTACAGGAGACATGTGCAGTAGAGTGAAGTGACAGTGGTGCAGGAGGAACAGGAGCAGCAGATCCTCACACACAAGACTAGAACCTCTCCAAGCTTCGGTGTGAACATTTTAATATATAAGTCACAGGAAACACCCAAACCATGAAAAAAGTGCCACTTATAGTCCGAAAAATACATTAAGTAACTTGTTCACTCAGACCGATTCTAGAATTAAAATTAAAAATCAATTTACACAGACATTTTGACTACGTTCAGACTGCAGGGCTTAACGCTCAATTCAGATTTTTTTGTGAAATCCAATGTTTTTTCGGGGTCGTTCACATTTAAAATTAAATGTGACTTGTATGTGACTCCAGTGTGAACATTAAACGGCCCGAAAGTGTCCCACATGTGACACTGGAGACACGACGACGTCAACCGCAGCGAGCGTCTCTGTGTTTACAGAAGTTGTCCAAACATGGACGCAGCATCGAGCACCTGGAGATTTTAAAGTTCCTCTCGTACCGGAGCCAGAACATGAACAACTTACTTGTTTTAAGGAGGAGATTGAGAAGGAGAAGGACGAGGTTTTTGGTCGTGGTGTTTTGTGGTGAGTGGAGATGTGCTTCACTTCAGTCACACCGAGTTCATTAACAATTTTCTCCTACTTCAGCGCAGAATAGTGACGTTTGTGTCTTGTTGATAACGTGTAGGTGGATGAATGCACTTTGTCCGTTCACACTGAAGTCACATGTCAAAAGATCAGATATGTATCAGTTTCAGGAGCACATATCCAAGTGTCCTGGGTCACATTTGAAAAAATCGGATCTGTGTCGTTCAGACTGACATTAAAAGATCAGATACAGGAACATAGAAGCCAAAAAATCGGATTTGGGTGACTTCAGGCTGCAGTCTGAACGCAGCCTTCGCCGCAGAAAGCCAATAACCAGAAGTTCCATAAATCTAAAACGGGGGCGCTTCCGTCTGTTGTGAAAAAGTTCTATTAGACAGAACACAGTGGACTTATTTTGAGCTCAAGAGTTGCTCGTATGATAAACGTGTGGAGAGACACGTTGTTTTGAAATACGTGGAAAAGTCCGGTACAGGGCCTTTAAATTGCCTTTCCAAAACGACCCGGTGTCTGTCAGAGGTAACAGAACTCGAACAACTAAAGCTCCCATATTCTGCTGGAAATGCCTTTCACTTTTTTATTTTTTACCACCAACACTGTCGTTTCCTCGTCAAAAACATAGCTGGACTTTTAGTTTTCGGTCAAAAGTGATGTTCTTTCTCGACAGTCCAAACCGAGACGTGTTCCTCTGTGTCTCTTTTTTGTTCACCTAATCTGTCCAAAGGTTTCAAAAAAAATATAAAATTAAATTAAGTCTGTCACAAACAAAAACAAAATATTATGTTTTTTAAATCCCGAAAAGTCCTCAAAATGTCGCTCAAATAAATAAGTGTTAAAAGCCAAACCGCAACAAACCGTCTTTAAACGATTCCCCACTGTCGCAGGTAGGGGGCGCCTGTCTTTACTTTTGCACGAATTAAAGCCACACTGTGTAACTTTTCCGGCGGCGCTGCCCAGAACGTTCCGTAGCTCGGCATTTGGCGTCGCCGTTTTGCATTTAGTCCGTCGTGGGCGATTTTATTGCTTAAAAATACCTCGTAAACCGCGAGTTGTTAACCTGAGCGAACTCGCCTTTCCGCGGACCTCACCTGTAACTAACGCCGACTTGTCTAAACTAATAACATCTCCGTAGAGACAGAGAAATAAACAGATAAATGTTGTAATGCGGAACATTCCGGGCAAAACAATAACAATCTCATGGAAGTGTATAAATTCGGTTCTTATTTTCGATTTGTGTGATATCTCCACGGAAACGAGCAGCCGCAAACCCTCCGCCTGAGAAGTTACGCGGCGCATAAAAAGTTACACAGCGCGTCTTTAAGTCACGTCCGGAAGATTCCTAACGGTTGAAAAGCCGGATATGGGAGCTTTATTTCCCGGTTCCCCTCGCGGTCGGAGCTGTATTCTGTGATTCTCGTTCAAAGGCGTATCATTGTGCAATATTCTGTCATGTGAAAGTCGTGTGATTTATTTATGATTGTTTGATAGATTTTATTTTTACCAAAAATTGTTTAGAAACGTTTATATAAGCAATAAACAGTTGCAACAAAAAATGGACTCTGTTTGGGATTCTTTTTTTAAATGTTTTTTATGGGCCCAGGTTTTCTGAGGACTGAACGGAACAGGAATACAGTTGGAAATGGACAAAGGTTTTCAGATTTTTGTGGTTCACGTCTGGACATCGCCATGGAAACACAAGAAACCATTTTATAAACATCTGGTCCGTGTATAATTTGTTCTTTTGAATTTCAATTCAGAATGAAAAACGATATATATAATTATAATATATATAATTTGTTTTAAAAACCAACACCAACCTTCAGATCAGTGGACAAACGTTCGACCGACTGAGCTCCTGTCGCCCCCAAGTACAAGTACAGGTTTAAACTTCTACTCTAATCCAGTTTGCTTCCAGTACTCGCAGTATTATCAGCAGTATAAGAGATTCAAAGAGCCTCAGAGTAAAAATACATTTTATTAAAAAATAATTTAATGACACATAGAAAAGTTCCAGCTCAGATTTTCTCCTGCGTCTCATTTTTAACAAAGATGCATTCATGTGTGTTCGTTACTGTCTGTAAACAGTAGTTATGTTTCAACAAAATGAAAAAAGTAAAAGGTTTCGTACTAAACAAAGCACAAAATGAAATGACTTGTACGGCTTCAGTCAAGTGAAGAATTGGTTTGTAAACATTTAGAAAAGTTCTTAAAGTTCATACAGTTTCCTCAATATCAACGCTTTTAAATTAGACAATGAACAATATTAACAATGTGAATTAAATTAAGCGCAGTGTTTTAGACTTTTACATAAATAAATATAAAACTTTAAATAATCTGTTGCCATGGCGATAAGCAGACGGCACAAACGCAGCCCGCAGAGTTCTTCAGATTTCTCACTGTGAACTGTAATCAGGAGCTTTTTCGTTTTAATGTAAGTTTGTAGACGCTATCGTTTTGTCCAGAATGTTTCACACTACGGCATTAAACCTCTATCTCCGTGGAGACCAAACCAGAACGAGTTACAGGTCAGATCTGGGGTCAGAACGCCGGCTTTTCGAGGTATTTTTGAGCTGTAAAACCATCTGTAATCGAGTAAATATAAAGTCGAGGTGTTTAATGTCACACTGTGGAACATTCCAGGCAGGAGCGGGGACGTCTCCATAGAAACGAGCAAACGACGGAACCCCCGAGTTAAAAGTTACAGGTTGCCAAAGATCAACTCAGCGAGGAAAAGCGCTGGTTTGAACCGGCTTGTTTATGTCCCTGCGCGATTAAAAGGTGCACTGTGGAACTTTTCTGGCTTCTGCTGCCTCCTCGTCTCCACGGAGATGTTATAGAGTTGCCCGTAATGTTTCAGAGCCTGGCATTAAAAACAAACTACGGAGAGAGGCAGGTGACGTCTCCGAGCAGTGTTACTGGTCAGATCTGTGGAAACGTCGCTCATGGGAAGAACAAAGTTTTTCTGAGCAATAAAAATGACTGAATAATGCCGTACTGTGGAACATTCCGGGTAAAGCAAAAGCATCGCTATGGAGACAAGCGAGAGGCAGAACGTGTGTCAAAAGTTACACGGTGTACCTTTAAAATTCAAAGTCATTTCTGTGTATAAAAGATTATTTGTTCCATCAGATTCAGATTTTTAAGTGATTTTTTTAACTAAAAAAAAAAATGTGTTTGAAATATTTTTATTCAGAATTTTAGTTGCTGAAATTTTAAGTGTACTTTTTCAATATGTTTCAAATTTAAAAATACAAATATTCAGCACAGCACAGTTCATGATTTTGAATATTTAAGGTGACATTTTTTAGGTGAAACGTTTATTTTGATTTGTTGAAAACGTACACTTACAATTTCAGTAACTAAAATTCAGAGGAAAAATAATTCAAACATCTTTTTTCAGAGTAAAAAAAAAAATGTAAGTGTATTTAAAATTCAGAATCTAATGGAACAAATGATCTTCCACGCGTGTGTTTTTGTAAAAATAAATAACTGCGCGATCAGGGAGTTTGGACCTGAGGAAACATGAACTGGTGGTGCGGTGTCACGTGACCGAAGGCTCTGCCCCGATTGGCCGGTCGAGAGGCCGACGTGCGTCATGTGACCAGGCGCTCTCTCTCCTGATTGGTCCGTCTATCGTGTCCGAGGTCCCCATGCGTCTCCAGGTGTTTTTCTGAACGGGATCAGGATCAGGAGGAGGAGGAGAGTCGTCGGAATCTACAACATCTGGAAATAAGAAAATAAAACACAAATCACCAGTTTAACTCTTTCCCCCATGAAGACGACATTTGACGACCTCCTTGTTTCCTTAATGACGTGTTTTGACTCCTGCTGTTTCACTAAAGACGTGATTTGACGACCATTAGAAACGGTTTTGGTTTTTCACATGTAAACAGAGGCTGTGATAGGTGGAGCCACTACAACCCACACTAGACTGACCAATAGGATTCAAGGATATATTTTCACTGATTTTTTTCTAAAGTTAATCGAAGTAGTGACGATTGTAGCTTCCGGAAAAAACAACACGAAACACGAGCAATGGAAAGATCGCGGCACAGAGTTTTAGAAATAATGAGGAGCGGACGTATTTTATGGATAAGTTTAGAGAAAGTGACTTTTATAGATTTTAAAGTGATGATGAAGTTGATTATAAAGTGGAAAACAGCGACAGCGACGAACTTTCAGAGAGTGAAACTTACGAAGGATGAGAATGTCGCTGATGTGTCTGTGTGGAGTCCTGCGATATCCAAACAAACTATCCAGGACTTTATACTCGATTATGAACCAAAACTGCCCTGAAATCTGGATGTTTCTCAGGCGAGTCCTTTAAAATATTTCAGTCTTTTTTTCCAAGATGCGATGTTTGACAGAATCACTACAGAAACAAACTCTTATGTGGAGCTCTGCACACGAGAAAGTGACCAAGACGACAAATACTGAACACACACTGACGGGGAAGAGTTTTATTATTATATTATAATAAGATAAATGAGTTGAATAATGAATTGGGTAAAAACTGGTGAACAACAGGTAAAAACAGGTGAACACTTGGCTTTACTGTATGTGATGATATGAAATGTGTTTAAATACTTTGACAAAGTATATTTTATTTTTTTTATGAATATAGTTCTCAGAACATGCAGATATCAGATACTGAATGTAGTTTTTTTGTTTTTGATTTTGCACCTGACCAGGTAAACTCTCATTTTCAGTGAGCTGTTATAAACCTGTAAATGAGTTGAATCACATTTAAACATCCGGAAATGAAGAGTTCAGAGTCTGAGGTTTCCAGAGATACAAATATGTCTGTGTTACAATTAAGTTCATGAGGTAAAAATCATTTATAATCACTCGTGGAAGTCGGTTTTCTTTTATGCAGTGATGCTCTAAGGGGAGCCCCAGTCATATATGTCTGGGTTGTTCCTAGTCGGCGTCCAGGGGGGAAAGAGTTAAACCATAAATCGCTATGACAACCGTGCTATTTTTTTTTCACCATTCTGAAACCCGTCGAGAGGCAGTGTTGAGTGTAACGCATTACAGTAACTACTACTTTTTTCAGGTAAAAGTAATGTCCCTTTCTTTCTATCTATCTTTGTCTTTCTATTTACCCATCTTTTTCTTTCCTTCTTTCTATCTTTTTCTATCTATGTATCTTTTTCCATGCGTCTATTTGTCTAACGATCCACAAATGTTTCTCCTCCTCATTATTTCTTTGGGATCAGTTCCACAAACCCGACATATTTATCTTTTTGGTTCAGAGTCCTTTCACCCGAATCACTCGCGTCTTCGGGGATGAAAATTGAAAAAAATAACTTGACTTTAGTTTTTGTTTCGCGTGGATTGGGCTGAAAATTACAAACGAGATTCGAACCATAAACCCGGTCGACAATCTGCGACGTCCAAACCGCAAACTCCACCGTGAAGTTCTGACCCGCCTCCAGCTCAGGTTAAACTGATGCTGTGAATCCAAACTCCGCCGCCCGTTAAATCTTCTTTGTGCGGTTAATACCTGCGTTACCACGGTGACCTGCGGCAGCTCTGTGGCGACCGGCTCCTCCCCTGTTCCGGGGGTTTCCTCTGCCGCCGGTGTGAGGAGGCGGGTCTGCTTCAGGAGCTGAACAAACTGCAGTCTGAAAAACACACGTTATGACAGGTTCAAAAGATGATGACTCTGTTGTTTACACTTCTACAAACATGTTCTAACTCCTCCCACATCCCTCTGACTCCTCCCGCATCCCTCTAACTCCTCCCACGTCCCTCTGACTCCTCCCACATCCCTCTAACTCCTCCCTCATCCCTCTAACTCCTCCCTCATCCCTCTAACTCCTCCCTCATCTCTCTAACTCCTCCCTCATCTCTCTAACTCCTCCCTCATCTCTCTAACTCCTCCCTCATCCCTCTAACTCCTCCCTCATCCCTCTAACTCCTCCCTCATCCCTCTAACTCCTCCCTCATCTCTCTAACTCCTCCCTCATCCCTCTAACTCCTCCCTCCCTCTAACTCCTCTCTAACTCCTCCCTCATCCCTCTAACTCCTCCCTCATCCCTCTAACTCCTCCCTCATCCCTCTAACTCCTCCCTCATCCCTCTAACTCCTCCCTCATCTCTCTAACTCCTCCCTCATCCCTCTAACTCCTCCCTCTAACTCCTCCCTCATCTCTCTAACTCCTCCCTCATCCCTCTAACTCCTCCCTCATCCCTCTAACTCCTCTCACCCTCCTCCTCCTCTCTCTCCCTCTAACCCTCTCACATCCCCTCTTCTAACTCCTCTCGCATCCTCCTCTAACTCCTCTCGCATCCTCTCTCTAACTCCTCTCGCATCCCTCTCTCTAACTCCTCTCGCATCCCTCTCTATAACTCCTCTCGCATCCCTCTCTCTAACTCCTCTCGCATAACCCCTCTCTAACTCCTCTCATCTCCTCTCCTCTCCCTCTAACATCCTCTCCTAATCCCTCCTCTCTAACTCCTCTCGCATCCCTCTAACTCCTCTCACATCCCTCTCTCTAACTCCTCTCGCATCCCTCTCTCTAACTCCTCTCACATCCCTCTCTCTAACTCCTCTCGCATCCCTCTCTCTAACTCCTCTCGCATCCCTCTCTCTAACTCCTCTCGCATCCCTCTCTCTAACTCCTCTCACATCCCTCTCTCTAACTCCTCTCACATCCCTCTCTCTAACTCCTCTCACATCCCTCTCTCTAACTCCTCTCACATCCCTCTCTCTAACTCCTCCCGCATCCCTCAAACTCCTCCCTCATACTCCTCCCTCGTCCCTCATACTCCTCTCGCGTCCCTCTAACTCCTCTCGCGTCCCTCTAACTCCTCTCGCGTCCCTCTAACTCCTCTCGCGTCCCTCTAACTCCTCCCTCGTCCCTCTAACTCCTCCCTCATCCCTCTAACTCCTCCCTCATCCCTCTAACTCCTCCCTCATCCCTCTAACTCCTCCCACGTCCCTCTAACTCCTCCCTCTATCTCCTCTCACACCTCTGACCTGCGCTGTGCTTCGGCGAGTCTCCTCCTCTCTCGCGCGGTCATCGGCGCCCTCTTCTGCTCCGGAGAGGGAAGAGCAGAGAAGGCTTCACCGAGAGGCTCTGCACGGAGAGAGGGAGGGAGAGAAATAATCTAAATAAATAAATATTAATAGCAGCAGTTTTAGTTCACAGTAGTGTTTACAGATTCTATTTCGACTTTCCACATGACGGACCCATTCGCGTTGTTTATTTCTTACCGATAAAAGTGCTGTCGGATTCCAGCAGTGAGCATCTCGAGGGCCCTCCCAGAGCACTCCGCTGTGAAATCAACAAAAAACATGTTAAAATTAATCACAAAAATACAGAAGAAGTAAGACAATAGTTCTACTCACCGCGTAATCGTTGTGATGAGTTGGAGAAAAGTCGAAATAGTCTGAAAAACAAGATGGAAGTTGTTGTTTTTTTTGTGTGTGTGTGTACGGGCAAACCACCCAGAGAGATCGGGAGTCTAACCCACAACCGCCTGGTGAGGGGGAGGAGACAGGCTAACCACTCTGCCGCTCTTACCTCCCTGTACTGTGGACCTCTGGCTGTTGAACGGGTCTCTGTCGACGTGTTTAGGGACTTGACCAGAACCCAACCTGGACTCTACATCTGCAAAGAAAAAAGTTCAAACGATCAGGAGACACAGAAATTTAATTTATTATATTTAAGGGCGAATTTATAGTATTTGTTTTGTCCTTACTTGGTCAAGTCAGAGTTAAGTCATGATTCAGTCTTTCAAAATTAGAAAATTGTTGTGTAGACCTGCTAAAGTCCTGGTTTAGACTGATTTTAGAAAGGGTTTGGTTCAGTCCTGGCTTAGGGTGCTTGGTGCGCACCACACATTCCATTCGAACCAGAAGCTCTTAGATCGGTTAGTTCGTTTTCGTTGGTGTGAAAGTCAGTCTCACTCGGATCCACACTAAATCAAACGGACCGAGACCTCAAAAAAAGAGGTGGTCTCGGTCGCACTTGACTCCACAGCAAATACCAAACTCTGGTGTGTGCCAAACATGCTCCAAGTAACGATGGAGCGATCAAAAGAACCCAACTGATTTAATGAGCCATTTGCAGTTTCACTGAACCGGCAGTGTGGACTTAGACCTGCACGACTTCATCTGTCAGACAAGCATCTGCTACTGGCCGGATCAACCAGGGCTCCCCGGGCCAGGGAGACTCTTAGCTGGGGTTCGAGGGGTTCGAGGGGTTCTCTGCTGGAGGCCGGCGTTCAGTCGAGGGGACCGGCCCACGTCCTACGTAGCCCGAGGAGAGGCTCCGTGAGAAGGCCACTGGGGGAGACGGAGTGTCTCGGCCTTGCTCCTGCGAGGTCTGACATGGGGGAGGGCATCCCTGAGCCACGTGAAGGTCAGGAGTGAAAGAACCACACTGGAGTCTATCTTCTACAGAAGAACTATTTTATTGCCTGGTGTGGACCAAATAATCGAAACTAGTGGTGTGAAAGTGCCCTTAGTACCNGGACGTCTCCATAGAAACGAGCAAACGACGGAACCCCCGAGTTAAAAGTTACAGGTTGCCAAAGATCAACTCAGCGAGGAAAAGCGCTGGTTTGAACCGGCTTGTTTATGTCCCTGCGCGATTAAAAGGTGCACTGTGGAACTTTTCTGGCTTCTGCTGCCTCCTCGTCTCCACGGAGATGTATAAGAGTTGCCCGTAATGTTTCAGAGCCTGGCATTAAAAACAAACTACGGAGAGAGGCAGGTGACGTCTCCGAGCAGTGTTACTGGTCAGATCTGTGGAAACGTCGCTCATGGGAAGAACAAAGTTTTTCTGAGCAATAAAAATGACTGAATAATGCCGTACTGTGGAACATTCCGTTTAAAGCAAAAGCATCGCTATGGAGACAAGCGAGAGGCAGAACGTGTGTCAAAAGTTACACGGTGTACCTTTAAAATTCAATCATTTCTGTGTATAAAAGATTATTTGTTCCATCAGATTCAGATTTTTAAGTGAATTTTTTTAACTAAAAAAAAAAATGTGTGTTTGAAATATTTTTATTCAGAATTTCAGTTGCTGAAATTTTAAGTGTACTTTTTCAATATGTTTCAAATTTAAAAATACAAATATTCAGCACAGCACAGTTCATGATTTTGAATATTTAAGGTGACATTTTTTTAGGTGAAACGTTTATTTTGATTTGTTGAAAACGTACACTTACAATTTCAGTAACTAAAAATTCAGAGGAAAAATAATTCAAACATCTTTTTTCAGAGTAAAAAAAAAAATGTAAGTGTATTTAAAATTCAGAATCTAATGGAACAAATGATCTTCCACGCGTGTGTTTTTGTAAAAATAAATAACTGCGCGATCAGGGAGTTTGGACCTGAGGAAACATGAACTGGTGGTGCGGTGTCACGTGACCGAAGGCTCTGCCCCGATTGGCCGGTCGAGAGGCCGACGTGTATCATGTGATCAGGCGCTCTCTCTCCTGATTGGTCCGTCTATTGTGTCCGAGGTCCCCATGCGTCTCCAGGTGTTTTTCTGAACGGGATCAGGATCAGGAGGAGGAGGAGAGTCGTCGGAATCTACAACATCTGGAAATAAGAAAATAAAAACACAAATCACCAGTTTAACTCTTTCCCCATGAAGACGACATTTGACGACCTCCTTGTTTCCTTAATGACGTGTTTGACTCCTGCTGTTTCACTAAAGACGTGATTTGACCATTAGAAACGGTTTTGGTTTTTCACATGTAAACAGAGGCTGTGATAGGTGGAGCCACTACAACCCACACTAGACTGACCAATAGGATTCAAGGATTTTCACCGATTTTTTCCGAAGTTAATCGAAGTAGTGACGATTGTAGCTTCCAGAAAAAACAACACGAAACACGAGCAATGGAAAGATTGTGGCACAAAGTTTTAGAAATAATGAGGAGCGGACGTATTTTATGGATAAGTTTAGAGAAAGTGACTTTTATAGATTTTAAAGTGATGATGAAGTTGATTATAAAGTGGAAAACAGCGACAGCGACGACTTTTCAGAGAGTGAAACTTACGAAGATGAGAATGTCGCTGAATGTGTCTGTGTGGAGTCCTGCGATATCCCAACAAACTATCAGGGGCTTTATACTCGATTATGAACCAAAACTGCCCTGAAATCTGGATGTTTCTCAGGCGAGTCCTTTAAAATATTTCAGTCTTTTTTTCCAAGATGCGATGTTTGACAGAATCACTACAGAAACAAACACTTATGTGGAGCTCTGCACACGAGAAAGTGACCAAGATGACAAATACTGGACACACACTGACGGGGAAGAGTTTTATTATTATATTATTATATTATAATAAGATAAATGAGTTGAAATGAATTGGGTAAAAACTGGTGAACAACAGGTAAAAACAGGTGAACACTTGGCTTTACTGTATGTGATGATATATGAAATGTGTTTAAATACTTTGACAAAGTATATTTTTATTTTTTTTATGAATATAGTTCTCAGAACATGCAGATATCAGATACTGAATGTAGTTTTTTTGTTTTTGATTTTGCACCTGACCAGGGTAAACTCTCATTTTCAGTGAGCTGTTATAAACCTGTAAATGAGTTGAATCACATTTAAACATCCAGAAATGAAGAGTTCAGAGTCTGAGGTTTCCAGAGATACAAAAATATGTCTGTGTTACAATTAAGTTCATGAGGTAAAAATCATTTATAATCACTCGTGGAAGTCGGTTTTCTTTTATGCAGTGATGCTCTAAGGGGAGCCCCAGTCATATATGTCTGGGTTGTTCCTAGTCGGCCTCCAGGGGGGAAAGAGTTAAACCATAAATCGCTATGACAACCGTGCTATTTTTTTTCACCATTCTGAAACCCGTCGAGAGGCAGTGTTGAGTGTAACGCATTACAGTAACTACTACTTTTTTCAGGTAAAAGTAATGTCCCTTTCTTTCTATCTATCTTTGTCTTTCTATTTACTCATCTTTTTCTTTCCTTCTTTCTATCTTTTTCTATCTATGTATCTTTTTCCATGCGTCTATTTGTCTAACGATCCACAAATGTTTCTCCTCCTCATTATTTCTTTGGGATCAGTTCCACAAACCCGACATATTTATCTTTTTGGTTCAGAGTCCTTTCACTCGTGTCTTCGGGGATGAAAATTGAAAAAAATAACTTGACTTTAGTTTTTGTTTCGCGTGGATTGGGCTGAAAATTACAAACGAGATTCGAACCATAAACCCGGTCGACAATCTGCGACGTCCAAACCGCAAACTCCACCGTGAAGTTCTGACCCGCCTCCAGCTCAGGTTAAACTGATGCTGTGAATCCAAACTCCGCCGCCCGTTAAATCTTCTTTGTGCGGTTAATACCTGTGTTACCACGGTGACCTGCGGCAGCTCTGTGGCGACCGGCTCCTCCCCTGTTCCGGGGGTTTCCTCTGCCGCCGGTGTGAGGAGGCGGGTCTGCTTCAGGAGCTGAACAAACTGCAGTCTGAAAAACACACGTTATGACAGGTTCAAAAGATGATGACTCTGTTGTTTACACTTCTAACAAACATGTTCTAACTCCTCCTCCCACATCCCTCTAACTCCTCCCACATCCCTCTGACTCCTCCCGCTCGTCCCTCTAAATCCCTCTCTCCTCCCGCATCCCTCTAAACTCCTCCTCACATCTCTCTCTAACTCTCTCTCTCTAACTCCTCTCACACTCTAACTCCTCTCATCCCTCTAACTCCTCCCTCACTCTCTCCCTCTCTCTAACTCCTCCTCTCATCCCTCTAACTCCTCTTCTAACTCCTCCCTCATCTCTCTAACTCCTCTCCTCATCCTCCTCTAATCCTCCCTCATCCTCCTCCTCTAACTCCTCTCACACTCTCTCTAACTCCTCTCACATCTCTCTAACTCCTCCCGCATCCTCTAACTCCTCCCTCAATCCTCCTCTTAACGTCCTCCCTCGTCCCTCTAACTCCTCTCGCGTCCCTCTAACTCCTCCCGCGTCCCTCTAACTCCTCCCACATCCCTCTAACTCCTCCCTCGTCCCTCTAACTCCTCCCTCATCCCTCTAACTCCTCCCACGTCCCTCTAACTCCTCCCTCTATCTCCTCTCACACCTCTGACCTGCCGCTGTGCTTCGGCGAGTCTCCTCCTCTCTCGCGCGGTCATCGGCGCCCTCTTCTGCTCCGGAGAGGGAAGAGCAGAGAAGGCTTCACCGAGAGGCTCTGCACGGAGAGAGGGGGAGAGAAATAATCTAAATAAATAAATATTAATAGCAGCAGTTTTAGTTCACAGTAGTGTTTACAGATTCTATTTCGACTTTCCACATGACGGACCCATTCGCGTTGTTTATTTCTTACCGATAAAAGTGCTGTCGGATTCCAGCAGTGAGCATCTCGAGGGCCCTCCCAGAGCACTCCGCTGTGAAATCAACAAAAAACATGTTAAAATGAATCACAAAAATACAGAAGAAGTAAGACAATAGTTCTACTCACCGCGTAATCATTGTGATGAGTTGGAGAAAAGTCGAAATAGTCTGAAAAACAAGATGGAAGTTGTTTTTTTTTTTGTGTGTGTGTGTACGGGCAAACCACCCAGAGAGATCGGGAGTCTAACCCACAACCGCCTGGTGAGGGGGAGGAGACAGGCTAACCACTCTGCCGCTCTTACCTCCCTGTACTGTGGACCTCTGGCTGTTGAACGGGTCTCTGTCGACGTGTTTAGGGACTTGACCAGAACCCAACCTGGACTCTACATCTGCAAAGAAAAAAGTTCAAACGATCAGGAGACACAGAAATTTTAAATTTATTATATTTAAGGGCGAATTTATAGTATTTGTTTTGTCCTTACTTGGTCAAGTCAGAGTTAAGTCATGATTCAGTCTTTCAAAATTAGAAAATTGTTGTGTAGACCTGCTAAAGTCCTGGTTTAGACTGATTTTAGAAAGGGTTTGGTTCAGTCCTGGCTTAGGGTGCTTGGTGCGCACCACACATTCCATTCGAACCAGAAGCTCTTAGATCGGTTAGTTCGTTTTCGTTGGTGTGAAAGTCAGTCTCACTCGGATCCACACTAAATCAAACGGACCGAGACCTCAAAAAAAAGAGGTGGTCTCGGTCGCACTTGACTCCACAGCAAATACCAAACTCTGGTGTGTGCCAAACATGCTCCAAGTAATGATGGAGCGATCAAAAGGACCCAACTGATTTAATGAGCCATTTGCAGTTTCACTGAACCGGCAGTGTGGACTTAGACCTGCACGACTTCATCTGTCAGACAAGCATCTGCTACTGGCCGGATCAACCAGGGCTCCCCGGGCCAGGGAGACTCTTAGCTGGTTCGAGGGGTTCGAGGGGTTCTCTGCTGGAGGCCGGCGTTCAGTCGAGGGGACCGGCCCACGTCCTACGTAGCCCGAGGAGAGGCTCCGTGAGAAGGCCACTGGGGGAGACGGAGTGTCTCGGCCTTGCTCCTGCGAGGTCTGACATGGGGGAGGGCATCCCTGAGCCACGTGAAGGTCAGGAGTGAAAGAACCACACTGGAGTCTATCTTCTACAGAAGAACTATTTTATTGCCTGGTGTGGACCAAATAATCGAACTAGTGGTGTGAAAGTGCCCTTAGTACCAGTCCAAGCGTGGCTCAAGTCCTGTTTCAGTTCTTGGTCTAGTCCAAGGCCGGGGACTAGACTAGGGGAGGGCAAAAACCTTGCCACGTCCCCGTCCCACGGTCACGTCCCGTCACGTCCCAGGTCACGTCCCCGGCCACGTCCCCGGTCACGTCCCTGGCCACGTCCCCGGCCACGTCCCCGGTGCCTGGTCAAGATCCCAGAGTTGAAGTCTTACCATTGTACTTGAGCTGTAGGGAGTCGTGTATCTGTGGCAGGTTCTTGGGCTCTGTGCTTCTAGAGCTCGGTCTTCTGACTGGAGCCTGGAGTTTGAGCCGTGCCATGTCAAACACGTCCACCTGGGGGCGCTCTCTCTGTCTGCACACGCATGAAAAGAATCAGAGGTTCAGCACTGATGAGCGCTTACAGAAGGTACTCACAGACTCTTGTTAGGGTTCACGTAAGCCCCTGGATGTCCACACGTGGCGCTACATGTGGACATGCTTTTTATATCTCAAGAAGATGTGCACAGGTGTGTGGACAGGTGAACTGGCAGGTGCAGCCCGTGTTTACCTGTCGCTAAGCGGAGACTCCAGATCCAGGTCCCAGTCCTGTTGCAGACGTCCCTCCAGTCTCTTCTGTTCGGTCCGGAGCTGCCTCCTGAGAGCAGACAGCTCACTGAACACGTCGCGGTACTTTCCTGTCCACACGCACAGACAAGTGTTGAAGTGCAGGGATACGCACAAACACACGGTCATGGTGGTAACATAAAGACAATGAATGAAGATACTCGTAACAACAAATGCACCGTAACCTCCAGACTATCGAGCGCACCTGAATATAAGCCGCACCAACTCAATTTTAACAGGAAAAAAAAAAAAAGTGTACATATATAGGTCGCACTTGTCTCTCAGCCGCAGGTGTCCATGTTGTTACTTGAGATACAGACAGATTTTTTTCACTTTTAATTACTAGGGATGTAACAATAACTGAAATATCGTGGTATCGTATCATCAAAGTTCTCACAATAATATCGTGGACCAGCACAATATATCGAATTACAAGTCTCTTTGCTTAAATGAAGAGTTATGGTGCAGCAAGAGCTAAAAAAAAAAAAGACAGAGAACTACATAGACCATGATCCTTTGCTCCATTTCAGTGCAGACTACAAAAAGAAATAACAGTTCTAACAGTTTTAAGTCTTACTTCTTTGGATTAAGTCTTGTCATGACATTTTAAGAGGAAAAAGAAGCAGATTAACAGTTTTAGCTGTTTAGCCTCCACAAAATATCGCAATAAATATCGTACTGTGAGATTTATATCATGAAAATACTGTACCGAGAGATTTAGATATTGTTACATCCCTAATCGTGAGCCTCCCCACCAAATCGTGAGCTTTTCCACAATATCACAATAAATTAAATATCGTAACAGTGAGGTTCATACCGTGACGATATCGTATCGTCAGACTTGGATATCGTTACGCCTCTAATAATTACCACATTTTTCGGGCTATAAATTGGTCCGGAGTATAAGTCACAACAGCCAAAAAATGCGTAACGAAGAAGAAAAAAACATATATAAGTTGCATTTTTGGGGGGAAAAATAAAATAACTGAAATATCGTGATATCGTACCGTAAAAAGTCTCATAATAATATCAAGCTGTCACAATATATCAAATCACAAGTTTCTTTGCTCAAATGCCTTGTTCTTTATTAGCAACATCTTACGAACATCAGGAACTACAGATCCCATGATTCATTTCAGCGCAGACAACATGAAGAAATATGTTTTAATTTGAGTTCTTGGGATTATGACGGTAATAATTCACACCAAAATCTCGTCAAGCTATTTTAAAAGCAAAGAAGAGTCCCATCTACAAATATATTAGCCTCTTCAAAATACTGCAATAAATATCGCACTGACAGATTTCCATATCGTTACATCCCGAGGCCATATGTTCGCATCGTTGTTTAAGCTGCAGGGTTCAAAGTGTGAGAAAAAAGTAACGGCTTAAAGTACGGAAATGATGATATATATTTTACTAGGAATGTGAGAAGTTACAATCCAGTACCTGCACTTATACCATATTTTTCGGACTAAAAGTGGCACTTTTGTTCATAGTTTGGGCGTTTCCTACGACTTATACTCAGGTGCGACTTAGGCTGCGTTCAGACTGCAGCCTGAAGTGACCCAAATCCGATTTTTTGGTTTCTATGTTCCTGTATCTGATCTTTTAATGTCAGTCTGAACCACACAGATCAGATTTTTTCAAATGTGACCCAGGACACTTGGATATGTGCTCCTGAAACTGATACATATCTGATCTTTAACATGTGACTTCAGTCTGAACGGTCAAAGTGCATTCATCCACCTACACGTTATCAACAAGACACAAACGTCACTATTCTGCGCTGAAGTAGGAGAAAATTGTTAATGAACTCGGTGTGACTGAAGTGAAGCACATCACCACTCACCACTCTTGGCTCCGTCTCCACATCCACACGTTCCTTTCAACAAACATCGGATTTCACAAAAAAATCTGAATTGAGCGTTAAACCCTGCAGTCTGAACGTAGCCTATTATACTAACATTTTCAGACAGGCACGAGAGGTTCTAGTCTTGTGTGTGAGTATCTGCTGCTCCTGTTCCTCCTGCACCACTGTCACTTCACTCTACTGCGCATGTCTCCTGTAGAAAGAGCCTCTGTCCTGCTGCAAGTAGCGAAATATTCAGCCAAAAACTGTCATCGAGCAGCAGAAGGAAAGTTTGGAGTGAGAGAGAAACTTGTGAGGGACTGGGGTTTTGAAAGCGAGGATGGAGAACACAGCTTCACGAGAACCGGGAGGACGAACCGTGAAACCTTCCTGAAGTCGCTGGACGGATGGACAAAGTCTGGACTTCAGTGACACCGAAACCATCCTGTCGAGATTCAGAAAGACCCGAATAATTCTAACTGGAACTGACGCTGAGTCTGACGACAGCGACACAGAAGAGTTTGCGTCGCTCTGTTTACCTCCGGAGGTCGAGTTGTTCAGAAGTGACAACGAGGATGAAGAACTGAATGGATTTAGTGATTTGGAGTGAGATGGAGAGTTTGTTAAACTTGTTCTGTTGTTTATGTTATAGTTTATCTGAAGAACTGTTCATATGTGACGTTAACAGTCTGTTGTTTTCTCTTCTATTGTTTTTACTACAACTTGACTTTACACAGGAAATGTCGGTTCCTGATCTCTGATTTTATAAAATAAATTTCCCCCAAAAACTGCGACTTGTATATGTTTTTTCTTCTTCATTACGCATTTTTTGGCTGGTGCGATTTACAGTCTGAAGGGATTTATAGTCTAAAAATACGGTAACTAAAAAAAAAACAGATTAATCCTGACAAACCTGCTGCTCGGAGCTGGTTCCTCCGGGCGGGAACAGGGGGCGACTGGAGCCCAGACAGAGACCTCTCCTTTGGGACACAGCACCACAGTTAAATCCCTCAGTGTAATTAAACAGGCTGGGGTCAGATATAATAATAATAATAATAATAATAATGGCGTCTTACAGAGAGAGGGGGGAGGGACTGCTGACTCTCCACTGTGGGAGGTCTGGGACTGAACACAGACAGACCCAGTTTCTTCTGAAGAGTCGGAATCGGAGGAGACGGCGCTCTGCAAACCTGAACACAACCGAGATAGACAAATAAATAAGTGGATGGATAAATAGAAAGAGGTCGAGAGAGACTTTATATACTTTATTGATTCAGAGGGAAATTCAAGCTTAGCTGCAGAAACATTTACACTTTGCTTTTCAATCTCGGTTCGTGTCTTGGTCAAAGGTCACAGTTCAGTTTAACAGGACGACTCAGAGGCTTTTCTCAGGATTTCACCAGCACTTTTGTGCAAACAGTAATTTTATAGACAAGTGTCTCTCAAACCTTTCACACCAAAGAAAAGATTGGACTTTGCCAAGATCTAAAAAAGGTATATAAATGGTCCCATTTTTGGTCTAAACTGTGGCTAAACCTGGTGTGACTGTTCATTTATTCATTATTCATTATTTATATGTTTTGTATTTTTCAGACCATCAGAATCTGTGTATCATTTGTTTATTTGTTTTTCAAAATAAAACAAAACAAAACAAAAATTATATATATTTTCTTCATTACTTGTCTCCAGAACAAAAATGAAAAAAAAAAAAACAAAAAAAAAAAACAGATAACGATTTTTTTTTCTTTCAGTTTTCGATTTTGTGTTTAAATGAAAAATGGAAAAAATGGTTAACGACCCTTGACGTGACTTAAAATGCGATGCTGGACTAAACCAGGACTAAACCAGGACTAAACCAGGACTAAACCAGGACTAAACCAGGACTAAACCAGGACTAAATCAGGACTAAATCAGGACTAAACCAGGACTGAGTGTTGGGACGGGCTCAGAGGTGAGTCAGGTGATCAGGACTGAGACCGGGACTGAGACCTGAGACCGGGACTGAGACCGGGACTGAGACCGGGACTGAGACCGGGACTGAAACCAGGACTAAGGCCAGGACTAAGGCCAGGACTAGGACCAGGACCGAGACTGAGACCAGGACTGACCGGTTTAGACCTGGTTTAGACCTGGTTCAGACCTGGGACCTGGTTCAGACCTGGTTCAGACCTGGTTCAGACCTGGTTTAGAGCTTCAGACCTGGTTAGACCTGTTTAGACCTGGTTCAGACCTGGTCTAGACCTGGTTCAGACCTGGTTCAGACCTGGTTTAGACCTGGTTCAGACCTGGTTCAGACCTGGTTTAGACCTGGTTCAGACCTGGTTCAGACCTGCTTCAGACCTGCTTCAGACCTGGCTTCAGACCTGGTTTAGACCTGGTTCAGACCTTTAGACCTGGTTCAGACTTGGTTCAGACCTGGTTCAGACCTGCTTCAGACCTGCTTCAGACCTGCTTCAGACCTGCTTCAGACCTGGTTTAGACCTGGTTTAGACCTGACCTGGTTTCAGACCTGGTTTAGACCTGGTTTAGACCTGGTTCAGACCTGGTTCAGACCTGGTTCAGACCTGGTTTAGACCTGGTTCAGACCTGGTTCAGACCTGGTTCAGACCTGGTTCAGACCTGGTTTAGACCTGGTTCAGACCTGGTTCAGACCTGGTTTAGACCTGGTTCAGACCTGGTTTAGACCTGGTTCAGACTTGGTTCAGACCTGGTTCAGACCTGGTTCAGACCTGCTTCAGACCTGCTTCAGACCTGGTTTAGACCTGGTTTAGACCTGGTTCAGACCTGCTTCAGACCTGCTTCAGACCTGGTTTAGACCTGGTTCAGACCTGGTTTAGACCTGGTTTAGACCTGGTTCAGACCTGGTTTAGACCTGGTTCAGACCTGGTTCAGACCTGGTTTAGACCTGGTTCAGACCTGGTTCAGACCTGGTTCAGACCTGGTTCAGACCTGGTTTAGACCTGGTTTAGACCTGGTTCAGACCTGGTTCAGACCTGCTTCAGACCTGGTTCAGACCTGGTTCAGACCTGGTTTAGACCTGGTTCAGACCTGGTTTCAGACCTGGTTCAGACCTGCTTCAGACCTGCTTCAGACCTGGTTTAGACCTGGTTTAGACCTGTTTAGACCTGGTTCAGACCTGGTCTTGGCACAGTTATTTTGTTGAGAGTTAAAGTGCTGTAATAGTCGTGTAATGTTTTACATTTTAAATACAAGTAATATTGTAATGACAGAAACAAGTCATAAATAAATAAATAAATAACACAAAAGAGTTTTAAGCAACTTGCCCAACAGTGGTTACTGAGCTCTCATTACATATGTACTGAAATGTGAATTTATTACAAGAGATCATTTGTAATTGTGGATCAAATTGGCTCTAAATTAAAATAAAAACCATGTTAGAACTGTAGACGACCTGAGGTACCTGTGCATAATCTCACCTCTGTGACATGGACCTGTCTCTCTCTCTCCTGTCGTCTCCTCAGGGCTTCACTCTCTCTCTCCTCCTCTTCTTTCTTCTTTCTTTCTGCTTCTCTTTTCCTCTCCTCCGCCAGCCGGATCAACTCTTCATTTTTGGCTTTTTGCTGCAACACAATAGTACAAAAACACGGCGTTACCGGGCATGCAGATTCTCGCCAGTCACTTTTACACCAACAGCTTCAAAGTGCACATGGCGGGTTTTTTACGTTTTTCTAATTATGTTTAGGTTTGGATGGTACCTGCGCTAATTACTGTCAAAGTTTTACGCGAGTTAAGTGGCAGTTCGTGAAGAAAAGTTGGAAGGAAAAGTACAAAAATACAGGAAGTAGCACAGAATCACTCCACTTATGTCATCAACAAGGAAAACTCCAACCAAAATGCAGAGAAACACACAAGGAAGGCATTTTTCTGACAGTTTCAACCCTCACTTAACTAAATAAAGGTGTTGTCATTTATTTTATTGGTCTAATTATAACTACCGAGTTTTGTAGGGATGCACCAAAATGAAAACACCGAATATCAAATGCAGTTGTTTTTTTTAATATTGCATAAATAGCCTAGAATACATTTTTAGACATGTTTTTAAAAGAGAGTAAATGTTTATTTAATATTCTTTAAATATCCCAGTAGACTTTTCAGTAAGTATATCAGTAAGTTTTTCATTCATATTAGGCTTGGGCCTTCAAACAAAACAACAATTCCAAAAAAACTGAAGAGTGCGTTTGTCCAGTGTGAGCACAATCGAACCATCCCCAGGAACGGCCCGGTTGGGACTTTGGCCCGGTTGGAGGAAGTGGGCCAACCTCCTCCAACGACTTTACACACACGACTTCACTATACGAACCCTGTGTGCGCGCTGATGTCACGTATACAAGGAAAAGAGTGAATAAAGTCCGCTCTAAAACACACGGTGAATCCGCGCTCACCTTCAATAAGGAATGTGACAGAAGTGTAGCTGCCTCTTCTCTCCGGCCGTCATCACTGCTCTGCGCTGTTTTTATCTCCATAAACTCACGGAGGCGTGCGTATCATAAGAGGACGCACATCTGCCTCAATATTTAATAGATATTTCTGCTACTGGACTACACTACTGTGACACGTGTAAACAAACAGCACAGTGACACATGTAAACAAACAGCGCCGTGACGCATGTAAACAAACAGCACTGTGACACGTGTAAACAAACAGTAAACAAACAGCGCAGTGACACATGTAAACAAACAGCGCCGTGACACGTGTAAACAAACAGCGCCGTGACACATGTAAACAAACAGCGCAGTGACGCAAGTAAACAAACAGCGCAGTGACACGTGTAAACAAACAGCGCAGTGACGCAAGTAAACAAACAGCGCAGTGACATGTAAACAAACAGCGCAGTGACGCGTGTAAACAAACAGCGCCGTGACGCGTGTAAACAAACAGCGCCGTGACACGTGTAAACAAACAGCGCCGTGACACATGTAAACAAACAGCGCCGTGACCATGTAAACAAACAGCGCAGTGACGCAAGTAAACAAACAGCGCCGTGACATGTAAACAAACAGCGCAGTGACGCATGTAAACAAACAGCGCAGTGACGCATGTAAACAAACAGCGCAGTGACGCATGTAAACAAACAGCGCAGTGACGCATGTAAACAAACAGCGCCGTGACGCATGTAAACAAACAGCGCAGTGACACATGTAAACAAACAGCGCAGTGACGCATGTAAACAAACAGCGCGCATGTAAACAAACAGGCAGTGACACATGTAAACAAACAGCGCCGTGACACATGTAAACAAACAGCGCCGTGACGCAAGTAAACAAACAGCGCCGTGACGCAAGTAAACAAACAGCGCCGTGACACGTGTAAACAAACAGCGCCGTGACACGTGTAAACAAACAGCGCCGTGACACGTGTAAACAAACAGCGCCGTGACACGTGTAAACAAACAGCGGAGTGACACGTGTAAACAAACAGCGGAGTGACACGTGTAAACAAACAGCGCAGTGACACGTGTAAACAGCGCACGCGTGTAAACAAACAGCGCAGTGACGCGTGTAAACAAACAGCGGCGTGACGCGTGTAAACAAACAGCGCAGTGACACATGTAAACAAACAGCGCCGTGACACGTGTAAACAAACAGCGCTGTGACGTATGTAAACAAACAGCACAGTGACGCGTGTAAACAAACAGCACCGTGACACGTGTAAACAAACAGCGCCGTGACACGTGTAAACAAACAGCGCAGTGACACGTGTAAACAAACAGCGCCGTGACACGTGTAAACAAACAGCGCCGTGACACGTGTAAACAAACAGCGCCCGTGACACGTGTAAACAAACAGCGCACGTGTAAACAAAACAGCGCAGTGACGTGCAAGTAAACAAACAGCGCAGTGACACGTGTAAACAAACAGCGCAGTGACGCAAGTAAACAAACAGCGCAGTGACACGTGTAAACAAACAGCGCAGTGACACGTGTAAACAAACAGCGCAGTGACACGTGTAAACAAACAGCGCCGTGACACGTGTAAACAAACAGCGCCGTGACACGTGTAAACAAACAGCGCAGTGACACGTGTAAACAAACAGCGCAGTGACGCAAGTAAACAAACAGCGCAGTGACACGTGTAAACAAACAGCGCAGTGACACATGTAAACAAACAGCACAGTGACATGTAAACAAACAGCGCAGTGACACATGTAAACACATGTAAACAAACAGCGCAGTGACACAAGTAAACAAACAGCGCAGTGACACGTGTAAACAAACAGCGCAGTGACACAAGTAAACAAACAGCGCAGTGACACATGTAAACAAACAGCGCAGTGACACATGTAAACAAACAGCGCAGTGACACATGTAAACAAACAGCGCAGTGACGCAAGTAAACAAACAGCGCCGTGACACGTGTAAACAAACAGCGCCGTGACACGTGTAAACAAACAGCGCAGTGACACATGTAAACAAACAGCGCAGTGACGCAAGTAAACAAACAGCGCCGTGACACGTGTAAACAAACAGCGCCGTGACGCATGTAAACAAACAGCGCAGTGACACATGTAAACAAACAGCGCAGTGACACGTGTAAACAAACAGCGCAGTGACGCATGTAAACAAACAGCGCAGTGACGCATGTAAACAAACAGCGCAGTGACGCATGTAAACAAACAGCGCCGTGACACGTGTAAACAAACAGCGCCGTGACGCATGTAAACAAACAGCGCCGTGACGCATGTAAACAAACAGCACCGTGACACATGTAAACATACAGCGCAGTGACACATGTAAACAAACAGCGCAGTGACACATGTAAACAAACAGCGCCGTGACACATGTAAACAAACAGCGCAGTGACACATGTAAACAAACAGCACCGTGACACATGTAAACAAACAGCGCAGTGACACATGTAAACATACAGCGCAGTGACACATGTAAACAAACAGCGCGGTGATACATGTAAACAAACAGCGCGGTGCGATGACGTCACTGGGCCCGGTTCGGTTGTGCAGGTGCGCCTAAATATTTCCACACTGCCGACACTTTAAAGAAGGCGTCAGATCACTGCGTCACCGCACGATGTTTGACTGTGTCAGAGTCACACGGCACTGTTCAACCTGACTTTTAACTCACTCCACCGAAAGCCGACTGTGGCTTTTTTTTTTTTTTTTTGAGTATTCGGCTGAATATATTCGGTTGCTGAATATTCGGTGCACCCCTCGGGTTTTGGCCCTTGTTTACATTATGGTTGCTAGTTAAGATATGGAGTAACCTCTGTGTTTCATATTCTGCCTGTGTCCAATCAGAAAGTCAAATGATCAACTTCATTGTTTTTTAGATTTCTTCTTTTTTTTTTTTTTTATTTGGTAACGTTAACCATTATTTTATTGAAATGAGTAGTCTACCCTGACATATGCACTTTAATTTAAATGATAGTGAAATAAAACCATCTGGCAGTGTTGTACCTCTTGTTCTTTGCGTCTCTTCCTCTCCTGCTCCTCTTCAAACTCCTTCTGTATTCTCTCTCTCTGTTCAGCCAGCCTCTTCTCCTCCTTCTCCTCCTCCAAGCGCATTCGCTCCCTCTCCTCCGCCTTCTTACGCATCTTCTCATCGATCTGGAAAACGCATTATAACGTTCACAGTCACATAATTATACACGACAGCTTTTGCGTTGTGTAACTTTTCTGGTGGAATGTCCGTCAAATGCTTTTCTCCATGGAGATGTTACTAAACCAGGTCTAGAACCGGACTATTCTAGGTCTAAACTAAGGCTAAATCAGGTCTAAAATATGACTACACCATTTATATACAACTTTTTTTTTTTTCATTTTACATATCAAAATAGCAAATATCAACAGGTTATACAATAGTTTTTGGACCCTTTGGACCAATTTTGCTAGAACAGATTTTTCCTTAGACTTTTCATATTCTTGGACCCAGATACAATGAGCTGATAAAGGGAACTGTAAAGTGTATTTTTAAAAGTGCACCTGTAGTTTGAGATAAGCCTTGTACTTGTCCTGCTCCTGAAGCTGCTGCTGTGAAGGAGGAGCTGAAAACACAGAACCTCGAGCGAACTGAGGAGTCTGGACATGAGTGAAACCTGAGAAAGAAGAGAAGAGAAAAGTAGGTTAGACTGAAAATATATGAGACAATCAAGCATCAAGAGGGTGAAAGGCATTTTGGGGTGAAGTGTAATCATCTAAAATACAATATTATTACCTTATTTTTTGGACTATAAGGCGCACTTAAAATCCTTTAATTTACTCAAATATCGTCAGTGCACTTTATGTATTAATTCTGGTTGTGCTTACTGACCTCGAACCGATTTTATGTGGTAAACGGCGCTCAAAAATCTGTCAAAATGTTTGGTAAGCTACGAAGCTTGGTGGACTGTCGGAGCTTTACAGCGACCGTAGTCAGGAGCCTCGAGGAGTAATACACATTCACCGAGACAGGGAGGCAATGCTGGGCGAGCTACGCCACGATCTGCCGATGGATCGTGGACGCCTGGTCTAAGGGATCGGTCTCAAGTGTCGTCCGAGCTTTCACGAAGGCCTGAATCATCACTGAACAGCGAAGTAACAGCAACGAGATGACGAGACGGGACGGATCCGGGCTCGATGTCGAAATTGCCCAACTGTTAAACTCAAGACACGGAAGATGAAGAATTTGATGGATTTGTGGAAGAGGAATGAACTGAAAAAGTGAGTGTATTGTTTTGTATTTTATGTGTTACAACTGAACAATGTTGAGACTAGGGCTGGGCGATGTGGATCAAAAAATATATCTCGATATACGATATATATCTCGATATATGTTCAAGAAAAAATAACCCCCTAAAACTGAAAACTGCAAAAACAAATCTGCCAAATTCCACAAGGTCTTTTTTTTTTAATTGAAGTGTAAGAGGTCGACAGTTCATACAGGAACATTTAAGATTACAAAAACACTAATTACATAAATAATAATTTAACTGTAAAATAAAACAAATAATACATATTTCCTTCTTTTCATTCATAAATAAACCAACTCAACACAAGCTCATCTTTGCATTAACTCTGTTCTCCAGACCAGAACCAGAACCATGAGCTCATTTAGCAGAAGAAGCTCAGGATGTTCCTTATTTCAACAGATCCATGTTCCAGCGTCAGGATCTGAGGTTTAATCCCACAATCCACTGCAGATCAAACCCAACGTTTAAAACACTGTTGTACAAGTGACACTGCAGCAGATTATTAATTAAAATCTTCTGCATAAATAAACTTTACATGACTAAACTTTACAATATATAAAACATAACGACTCTAGAGCCACATCAGCCCGTTTGAGATAATAATGTGTTTAATGCAGTTTTGCGCACGTGTGTTTACATTTTACAGAAACGAAACTTAAGCACATGGCTCATTTGCATAAACAGCACTTCTCATGCAGCTCAGCTCGTTCAGCTTCTTTTGGGCTAAAGGACGCGACTCGGTGGAACATGAGGATGAGCTGCTGGTGGTTTTGTCTGTAAATGGTGGAAAAGGTTCGTGGTGCTTGAAGCTTTTCACTGGCACCAACTTTGGGCGTTCAGGACGACAGTGACGAGTGAAGGAGACACGAGCAACAACATCAGGGAGGAGGAGGCGACGAGGGAGAAGATAAACAAGTGAAGCGGCAAAATCAGAATTGAATATAAGCATTATATCGATATGTACGATATGTCAGAATTCATATCGAGTTTATCGATATATTTAAAATATCAAGATATCGCTCACCTCTAATTGAGACATTACGATAGAGTGTAAAGTGTAGGGCTGGGTATCATTAAGAAGTTGCCGATACGATACATATCTCGATACATAGGCCACGATACGATACATACCTTGATACACAGGCCACGATACGATACATAACTCGATACACAGGCCACGATACGATACATACCTCGATACACAGGCCACGATACGATACATAACTCGATACATAGGCCGCGATACGATACATATCTCGATACATAGGCCGCGATACGATACATATCTCGATACATAGGCCGCGATACGATACATAACTCGATACATAGGCCGCGATACGATACATAACTTGATACATAGGCCGCAATACGATACATATCTCGATACATAGGCCGCGATACGATACATAACTCGATACATAGGCCGCGATACGATACATATCTCGATACATAGGCCGCGATACGATACATACCTCGATACATAGGCCGCGATAAGATACATACCTCGATACAGTGATCTTTCGATTCAATATGATATATTTCAAATCGATTCGATACAGTTCAGTAAAAATAAAGGCTAAATCCTGTCTGTGATACTAAAAGTCTTCAAAAAGTTCATATGAAACACAAACATTTTAATCGTCAAAACAGTGAAAATGTCAAATGTGTCGCATAAAAAAGTTTCCTTCCCCTAAACAAGCAACAAAACTGTAGCTCTGTAACAAAATAATTTAGTAAAATATACCAAAAATACTCTTGGTGCGATATCGATACAACAGCCCACGATATCGATACTGTATCATCACATTAAGCGATACGATAGATCGATATTTCAATATTTTTGCACACCGCTAGTAAAGTGCATTTAACAATCACACTTTACTGATAGTATAAAAAAAAAGCCTAAAAGAGCCACAACAGATCAAAAACCAAATGTAACATTGCTGTAACTACAACTAGTATCCACGGTTTCAGAATGAGGAAAAGTAGCACAGTGACCATAAAAATGAACAATTAAAAAGAGCAGCATTAAGTTTTCCATCTTTTGAACGGTGAAAAGTGCTCAAAATGATTCAGTGAGTGGCTGTTAATGTATGTTAGATGATGGTGGTGACGGATGAGGATAATTAAAGTAAAAACCGTAGTCGTACCGTTGATTCTGTCACTAGTGTCTGGTTCACTGCACACAGAGACTGTACCATTGACCCTCTCGTTTGGGTCGGACTCGGGCCTCATCAGAGCGGCTCTCCTCTGCTCCGGGCGACTGTACGCCTCCTCGTTCTGCCTGTGCATCCGCTTCAGGTCAGCTGGAGAGAGACAACATGGAAACAAAAACATCAGAACAAGAACAGAGGCAGAGGAGCATAAAGAAAAAGCCAATATGGTGGAAGTCAGTACTAAACCAAGACTAAACCAGGTCTAAAGGTTCTTTCACACCGACAGCAGTTGATGCACCAAATGTTCCCTTTGAACCAGAAGCTCTTCGTTCGGTTTGTTTTTGCTGGTGTGAAAGCTCCAGTCACACTCAGATCCGCACTAAATCAAGTGGACCGAGACCACCTCTTTCTTGAGGTCTCGGTCCACTTGACTCTGCACCAAACACCAAACTCTGGTGCGGGTCCCTCAGGTGAGAACCCCAACTCAGGTCCAAACCAAAGACTGTAGGTCCAAACGAACTATTTGAACGCTTCATGGGAGGAAATTAGGGCTGGTATCATTAAGAAGTTGTCGATACGATACATATCTCGATACAGTGCAGTTTCGGTTCGATACGATTTATTTCAAATTGATTCGATGTCACAAAAAAAAAAATCCTTCCTCTAAACAAGCAACAAAACTGTAGACTAAACTAAATAATTTAGTAAAATATACCAAAAAATACTCTTGGTGATATATCGATACAGCACCCCATGATATTGATACTGTAGCATCGCATTAAATGATACAATATATCGATATTTCAATATTTTTGCACACCCCCAGAGGAAATACAAATTATGTCATTTCCTGTTTGTGTTGAGTGAAGAAGACATGGGGCAAACCTCAAACGGAGGCAAAACGTGGGCCTCTGAAGAAATTCAAGCCCTCGTGGACATCTGGTCGCATGAACACATTAAAGAACAACTGTCATCAAGGCACAAGAACATCGAAATATCATCATCGAAATATTTGCTATCGAGCCCCCAGCCCCGATGGAGTGGGGACTCCCAATTGATGTCAAAGCGACCCTCAGACAGGCAAGGTGAGTTCAAAGTGTCGCCGATCAATGTGTCTGCAGTTCACATTAGTTCTCGCGACAGTGTTATTGATCGAAGCACGAGCCGAGTGATCCACCGCTAAAAGTTGTTTGTTTGTCTCGGTTTGGGTTGAGACCAAACTCTCCGACAGGGTTGGTTTGAAGCGTCGGGAGATGACGGAGGCCCGTGGGTACTCCACATGGGGGGGATCTCGGACCAGGCTACCCCCAGACCGCGCTGGACTTTGTTAAGGTTCCGAGTGTCAGGATGCGCCCAGAGGATGCACAGTCAGTAGTATAACTGCATTACGTTTACGATTCCCTGTGCTGTCGTCAGTGTTGGGGAGTAACAGATTACATGTACCGGAGTTATGTAATCAGAGTACAAATTATGAGTAACTGTATTCAGTTACAGTTACTGTTTCAATGAGTGGTAATTGGATTACAGTTACTTTGTTGAAATAAATGGATTACATGGCGGTATTTTCCTGTTTTCACATTTTGGGCTAAACCAGGACTAAACCAGGACTAAACCAAGATTAAACCAGGACTAAACCAGGACTAAACCAGGACTAAACCAGGACTAAACCAAGATTAAACCAGGACTAAACCAGGACTAAACCAGGACCAATTTGAAGAGAACAAATGAGAATTTTCAGGATGTGGTTGGTACATGCATGTAGTTTAAAAAAAACATGACAATATCAAGTAATCAGTATTCAGATTACATCACTCACGTTAAGTAATTTAATGGATTACGTTACAAACTACATTTTGGGATATGTAATCTGTAATCTGTAGGGGAATACATTTTAAAAGTCACCTTCCCAACACTGGCTGTCCTTCAGTGGGGCCCCTCATTCAATTCACACTGTGTGTGTATAGTACAGGAGTGTAGCATCAGTGTGTTAGTATATTTGTAGTATAGTTATATTACCTATAAGATTCCCTGTGCTGTCCCTGAGCGGGGCCCCTCCTCCTCCTCGGCCCCAGGGCTCGTGTCTCCTCAGATCTTCCTCCAGCTGAGCCTCGTGCCTCTCTCTCTCCTCTCGCTCCACACGTCTCTGTTCCTGCCGCTCCTGGATCTGAAACAACACAATAACACAACAAAACAACATTAAACATATTTACAACAAAACCTGCAACTGCACATGAACATAAAATATGGTACTTACAAAACAGTTTTAATATTATTTCTATTTTCGATTAATGTCAGTTACTGCGCACGTTTTTATTTTTTTTGGCCTGTCCCCACGTGTCAGTGACTCATTGAAAATCACTGTGGTGCAAAACATGTAATTATTTATGAAAACAGTAATAATAAACAAAAGGACAGATCTCTCCTCTGCTCCAGACATAAAAAAATAAAACAGAGTGTCTATTTGCACCCTGGTGTTAATAGTTCAATGGACAAGATTCTTCTATTTACACCCGTCTCAAGAAAAAAGGGAACGGTGACGTGTCCGCTGACGTCGTTTCCTGTGAAAAGTGCGGGAAGTTGGATTTGAGAATCCAGAGAAATAAAATTCTAAACGAAGGTCAGGTAAGGTAAAAGGTAAGTCAATGCTGCTACAAAATATATTCGCAATGCCTGTCTGACCATTATTATTTGGGTAATTAAGTTGAAACTTCACACAGCATCATGGGCAGTTTATTTAGATTGTGCGATGTAGAGTTAGTGGTTATGTCAGTTGATCTGTTTATTCAGCAGTTTAAGTTCAGCCTCGAGTAAGAGAATGGAAACATTAAAAGTGGTTTAAATGTAAAAGCATTTGGCCCTCATAAGCACCAGCAAACAAACATTTAAGATGTCCATTTTATGATACGATATTTTGATATTTCAGTATTTCAATATTTTTGCACACCCCTATTCACTATGTGCAGTTATTTATAAGAAATGCTTTAGAATTCTCACTGAAATATTTTTACAGCTGTATTTCTTTTTATAGAATGATAAACATTTGTCTTGTTTTCCAAAGCACTACAAAAAAACTACATTTTAAAGTTCACAAAAACACGTAACAAGGGAAAGTCACAAACGGGCAGAGACGGGGTTTGGCTGGAGAAAAGTAAAACCACATTAACTATTGGAGAACAGGGATAAAACCAGCACATTCCTACAGGGATGAAGGACTTTTCTAAACTGTTTCTACATTTGGGAAACATCTGTGAAATACCTGGTCCAAAACTGTGCTCAGATCTTCATTTGAAACGTCCTGCCAAAATATTACAAACCAAACTGTGGGACATTCAAGTCAAAGGTTTAACATCTCCATAAAGACAGAAGCAGGTTGCAGAAAGGTTCCGCAGAGCCTCTTTAAATCCCCCGTGTGTACGTGGGCGTGTTTGTACCTGCTGTTTGAGCGCGTCTCTGTAGTTCAGGATTCTCTCTCGGGCTGACCTGGGTTTGTCTGACGGAAACGGAGCCACGCGAGAGTCCGCGGTGGTCACTTCAGGAGGAGGACTGAGGAAAAGTAGCACAAGAAACATGAAAAACAACGAGAAACGAGAAAAAAAGATAATAAGAAACATGCAGGAAATGTGTTAAAAAGAGTGAATATTCTGCTGAAAAAAAACTTCACATACTTTTTAACGTTTGTAGTCATGTTATTTGTTATTTTGACAATGTAGAAGGAATTGTTGTAATTGTAATCTACATAATACCAGACATTTAATGAAACTATTCAATGATAAAGTCAAAATATGCCTGCTTTTATATCTTGTGCACTCACTGTGGTGGAGGGTCTGGGAAGCTGCTCTCGCTGTGCTGGCTGTGAGGACTGTGGTTTCCATAGTGAGTGGAGACGGCGCCCCCAGGAGGCACGTTCCAGTAAGGCACGTGAACCCCACCGGGGACGGACAGGTGGTTATCTGGGAGATAACAAAGCAACAGAGGTTTAATGTGAAGTCGTGTGCGGAGTGTACGCGGTGTCAGGTGCACTCACAGAACGGGGTCTGTGGTTCCGGAGGGTTCCTGCTGTAGTAGTGATGATGATGAAGAGAAGGAGGAGCTTCATAAGGAGGACTTCTGTAGACGTCTCCCAGAGTGGACGAAGGGTGAGGAGGATACAGAGAAATCCTACGATGAGGGAGGATCTGGTTAGAACTAGGGACAGGCATTCGAAGAAATTTCCTTAATCGATCGTCGGAAGAATTAACGATCGATTATCGATTAATCATTAACGTTTTTATATTAAAATGATTATCATTATTATTACTATCTGCACTACTAATCTGCATAAATAAATTCAACTTTACGACATATAAACCGTAACGACTCTAGAGCCACATCAGCTGTTTGACATTATAATGTGTTTAATTCAGTTTTGTTCAAATCTCACAGAAACAAAACTTAAAACCACATCACTAATTTACATAAACTAAGTGAAGATAAAACTCCAGCTCTTGTGTCGCTGATGTGGTTCAACTTGTGTCGGATTAAAAGACATGACTCAGGTGAATACAGGTTAGTGTGACCAGATTTGTGTTTGTCAAAACCAGGACAGCGTACGGGGGGAGGGGGGCGGGGCCTCGACATCCACATTGAGCGACTCTCACCTGGAAAAACCTTTTCCCACTGGACACAGAAACATATGTGCTGCTTTATACACTGTGCACATGGACTCACACTTGTCCCAACGCAACGGAAAGTGTGGAATTTCTTGTACAAATCATCGTTAAATCCACATTTGTGCTTCGGTTCGTTACAGACTGACCCACTGTTTGTGTCTCGCTCCTTCTGATGCAGAGACACATGTACACACCTGTTTGGTCACGACACACACAGCAACATACAGTCAGTTTGTCGATTAAAATTAACATAATCGATGAAATTCTTGATTAATCGATTAATCATGCCCATCCCTAGTTAGAACCTTTGATTACTACTACTACTTTACTACTTTATTCCAACCTCTCACTTTTACTTTTGACTGTAGGGTCATTCTGCGCCATTTCATTAAGTTTCCAGAAAATTTCACGCATCGTGTTTTTAAATTTTTTTTTTTAAATTACCAGCTGGTCCCTTACTATCATGTACCAACCCTGTGAAATTTTAGTCATTTTCAATCAAGACGTTTTAAGTTACAGCTCATTTAGTGAGGGGAGTATGTGTCCATTTACGGGCCCAAAATGCAAGTCATTTTTTCTCGGCCGTTTTCACAGGTCGATATCTCCGTAAGTATCACACATACAGAGCTGACATTTTGTAGGCTTGTGCTTCTCTAACTCTGTGTTCAAATAACATCTATCGAAAGTTTGGTATCTCAACTCATTGTCATTTTATATGAACTTAAAAATGACAAAAAACTTGTTCATTTCCATGGCCTACCATTTTTAGCCCCTGTTTAAACCTACTCATAAGTGTAGGAGACCCTTAATTTTTTTGAGAATCAAGATATGGACTAGGACTGTTAAAAAAAAAATCACCAAATGTTGAAAATTTGAAATAGGTTATGTGTGAGGGTCCTGTTAGCCTTAAAAATACGGTAACTACTCTGTTTAGACCAGGGGTGTTTACACTTTTTCATCATGTGAGCTACTTACAAAATGACCAAGTCAAAATGATCGACCTAATACAAAGTCAAACAAACTGCACTGAAACACTCTGTGCCCCTTTTTTGGACCCTCCCCCACAGTTTGAGAACCTCTTCTTTAAGAGAACTTCCTCTGGCACTTTACACAAAACTGTGAAAAAAGTGAAGGAAGATTTTTAAACCTGTTTTTTAAAGTTCCAAACTGGAGTTTCATTCTTTTCTGGTTTTGCAGTGATATTTACCAGCCTCTGCACGTTTACCAAACCAAACGCACATCGTGACAAACACAGATGCATTTGTCACTTTTGTTAGACAAACTTCAGCCAAATGTGGCAGTAGGTCTGTTCTGTAGATCCGCTCTATGCTGTAGACCTGCTTTGTGCCAACACTGGAACACAAATTTAGACTGGTTTTTGCTTCACGTTTGGTCTTGCTCTTCTAATCAGCCGCACTGTGGGAGGGGCTTGTGTTGGCTGTACGCAGGAAGGAGCGAGAGCGTGAAAAGGCGAGGGGCGGCGTGCTGACGTGAGGCAGGTGGACAGGTAGGATGTTTAGGAAGTTGAACCTGCCCTGTGACGCACGCTGGTACACGAGGGCACACGCTGTCGCAGACGAGCCGTGCATAGGGAGCGTGTGTGTTTGTGATGCGCCGTAGAGTCTCCGCGGGTTTCAAATGAGCGCACAGGCTGCACTGAGACGCCCCACACGCTCCTGCACCCGCTACAAGTTTATTACCAACAGCAGCGGCCGGAATGAAATATGATCACACTTGTTGAGTGTCAGACCTCGATTGAGAGACAAGACCGAGTCCAAACGCGATCGAGTCCGAGACGAGACACGGCGATCTACCCACACGACCTTGGCAATCGACTCGACTGGTAGATCACGATCGACGTATTGAGCACCCCTGGTTTAGAGCGTCTTTTTGTTAATCGTTGTAAATATCCTCCTTGTGTTAGTTCAACCTTTACATTCCTTTTAAATAAATTATAACTTTAGTTTTACCACTTTTACATATTGGTTCTTTTGTTACTTCCCCTGTCCCTAGCAGCGCTGGGTCGAACCAAGCGCCAAGGTGGAAGATGAGCGTACTGCGTGTTCTATGTTAATGGAGAAAAAAAAACAAGGAAACCTATCAGACACAGGGAGAACATGCAATGACAGAGAGGCACAGTTTGCTTTGAGACAAGAGAGCTAACCACTCTGCCACTGCGCCTTGTCCCGTCAAAGGTTTTCTTTTTTCGTTGTTACAGTTAAAAGATCCATATTGCGCCGTTTTCCTCGTCACAAACAGACCTGGAGTTGTGTTTTGTCTCACACGTAAACACATGTTTAACCCCGCAGATTTTTACCTGGGGGTGTCCATCGTTCTGGGGTACACCGGTCCGTTCGGCTGGTTCACCGAGTACAGCCCCAGAGCCGAGCCGTAATCCAGGATAGGGCTCTGGAAGGCCACAGGGGGGAGCTCTGGAGCTGGAGTCTCCTTATCCGCCACGGTCTTCATATTCACGGGAACAAGAGGAAAGTCTGTCTCCACGGCCGCTTCTCTCCTCTCCTCTCTCCGTCGCTGGAGACCAAACTGCCTGATCCGGTCCGGCTGGGAAACAAGAGGCAAACAATAAGAAATACACTATAGAAATGTAGAAATATATAAGTTAATTTCAGAAGTAAATTTTCACAAACAAAGATGACAAAGCACAAGTTCTTAATGCCCAATTTCAGCTAAAAGCAAAAGAAGAACTGTCAAATGTTTCTTGCTATTGGTCTTTAAGTAACTTTTCTGGTAGAGGCCGCGCCAGTTACTCGTCTCCAGTGTCGGGAAGGTGACTTTTAAAATCATATTCCCCTACAGATTACAGATTACACACACCAAAATGTAGTTTGTAACGGAATCCATTAAGTTACTTAAAGTGAGTAATGTAATCTGATTACTTTGGATTACTTGATTTGCTGTAGAGAAACAAAGACGAGGAAATCTTCACATAAGAAGTTTTGTCTGATAAAAGAAAATAAAAAGTCCAGACTTTACTGAACCAAATTAAAAATATTATTGATCGAAGATGAGGAGACACGGTCCACTCCAACTGGTTTAGTCCTGTTATATTCTGTTTTAGACCTGGTTTAGTCTTGGTTTAGTCCTGGTTTAGACCTGGTTTAGACTTGGTTTAGACTTGGTTTAGACCTGGTTTAAACCTGGTTTAGACTTGGTTTAGACCTGGTTTAGACTTGGTTTAGACCTGGTTTAGACCTGGTTTAGACCTGGTTTAGACCTGGTTTAGACTTGGTTTAGTCTTGGTTTAGTCCTGGTTTAGACCTGGTTTAGACTTGGTTTAGACTTGGTTTAGACCTGGTTTAAACCTGGTTTAGACTTGGTTTAGACCTGGTTTAGACTTGGTTTAGACCTGGTTTAGACCTGGTTTAAACCTGGTTTAGACTTGGTTTAGACCTGGTTTAGACTTGGTTTAGACCTGGTTTAGACCTGGTTTAGACCTGGTTTAAACCTGGTTTAGACTTGGTTTAGACCTAGTTTAGTCCTGGTTTAGTCCTAATTTAGTCCTGGTTTAGACCTGGTTTAGACTTGGTATAGACCTGGTTTAGTCCTAATTTAGACCTGGTTTTAGACCTGGTTTAGTCCTGGTTTAGTCCTAATTTAGTCCTGGTTTAAACCTGGTTTAGACTTGGTTTAGACCTAGTTTAGTCCTGGTTTAGTCCTAATTTAGTCCTGGTTTAGACCTGGTTTAGACTTGGTATAGACCTGGTTTAGTCCTAATTTAGACCTGGTTTTAGACCTGGTTTATTCCTGGTTTAGTCCTAATTTAGTCCTGGTTTAAACCTGGTTTAGACTTGGTTTAGACCTGGTTTAGTCCTGGTTTAGTCCTGGTTTAGACTTGGTATAGACCTGGTTTAGACTTGGTATAGACCTGGTTTAGTCCTAATTTAGACCTGGTTTAGTCCTGGTTTAGGAATTACCTAAAAAAAAAAAAAAGGGCCCAAAATGTGAAAACAGTAAAATCCCTCTGTTTAATCCATTTACTTCAACAAAGTAACTGTAATCCAATTACCACTCACTGAAACAGTAACTGTAACTGAATACAGTTACTCATCATTTGTACTCTGATTACTCCGGTACATGTAATCTGTTACTCCCCGACACTGCTCGTCTCCATGGTTATTGCTCTGCCTGGAATGTCACCTCTCCACAGAGCTGACCTGTAACCTGGTCTGGTTGGGTCTCAGTGAGGACAGAAAGCACCTTTAAGTTTTTACACAGAACTTTACTCAAAAGGTTTAAAGATACTGACTAAAGACTTTTAAATAGAGTAAATACGAATAAAGTGTATTACAGATAAGTAAATACTAGGGGTGGGACTTGATTTAAAAAAATATCAAATTAATTACAGGCCCCAAAAGCAACATTTATTTTATGTAAATTAATTTTAGTGGATGACTTCATCAAATAATAGACGCTTTTAAACTCAAGCTCTTTTAATATCTGGGAAAATAAATTGCATTTCATTACTAAAATCATAGACAAAGGTAAAGTCCCTGTCCAAAACTGAAGAAACTAAAGTTAAAGTGTCATTTTACTTTCAGTTGTTTCCTTCTGAACGTCGTGTTTCTGCGTTCGCTGTTACGTGTTTTGTATTTAAATCGTGGGGATCACAAGGTGGTTCTGTTTGAGAGAAGAACTCAGTCTAAATCTGCAGGGTTTGTTTGTTAAACATGTGTGAATGAAACAAAACACAAGTCCAGGTCTGTCTGTGACGAGGAAACTACATTAGAACATCAGAAATTAGTGTAAAATGGGCCCTTTAACCACAGACATATTTGTATCTCTGGAAACCTCAGACTCTGAACTCTTCATTTCTGGATGTTTAAATGTGATTCAACTCATTTACAGGTTTATAACAGCTCACTGAAAATGAGAGTTTACCTGGTCAGGTGAAAAATAAAATAAAAAAAACTACATTCAGTATCTGATATCTGCATGTTCTGAGAACTATATTCATAACAAAATTTAAAATATACTTTGTCCAAGTATTTAAACACATTTCATATCATCACATACAGTAAAGCCAAGTGTTCACCTGTTTTTACCTGTTGTTCACCTGTGTGCACCTAATTCATTTTTTCCATTTAACTTATTCAACTCATTTATCTTATTATAATATAATAATAAAACTCTTCCCCGTCAGTGTGTGTTCAGTATTTGTCATCTTGGTCACTTTCTCGTGTGCAGAGCTCCACATAAGAGTTTGTTTCTGTAGTGATTCTGTCAAACATCGCATCTTGGAAAAAAAGACTGAAATATTTTAAAGGACTCGCCTGAGAAACATCCAGATTTCAGGGCAGTTTTGGTTCATAATCGAGTATAAAGCCCCTGGATAGTTTGTTTGGACATCGCAGGACTCCACACAGACACATCAGCGACATTCTCACCTTCGTAAGTTTCACTCTCTGAAAGTCCGTCACTGTCACTGTTTTCCACTTTATAATCAACTTCATCATCACTTTAAAATCTATAAAAGTCTCTTTCTCTAAACTTATCCATAAAATACGTCCACTCCTCATTATTTCTAAAACTGTGCGCCGCAGCACCGCGATCTTTCCATTGCTCTTGTTTCGTGTTGTGTTTTTTTCCGGAAGCTACAATCGTCACTACTTCGATTAACGGCGAAAACATATCCTTGAATCCTATTGGTCAGTCTAGTGTGGGTTGTCGTGGCTCCACCTATCACAGCCTCTGTTTACATGTGAAAAACCAAAACCGTTTCTAATGATCGTCAAATCACGTCTTTAGTGAAACAGCAGGAGTCAAAACACGTCATTAAGGAAACAAGGAGGTCGTCAAATGTCGTCTTCATGGGGGAAAGAGTTAAGATTGTCAACTAAGATTTTGTTTTGTCATTTTTCAGTTTCAATTTTTTATTTACCAGTTTCTCTGGATCATTTGCTCCGGTGGCAGCAACTTTCAGCTCCAGTTCTCTCTCTCTGTAAAAAATAAAAATACAAAAGACGAAAAGTTAAATTTGTTTTCTATAGTTGATTTTTTTTCTGGTCACTTAATTTTTATTGAAAATTTTGCTCAATACGAGGACACACACCATCAAATAAACTTTACTTACTTTTTTTTACCCTTATCTCGTTTCTTCAATTAACGTTAACCAATCCTCTAGCAAAGGTCAGTCTTTTCTTTTTTTTTATTTTTTTTTTTTAAGTTCAGTGTTTTTATTCTTCGCACAAACACAAAACATTAAACGATGATTTGAAATAAAAGACTTTGTTCACATTCGGAAGGTTCCAAAAATGTTAAAGTTTAAACCAGTTAAATTCAAAGAGACTCTCTGTCCCACCTGATGATGTCATCAGGTGGAGCTCCTCTGGGGTTTTAAAGTCCCACGTCACCTTCACCTGACACATTCTGATCCTTTTACGTAAAAGACGACGGAAATAAAGTCTGAGGCTGAAAAGACGAAGAATTGACTCTGAAACAAGTTTAGACCAACATGTTTTTTTTACTGTCTGGAATAAAATCTTAACGTTTACAGGAGAGTTTTTATTCTGAATTAAATCTTTCTCTTGTTGTTTTGTGTTAAACTGGTGAAATGTTTTTGATTTAATGTGTGTGAGCGTCTGGGGGGGAGGTTCGGTTTGTCGTTCCTCCACAATCCGAGTGTCGTTTCGTTCATTTGTTTTTCAAAATAAAACCAAAAATAAGAAAATGAAAAATCCCCTATTTTCTTCATTATTTGTCTCCAAAACCAAAATGAAAAAAAAAAAAAAAAAGAACATTCCGATTCAAAAACAGAACGATTCATTTCTTTCAGTTTTCAATTTTGTTTCCCGTTTACGTGACTTAAACTGAGATGCCGGACCGAACCAGGACCAAGACCAAGACCGGGACCAAGACCAGTTTAGTTCTGGCTTAGTCCTGGTTCGGTCGTTATCCGTTTTTTCCATTTTTTCTTTTTTTTTTAGCAAAGGTGGGTCTTTTCTATAGCTGATTTTATTGTTGATTCCAAAAAAAAGAGATATTGACGGACCTTTTCTTGTTCCTGAGTTGCTCGGCGATCTGCTCCTGAAGCTCTTTCCTGTAGCGTTCCTTCTTCTTCTGTAAAATCTCCTCCGTGTTCGCGGCTCCTGCGACGTCAATAAAAATCAAAGTATTGTCTGACTAAATTCTGGACTTTCTAATTTCGTGGAATATATCCGGACACGTACCGATCATGAGGCCGGTCGCAAACTCCTCGTCTCCGCTCCGCGTCGCTGCTTGAGATCGTCGTCCAAACCGGATGTCTCTCTTCTCCCTGAACACAACACGGACAAGTTGTAATTGGTTGCATTTTTAAAAAGTACTCTATGTAACTTATTCTTATTTCTTATTGTATTTATTTGTAAAGGGACAGTACATATTAAAGGTTGTATGGAGGATTTTGTTTTGTTTCAAATTGTCAGTGATAGATTATAGATGCAGTAGCCTTGTAATTATGATGACCACAAAAAAAAAGAGAATAAAAATTCATCAACTCTGGACGTGGTGGGGCTAAACATTTGCCAATAGATAACGACACTGACTCGTTATCTGTGAGCTGACAGGCTGTCAATCAAACTCCCTACGTTTCTAGTGTAACTGACTTGCCTGCGCTGCCGTTACGTGGTTTACGTACGACTGTCACACAGTCCACAGACGCAAGACGCACAGACGCTGTTTACTCCACCAACGCAACAGTTCTTAGCGGCTTTTTTGACCTATATCTTCCTCGCAGTTCACACAAAGTTTGTTGCGATGGCGACAAGAATCCAGGAGCAGTTCACCCCAAAAGAAAGTCAGTTTTTGAGGTCGCTGAAAGAAGAAGACAAGAGGAAAAGCAGCGAAGCCAAACTAAGGTGATGGAGATTCATTCCAGCGATGGCGCAACTGAAGCAGACGAAGGGTCTGAAGACTGACGCACTGGTCCACAAATTACTCCTGGACAGGAAACTTCTGCTTATTATGAAAACGTACTTTATTTCCAAGAGCTACACAAACGTTTTTCAGGACACAAATGCGATATCCTATGTCTGAAAACATAATTTTCAAGGCAAAGAAAAGAGTCCGCTTGGTGCTGCGTGTTGTAGCTAGTTCATTCACACTGAATCTCCACGCAACCTTTACTGCTCCTCTCCCCGCTCCCCGTTTTGCTCTTCTCCCTGCTCATCACTTCGCGCACAGAATCTCCGCGCACCGCTCCCCTCTCCTCTCTCCTCTCCCTGCTCCGCTCTTCCCGCTGCTCCTCACTTCTTTTCCGCACACGAAATGTCTGCACACCCGCTCCCCCCGCTCCTCACTTCTCCACCTTGCCTAACCAACACTGTAGTTAGTTGTTTACAAGTCATGTGCCGCGATGAGGACTTGTTTTCTAGACACAAACCTGTTTCTGGCGTAAGGAAGAGGAAGGAGGAGGCGTTTCTACGTAGGAGCTGTGGGGGGGTTTCACACATGCGCAACATTTGAAAAAGGACAAACAGTCGCTGGATTTCTCGTTCCTTGGAAAATCCTCTATACAACCTTTAATGAACATTAAAAATGTAAATATGCAAAGATTATAGCCAAAGTGGCTCATTTCCATCTTCAGTCCCTCGGCAGGTTGATGTAAAATCATCTATAGGACGAAGAAAAGTACAGCAACAATCACACAAAAGGACACAACACCAGCACACTCACTGTACACACAATTAGTTTCAAACAGTTCATTTGAAGTTCAAAGTCAGAAGTTTAAGAATTAAGTCAAGAGTTAAACCAACAACCCGTCAAAATAAAAGAAAATATAAATTGGTTAAACATGGAGACATATTTGACCATTGAATAACCACTGTTTTAAATCTGTAGAAAATGCTGCCAGTGTTGAAAGTTCTCATATATGAGCAGCTCTGTGTTCATGTTTGAGCAGCTCGATAAGCAAAAGAGATTTGTCCAATGATACTTTTCCTAAACGGCCCAGAGCGTCGCCTCTGGAGCTGCTCTTGTTGTGCGATTTGAATTTTCTTTTCACAAACTCCTTTAGAGGAGGTGGAGCAAGATAATTAAAAACTTTGTAAACCAGAATAAAATCTGCATATTTGATTGTGTTGTCCCAATTTAGTAATTTGTATTTGTCAAGTTTTCTGCGATAGTGATAATTTGTGGGCTTTTTGTCTAATACTTTAAGTGATTTTTTATATATAGTTTCAGCTAATTTAAGAATAGTTTTGTTTGTCAGAGTCCAAGTAGTAATGCAATAATTTAGGTGTGGCAAAATCATTTAATTTAAATACATAAATGCTGAGTTGGTCGTTAGATTATTTCTCGTATGATGAAAATTTGATAAATGACATTTGATTTTATTCACTGTTCTTTTGATGTGTTGTTTGAAGGACAGTTGTGGGTCCAGTGTGACTCCCAGATACTTCACTTCATGGACCATTTTCAGTTTTGTTCCAAGCACAAATACATGTGGGTCTGTATCCATGCCAGGTTTTTTTGAGAAAAACATACTAACAGACTTTGATATATTAAGATGTAGTTGTGAATGTTGTAGCCAGTTTGCAACCTCTGACATAACATTTGACAGGTCGTGTGCAGCTTGCCGTTTCTTCTCCGATTGTCTCTATGGACACGCGACTGCTGTTCCTGAAATGTCCGCCTCTGATCTTATCCATTTTGCTTAAACGTCACGCGTTCTAAAGCTCAAAAATACCGGCGATGCGCTGCTGCAGGTTTTTCTGTTAAAAACTTTGGCTTTGAGTATCTAGGGGTGAGACTGAAAATAGAACTGATTTCCTTTACACGCAAACAGCATAAAGGTAAAACTGTTCCAAATGCTCTGTAAAAGCGCTATGAGAATTAAATATTATGAGACGTTTTGGGCCAGTAAATCATCTTATTACATCAGTTTATACCACAATGAGATATTGGCTAAATCGATATCTTAAAACACAGGTGTCAAACATAAGGCCCGGGGGCCAGATCCGGCCCTCCAAGACCTTTAATCTGGCCCTCGGCTGATTTTCTACTAAAATATTTGAATGATATTTTCTATTAAAATCTTGTTAATTTTCTGTGGTGTTTATCACAGCAGCGTCTCCAGCGTCTCTGTACGTGGCCCCTCCCACCAGAGCAGCACAAATGAAGACTTGTCTCTTTCCAAACGCTCTTAAAGGACGATCGTTTTGACTGTTGACCGTGACACCCTCATCAGAAAAATGTCCAACATGAGAAAAGTGGAGCCGAGTGCAGGATTTTAAAAGAAAAAATTGACTTATTCCTGTTTACATACAAGTTAATGTTAAAACATTGTGTTGAAATTGTATTTTTCTTAAAGTTTCAGGTTGTTCATAATATTATAATATTTTGTAAAAGAAAGAGTTCATCAATTAAAAAAGATTTCTGTAATAGATTTGTGTTTCTCTGCACAAATATTTGAACTTATTGCTATTTTTGGGGGTTTATATGACATGAGTTTTCTGATCCGGCCCGTTTGGGATCAAAGTAGTTTGGATACGGCCCCCGGACCAAAATAAGTTTGACACCCCTGTATTAAAATATATATATATCCAATCCACCAAAATGCACTGCAAATTTTTGAGCTGGAAGATTTTAAAACTTATATCAGGTTACACATCTTGTTTTCAGATTTGTTATCTTCTTACCAGTTCAGAGATGCTTAATTCGAGTTATAGTAGTTTATTTATATAGTTTATTTCAAGAGTGTAGGTCTGCGTAGGGACGGTGGAGACGTGTCACAACCAATATTTGGGGAAGACAAAATAGTCCCTACCCGTATTTGCCACTTTATTTTAATAAACGAAAATATAAATTTATTCTGATATTTTTCCAAACTCAGTAGCATTAACTGAACACGTTTTAGTTCACATTTTGTTTCTTAGACGTTCTGAGATGTATTCAGTGATATGACGACAGGGTTACTCCTGCTGCTGTTTCATTGGCTCCAACAGAGTGATGTCATTAGTGGAGCCAGGAGCCTAAACTGGGGAAGCAGCACCAAACTCTGAAAAAACTTTTCAAAAGGAACTTACTTGGCTTCATCTTCAATTAAACTTGTCTTATAATGAGTCGCCGCGGAAAAAGATCGACTATCACCACAATGGCCTGTAACGATAATCAATAAATCGTACGATAACGTTTAATGCGCTCGATAGAATTTATCGTGGCTGGATAAATTATTTGCATGCTTGTTTGTTTTCCTCGCTCTCTCTCGCTCTTTCTCGCTCTCAAGGAGACTGAATGTTAGACGCTTCTATCTCTCTCTGATCACATGCGTCAAATGCAGCGAGCGCAAACGACGAGAAGAAATTACTCAAACCCCCAACAGCCGATATAAACCCAAACCCGAGCGACAGAACCAGCCTAGCACCTGGGAGAACCCGAAATCCCGAAACCGAACCGACACGATACAGACAGGACAGTGGCTCCCTCATAACGAAATAACATCCTGTGTCGCAGGTTAATACGAACATTTAAGACCAAAATGTCGAGGCCACAGCAGCAGCCAGAGACCAGACACAATATTCCAGTGTAAATCAGTGTCTCAAATCACTTTTAAGGACAGTTTTGTTACAGAGATTTAATAATTCATTTTATTTATTGCTTTGGTTGTGTTTGGTTCAACAGTGGTTTATTCAGGTACAAGTCCTCTCTGTGAGTCAGACACATAAGGTTAGTCCTGTGTGAAGTCGGTTTTATTTAGGCCTGTTGTTTTTGTTTGTCTTACAGTTCCTGTGTTAAATGTTCTTTAGAAAGTAAAGTTTATTGATCATTGAGAGGATGTATTTGCATTTTTATTTCATGATCATTATTTTAGTTGAAATTGGTCTCAAAATGTCAATATTATCGTTTATCGCAATGAATTCTTGGTCAATTAATCGTCCAGCAAAATTTGTTATCGTTACAGGCCTAGACATGACCTCACAAATACCTCATCACCAACAAGCAAAGAGAAATGTGCTACAAACTTCTACATCGCTGTTCTCCACTCAACAATCATCTTAGAAGGACAACGGACACAAACTGAAAAATGAAACCTCCTCTCACTTATTTTGGACCTGCACAGACTCTGTGTTGCCGTGTGCATTAGGGCCGTCGCAATAACCGCAGAAATGAATCACCGCAGTATTAAGAGGCCCACCGCGGTGCATGTTCGGTCACCGCGGTCACCACACGTGACCCATCAACATTTGAGAGTTTTCAGAGCTGCTGGAAATATTGTAACTCCGGAGGATGGGGGATGGGGTGCGATATCATGACATACTGCACTGTTGAGCCGCTATACTGCACCGCAGGAGAAATTCACGAACAACGATAGCCCTAGTGTGCATCATATGAAAAGTAAACAATATTATATAATTCATCTGTTAATAGAGTAATCAATCAGTTGGTTTCATGGGGAATGGACGGTTAACTGATAATGTCCACGCCAAAGCTGAGACCAAACCCACGCCTTTGGTTTATTTTAAGAAAAGTAGTGAAATTATCATTTTACTTGACAAGTTCTAAGTCATTTTCTGATAGTTTTAAGTGTTTGTATCTTGAATTTTGACTAAGCTTTTTGCAGCGTCTTCAAAATGTGCGCTGATATCCGGTACCAGTATCGTATCAGTGCATCCCTAAAAATACTTGGTCCTTGTATTCATGGGGATGGAAATTTACAGCATTAAACACATGGATCTCCATAGAGACAAGGAGGTGACCCGGTGTTACGGCCCCAGGCCTTAGGTCTAATTTGTTTGTGTGATTTTTGCCGACTTCTCTTGATTCCTGCTGCAGGAGCCCTGGTCCGTGATTGGTTGGGCAGGTCGACACCCACCTCACCTGCAGCCACCTCCCCCTATTTAAGGAGATTACCAGCACCTGCTCAGGGCTGCTGGCCTTGGTGGCCAGTCTGCCATTTTGTTTCGTGTGTGTGTGTGTGTGTGTGTGTGTTTAGTTTAGTTCAGTTCAGTTCAGTTCAGTTTTGTCTTGTGCCTTTTTTGATTTGTTCACTTGATTCTGTTCGTGGGCTTATGTGGTTTAATTTGGGGAACTTGTGTTATAGTTTAGTGTGTGTCCCTTAATTTTACCACTCGTTATTGTGTAAGCCTGCGTGACCCCTTTTGTGGCACAAAACCTGTTGTCTGTAGTTTTGTTTCTTAGTTTAGGCTATTTTCTGTATATTTTAGTCTCTTTTGTTAATTTACCTTTACATTCCTGTTAATTAAACATCATTTAATTTATTCAATTTTACATCTTGGTTTTATTTTTGTTAATTCCCTCACCCCAAACAAACTGGGTCGTAACAACCAGCCAGACCAAGTTACAAAGCAGCTGGCAGACTAGGGATGGGCATGATTAATCGATTCATTGATAATTGATCATTAAGAATTTCATCGATTACGTTTTTAATTTTAATCAACAATCCGAATGTATGTTGCTGTGTGTATCGTGACCAAACAGGTGTGTACATGTGTCTCTGCATCAGAAGGAGCGAGACACAAACAGTGGGTCATTCTGTAACGAACTGAAGCACAAATGTGTATTTAACGATGATTTGTACAAGAAATTCCACACTTTCCGTTGCGTTCGGGACAAGTGGGAGGCTATGTGCAAAGTGTACAAGAGCTGTAGTTTTATCTTCTCTTAGTTTATGCAAATTAGCGATGCAGTTTTAAGTTTTGTTTCTGTGAGATTTGTACAAAACTGAATTAAACACATTATAATGTCAAACGGACTGATGTGGCTCTAGAGTCGTTACGGTTTATATGTCGTAAAGTTGAATTTATTTGGTAGTGCAGATAGTAATAATGATGATCATTTTAATATAAAAACGTTAATGATTAATTGATAATTGATCGTTAATTCTTCCGACGATCGATTAAGAAAATTTCATCGAATGCCCGTCCCTATGTCAGACCCCTCACGCTTGAGCCACTGTGAAATCTGTACTACGCCCCACGTCTAGACAAGACCAAAATCTGAACTGCTAAGCCAGGAACCCCGTGCATTTCAGAACATGTTTTTAGAGCTCTAAACTACAGCGTTAGCAGCTTTTACACAACATCAGCCCCCATGGAGAAACGGGGAGGGCATCTGACACACACGGGGACATAAACTACAGGGTCAGTCCATTACCAGTCAGTTTTATTGTTCCCACTCTCCGCAGCGTTGCATTTCTGTCCTTCGTTGTTTTTTGTTTCCGTCTCCAGATCGACGCAGCTCTCTGCTCGGTCCTGCGCCCTCTCCTGCCCCCTGGTGTCCTCTGTGAGCGTGGCAGCGTCTCTCCGAGAAGGCGGACGGACACTGGGGACGAGGGAAGGCTGTCGGAGGAGAAGGTTTGGAGCCGTTAGTGATTATTCAGACCTATAATTATTTACTGACATATTTTCTGAAATGGTTCAATTTTTACCTTAAAAAGCCTTGTGCCGTTGCAGAGGGACAGCGGCTCAGGGTCCCCATAGTCTCTCTGAGCTTTCTGTAAAAACATGTTTAATAAAAAAATGTATCAAAAAAAAAAATATATATAATAATAATAATTTTAAAAAGTATCTTTAACTCTTTCCCCCATGAAGACGACATTTGATGACCTCCTTGTTTCCTTAATGACGTGTTTTGACTCCTGCTGTTTCACTAAAGACGTGATTTGACCACCATTAGAAACGGTTTTGGTTTTTCACATTTAAACAGAGGCTGTGATAGGTGGAGCCACGACAACCCACACTAGACTGACCAATAGGATTCAAGGATATGTTTTTGCCGATTTTTTCCGAAGTTAATCGAAGTAGTGACGATTGTAGCTTCCGGAAAAAACACAACACGAAACACGAGCAATGGAAAGATCGCGGTGCTGCGGCACACAGTTTTAGAAATAATGAGGAGCGGACGTATTTTATGGATAAGTTTAGAGAAAGTGACTTTTATAGATTTCAAAGTGATGATGAAGTTGATTATAAAGTGGAAAACAGTGACAGTGACGGACTTTCAGAGAGTGAAACTTACGAAGGTGAGAATGTCGCTGATGTGTCTGTGTGGAGTCCTGCGATTTCCCAACAAACTATCCAGGACTTTATACTCGATTATGAACCAAAACTGCCCTGAAATCTGGATGTTTCTCAGGCGAGTCCTTTAAAATATTTCAGTCTTTTTTTCCAAGATGCGATGTTTGACAGAATCACTACAGAAACAAACACTTATGTGGAGCTCTGCACACGAGAAAGTGACCAAGATGACAAATACTGGAACACACACTGACGGGGAAGAGTTTTATTATTATATTATTATATTATAATAAGCTGAATTAGTTAAATAAATTAAATAAGGTGAATAAGATTTTTTTTTAAATGAATTAGGTGCACACAGGTGAACAACAGATAAAAACAGGTGAACACTTGGCTTTACTGTATGTGATGATATGAAATCTGTTTAAATACTTGGACAAAGTATATTTTTAATTTTTTTATGAATATAGTTCTCAGAACATGCAGATATCAGATACTGAATGTAGTTTTTTTGTTTTTGATTTTTCACCTGACCAGGTAAACTCTCATTTTCAGTGAGCTGTTATAAACCTGTAAATGAGTTGAATCACATTTAAACATCCAGAAATGAAGAGTTCAGAGTCTGAGGTTTCCAGAGATACAAATATGTCTGTGTTACAATTAAGTTCATGAGGTAAAAATCATTTATAATCAGTCGTGGAAGTCGGTTTTCTTTTATGCAGTGATGCTCTAAGGGGAGCCCCAGTCATATATGTCTGGGTTGTTCCTAGTCGGTGTCCAGGGGGGAAAGAGTTAATGTGACATAAACAGACATAAAAAGATAAAAAATATTTTTTATCAAAAAATAAAAAAGTACTTTACATTTAGGTTTTAGTTTTTCTATAAATTCACCAAATAATCTTGACATTCCCGGTTAGTTGCTGTTCCCACACGTTTGTTTCTGTGTCCTGTATGTTTGTGACGTAAACGTGTACGCGACCTGACCACATCTGACCACAGTTTTGCGTCTTGGACAGTGTCGACAGAAAAGCTACGGCAGAGTGTATATAACTTTTCCACTCTGGAAGGTAAAGGCACTTCCAATAAAATATTTTGTCGTTTTTAGTAGGGATGGGCATGATTAATCGATTAATCGATAATTGATCATGAAGAATTTCATCGATTATGTTAATTTTAATCGACAAACTGACTGTATGTTGCTGTGTGTGTCGTGACCAAACAGGTGTGTACATGTGTCTCTGCATCAGAAGGAGCGAGACACAAACAGTGGGTCAGTCTGTAACGAACCGAAGCACAAATGTGGATTTAACGATGATTTGTACAAGAAATTCCACACTTTCCGTTGCGTTGGGACAAGTGTGAGTCCATGTGCACAGTGTATAAAGCAGCACATATGTTTCTGTGTCCAGTGGGAAAAAGTTTTTCCAGGTGAGAGTCGCTCAATGTGGATGACGAGGCCCCGCCCCCCTCCCCCCGTACGCTGTCCTGGTTTTGACAAACACAAATCTGGTCACACTGACCTGTATTCACCTGAGTCATGTCTTTTAATCCGACAGAAACTGAACCACATCAGCGACACAAGAGCTGGAGTTTTATCTTCACTTAGTTTATGTAAATTAGTGATGTGGTTTTAAGTTTTGTTTCTGTGAGATTTGAACAAAACTGAATTAAACACATTATAATGTCAAACAGGCTGATGTGGCTCTAGAGTCGTTACGGTTTATATGTCGTAAAGTTGAATTTATTTATGCAGATTAGTGCAGATAGTAATAATAATGATGATCATTTTAATATAAAAACATTAATGATTAATCGATAATCGATCGTTAATTCTTCCGACGATCGATTAAGAAAATTTCATCGAATGCCCATCCCTAGTTTTTAGCCACAAGCGTTCTTGTGTAAACAGGTCCTTAGTCCTGGTCTAGTCCTGGTCTGGTCTTGGTTTAGTCCTGGTTCATCCCCAGTTTTTGTTACTTGACTCCTGCTCATACTTGTACTTGGGTCATTTTAAAGAATTACACGGGGATTTCACTTTTCCACTCTTCGACACGACGCTGGAGTCAGGTTCTGTTAAGTGTCTCATGTTTAAATGAGTTCATGTTCCTTCAGAACCACAGAGCCGGAAATATCATGTGACCACAGCCTTTTACCGCACTAGGGCTTTAGTTTCAGAGCTGTCAATCACCCTCTCCTCTGTATCCTGCATTCAGGACTAAATAAGGCCCAAACCAGGACTAAATCAAAACTAAATGAGGACTGAACCAGGACTAGACCAGGTCTGTATCTCCTGTGTTACCTGTGTGATGTACTGCCTGTACTCCTTGCGGCATTCTCGTTGTAGTTTTTGTTTCTTCTTCTCATACTCCAGGCCCAGAGGCAGCCCCAAGTTCGACTCATCCTCTGGATAAATAAATATTAAAATACAGAAGAATAGTTTCTATTAAAAAACTTACAGCTGAGCTAAAAAAAAAAAATGAGAAAGAATACGTGAGCTGTCCATTTCCATCACATTTTATTGAGCTATATCTACTTGAGCAATCAAAATGTTATACAAATGCATTTCTTACGGAAGCCCTGAGAGTTAAGAGAAAAAAAAAAAAAGTGGCAGATCATTTGGGCTCTATTTTCTAAGTGTTTTTTTTTTTTTTACCAACTCAAAAAAAAAAAAAAAAAAAAAAAAATTCTACAAAAAAAAAAACAAAACACCATTCAACGCAAAAGAGAACATAAAACATAAAACTCATGAAAAGACTGTATTCAGCTAGAATAAAAACACACAACCCGGACCACGTGAGTTTCCAACCCCAACCTCCCACATCCCAACCCAGAACCTAACGCCATAAGCCAAATCTCCAACGCCTTGCCAGAACTGAAGTGTGGTACTTATAGGAACACACCAGGAAACCACCAAGGCTCTGAGTGGTGTTTTTTTTTTTTTTTTTTTTCATCAGCCACATCAACAACAAAAAAATTTTTGAATTTTTTTTTTGTAGAATTTTTATTTTTTTTTTTTCAGAAAAAAAAACTGTCAAAAAAAAATGTGTAGAAAAAAATTTTTTTGGAGAAGATTTTTTTTTTTTTTTTTGAGTTGATGAAAAAAAAAAAAAAAAACACTAAGAAAATAGAGCCCAAATGACCTGCCTCTTTTTTTTTTTTTTCTCTTGCCTCTCAGGGCTTCCGTAATTTCTTACAACAGCAACAAAAATATAAATTGATGTATTTGTAAGATTTCAAGATTTGGATAAAAATACGTTAAATCTGAGTTAAATGCAAGCTCAGGGACTGTACCTTGTGCTTGTGTTTCTGGAGGGATGTTTTCTTTCACTGTGGTCACGTTGGATCTTTGGGGTCTGGACTGAAAACAAATGGTTAAAAAACACATTAGTTCAGAGACAGTAGAATGTTTTCATGTATTTAATAACGTGTGACAAGTTGAGCTCCATATAAAGGTATTTAATTAAGTGGCGTGTAGATAAAGTTTTATATAAATAAGTGAGTTTTCTTTCCTCGCTTCCTTTGCCTTGGTTCCTCTCCTTGATCCTCCATTTTTTAGCTGTCAATCAAATGTGTCATATTAATCCGTGTGTCGTTCGTTCATTCGTTTTTCAATATAAACCCAAAAATAAGAAAACAAAACAAAAAATCTATATATATTTTTTCTTCATTATTTGTCTCCAAAACCAAAATGAAAAAACAGATAAAGATTCATTTCCCATTCATGTGACTTAAACTCCAATGCCAGACTGAACCAGAACTAAACCAGGACTAAACCAGGACTAAACCGTTTTCAGTCCTGGTCTGGTCCCGGCTCAGTCCGGCCTCAGTCCCGGCCTCATCCCGCCTCAGTCCCGGCCTCAGTCCCGGCCTCAGTCCCGGTCTCAGTCCCGGCCTCAGTCCCGGTCTCAGTCCCGGTCTCGGCCCCAGTCTGGTTCCGGTCTAGTCCTGGTTCAGTCCTGGTTTAGTTCTGGTTCAGTCCAGCATCTCAGTTTAAGTCACGGAAATGGGAGACAGCCGTTATCCTTTTTTCCCCCCATTTTTCATTTAAACACAAAATCGAAAACTGAAAAAATATGTCTTTATCTGTTTTTTTTTTTTTCCATTTTGGTTTTGCAGACAAAGCATGAAGAAAACAGTTGTTTTTTTTGGTTTTCATATTTTTGGTTTTATTTTGAAAAACGATTTAATGAATGACACACGGATTCATATTAAGAAGTGTCCCACAGAAAATCACGGAGGAATGAGTAAACCTGAGGGAGGCTCCAGGAGCAGACATCAGAGAAAAGAATTAAATGTTACTGGTCTCCACTGTCGGGGAGTAACAGATTACATGTACCGCAGTAATCAGAGTACAAATTATGAGTAACTGTATTCAGTTACAGTTACTGTTTCAGTGAGTGGTAATTGGATTACAGTTACTTTGTCGAAATAAATGGATTACACAGAGGGATTTTACTGTTTTCACATTTTGGGCCTTTTTTTTTTTTTTTTTTTTTTTACTAGGTAATTCCACTCATTGCCGGACACTAAACCAGGACTAAACCAGGACTAAACCAGGACTAAACCAGGACTAAACCAGGACTAAACCAGGTCTAAACCAGGTCTAAACCAGGTCTAAACCAGGACTAAACCAGGACTAAACCAGGACCAGGTCTAAACCAGGTCTAAAACCAGGTCTAAACCAGGTCTAAAACCAGGACTAAACCAGGACTAAACCAGGACTAAACCAGGTCTAAACCAGGTCTAAACCAGGACTAAACCAGGACTAAACCAGGTCTAAACCAGGTCTAAACCAGGACTAAACCAGGACTAAACCAGGACTAAACCAGGACTAAACCAGGTCTAAACCAGGTCTAAACCAGGACTACATTAAGACTAAACCAAGTCTAAAACCAGGTCTAAAACCAGGTCTAAAACAGGATTTAACAGGACTAAACCAGGTCTAAAACAGGACTAAACCAGGAGTAAACCAGGTCTAAAAACCAGGTCTAAACCAGGACTAAACCAGGACTAAACCAGGTCTAAACCAGGACTAAACCAGGACTAAACCAGGACTAAACCAGGTCTAAACCAGGTCTAAACCAGGACTACATTAAGACTAAACCAAGTCTAAAACCAGGTCTAAAACCAGGTCTAAAACAGGATTTAAAAGTACTAAACCAGGTCTAAAAACATTTAACAGGACTAAACCAGGTCTAAAACAGGACTAAACCAGAGTAAACCATGTCTAAACCAGGTCTAAACCAGGACTAAACCAGGTCTAAACCAGGTCTAAACCAGGACTAAACCAGGACTAAACCAGGACTAAACCAGGTCTAAACCAGGTCTAAACCAGGACTACATTAAGACTAAACCAAGTCTAAAACTAGGTCTAAAACAGGATTTAAAAGTACTAAACCAGGTCTAAAACATTATTTAACAGGACTAAACCAGGTCTAAAACAGGACTAAACCAAGACTAAACCAGGACTAAAACCAGGTCTAAACCAGGACTAAACCAAGACTAAACCAGGACTAAAACCAGGTCTAAACCAGGATATAACAGGACTAAACCAGTTGGAGTGGACCGTGTCTCCTCCTCTTCTATCAATAATATATTTAATTTGGTTCAGTAAAGTCTGGGCTTTTTATTTTCTTTTAATCAGACAAAACTTCTTATGTGAAGATTTCCTCGTCTTTGTTTCTCTACAGGATATCAAGTAATCCAAAGTATTCAGATTACATTACTCACTTTAAGTAATTTAAAGGATTATGTTACAAACTACATTTTGGTGTGTGTAATCTGTAATCTGTAGGGGAATATGTTTTAAAAGTCACCTTCCCAACACTGCTGGTCTCAGTGAGGAGTTTATATCCTCTTTCCTCGATTTCCCGCACAATCGAGGAGAATAATCAAGGAAAAGGATGTGAGGAAAGAGAAATGAGACGTGGCCTATTTGCGTGTGTGTGGATATTTACCTTGATCTCCATATACGGCGGGTCAAACTGTTGTAAACTGGCCTTGTCTTTTGCCAGTCGCGCCTTTCTCTCCCTGAGGAAATTCTCCAGATCATCCTCCATCTCCGAGGACGCGGGGTTTAGGGTCAGGGTCAGAAGAAAACCTAAAATAACAAAAGGGTAAAATGGCTTCAGCAAAGTTCACGTTTACCTCAATATCACGTGTGGGGTTACAGTCTAAGTTTTTATTGCCTGTATTTAATCTTTAAGAAGTATTTTTGCCCGGTTAGTTTTATTTTTTTGTGTGATTTTATGATGCAAATGTGTAGTTTTATCACACTACTGATTCTTAAACATACAACTGAGCCTGTTCCTTGACTCCATTTCACTTACTGGAATGTTCCGCAGTATGGCATTAAACTTATATCTAAACCTTGTATTAATCCATTACAAGTGTTTTTCTTGCTCCAAAAATCCCTTCAAAAACATCAAGTCCTGCTGGGAGCGCCTCTCCACAGATCTGAGCTGTAACCCGGCCTGTTGTCATCACTTGCTTGTTTCCATGGAGACAAATACATAAACCAGGTCTAAACCAGCACTAAGCCAGGACTAAACCAGCACTAAACCAGGTCTAAGTCAAGTCTAAGTCAGGTCTAAACAAAGTTTAAACCAGGACTAAGACAAGACTAAACCAGGACTAAACCAGGACTAAACCAGGTCTAAACCAGGTCTAAACCAGGTCTTAGCCAGGTCTAAATCAGGTCTAAACCAGGACTAAACCAGGTCTACGTCAAGTCTAAGTCAGGTCTAAATGAAGTTTAAACCAAGACTAAACCAGGACTAAACCAGGACTAAGCCAGGACTAAACCAGGACTAAGCCAGGACTAAGCCAGGACTAAGCAAGGACTAAGCAAGGACTAAAACAGGACTAAAACAGGACTAAGCCAGGACGAAACCAGGTTTTAGCCAGGTCTAAGTCAGGTCTAAGTCAGATCTAAACCAAGTTTAAACCAGGACTAAACCAGGTCTAAACCAGATCTAAACCAGGTCTTAGCCAGGTCTAAGTCAGGTCTAAACCAGGACTAAACCAGGTCTAAATCAGGACTAAACCAGGATTAAGCCAGTACTAAACCAGGATTAAACCAGGACTAAGCCAGGTCTAAACCAGGTCTTAGCCAGGTCTAAATCAGGTCTAAAGTCAGATCTAAACCAAGTTTAAACCAGGACTAAACCAAGACTAAACCAGGTCTAAGCCAGATGTTAGTCAGGTCTAAACCAGGTCTAAATTTATAACCCATCCTGTTGTCATCACTTGCTTGTTTCCATGGAGACAGATACACTTAATACCTTACGGTGTAACACAGCAGGCAAATCAACAACGTCTCCGCTGGAAATGTTCCGCAGTGCAGCTTTAACAAGTAGTTCTAGAAAAGTCTAGAAAAGGGGTTTATCTCGTTTGCCCCCCTGACCCGAATAGACGCAAACAACAATAATAACAACTTAATAATGGAAACATGGAAACAACAAAATGACATCATGTATATAAGTAAAAAGCACAATTTGGAGTAAAAAGAGACGTTTTATCGGCGCTTCTGTTGCTTTAATCCTCGGTGTTGTCAGGCAACGGCAGCTTCCATCCGCGCTAAATGCTAATTCCAGGTTTAATTCAGCGGGAATAATTACCGTTTATTTATTTATTTTTTAAATAGATAACTTTCTTCACGTTATAATTGTGTGAAATTGTTGTAAAACGCCTGTAGATGTGTAAACGCACCAATATTTTGCGACATGTAGGAGCTAAGTAGCTTCCACAGACGTAAACCTGCAGCAAAAGCCACGTTACAATTCCGCTATTTTACCCCAAATCGTGAACTAGAATACGGATAATGAGCGAAAATCAACTGTCTTTATATTATAAAACGGGGTTAAAATCAACGTACCATGGATTAAAAACGCCGCGGAGGGTCTGGTACTGGCCAAAACTGAAAATATTTTGCTGTTACGTTTGAGGTGAAAGAAATAAAACAACACAGAAACAACTTCCGGTTTGTCAAATTAAAAGCGTTTGTTTTCATTTTTGGCAGCGCATTGTGAAGATGTGAAACTACTTAACACGAAAAGTTTTTTGGCATTAATAGTATATATTTAGGAGTTAATATAATATAAATTGTGGGTTTATTTGAGTAGTTGTGAGTTTGAGAGTTCTTATTTTGAAGGCGAATTGTACCGTTTCCTCCTCCCCTTTTTTGAGGCCCCAAACTTCAGCAACACACTGCGTTCATTCACTCTAAAAGTACGAGGACTTTCACACATTTTTGTCATTAAAAATTTGTCATTTTGACATTATGAAAACAAATTAGTGATGGGCAAATGCTACCGAGGCTTCGGAGCTTGTGTCACTCTTCCTGAAGCGGAGTGATTCAAAACGCTGTGTCAGAGCTTGTATCAAAACACCACTTCAGCGATTTAAGATGCATCATTATGCTTCAAAATGGGGTTGTGATTAGATAGAGATTTGGAGAGTGAGTATTTTGGCAAGTTTCATGATAAGTAACACCAATAAACAGCGTTCTGAAGTTTGGGATCATTTTGATCTCATACAACCAAATAAGGTTTAATGCAATTTATGGCATACATTTTATGTTCCTATGTTTGATTTGTATTTTTAATTTTTAAGTGGGTCTCAAAGTTACAATTGCTTGTAGGTGCGGTGAGTTGTCTTACAACAACACGTCATCTATGCTGAGACACTTGCGTGCCAGACATAATAACAATCATACTGAGCAAACCAGTGACCCTGTCAACACTGGACATTCTGAGAGTAAGCTAAATATATAAGCTAAATATATATGTATATATACTGTATATATGTATGTGTGTCTATTTACTGTAGATGTTGTGTATCATATTCATACAGTAACCTTTCTCCCACACAGTGTCCAGAAAACAGATGCTGGATGAGGCCTTAGTGGATGTGATAGTTAAAGATGGTCAAACTTTTTCTACCGTTGAGGATGAAGGGTTTAAAAATGTTATTAAAATCCTGGACCCATCATCCTCCAGTCCAAGATGAAAAACTGTAAATGCAACGGAGGAAGCAAAGTACACTGTAACCAAAGAGAAGGCCTTGGCAGAAAATAAGCAGACGTCAGCTGTTAGAGTGACTGTGACATGTGGACATCAGTCAGCATGGACCTTGGTGTCACTTGCCATTATTTGTCAGACAGCCTGGATCTGACGGCCTGGATCTTTGGTTTGGTAAACGTGCAGCGGCTGGTAAATATCACTGCAAAACCAGAAAAGAATGCAACTCCAGTTTGGAACTTTAAAAAACAGGTTTAAAAATCTTCCTTCACTTTTTTCACAGTTTTGTGTAAAGTGCCAGAGGAAGTTCTCTTAAAGAAGAGGTTCTCAAACTGTGGGGGAGGGTCCAAAAAAGGGGCACAGAGTGTTTCAGTGCAGTTTGTTTGGCTTTGTATTAGGTCGATCATTTTGACTTGGTCATTTTGTAAGTAGCTCGCATGCTGAAAAAGTGTGAACACCCTTGATTTAAACAGACTGACTTTACTAACCAAAGAAAGGCTCTTATTGATGGGCCAGAAGAAGATGTGCCACTGGAGACTGCAACAACATCTGCCAGTGCTGGTGAACAAAATGACAACTTGTGGGCTTTACTGGACAACTCTGTAGAGTCTCAGCACCGCACCAGCATCTGCCAGCGCTGCAGTGGACATCCAGAGGTGTGCATGTGAATTACTGTTGGTGTTGTTGTTGTCCTACTGTCTGTGTTGTAGATATTTGAAAGAACAAATTCTGACAAGAGCAGAGGATCCGCTGAAGTACCGGGTGGCGTGAAAGACTTTATATCCCACGCTGTAAGTATCTGTGCATTCCAGCGTCATCTGTTCCCTGTGAAAGGATATTTTCCAAAGCTGGGGAGCTGGTCAGCCAGAGGAGGAGCCAGCTGAAGCCTGCGACAGTAGAAACAGTTACAGTGTTTTTCTCAACAAAAACCAAACACCATGATCAGTTGCCAGTGTCGGGAAGGTGACTTTTAAACATGTATTCCCCTACAGATTACAGATTACACACACCAAAATGTAGTTTGTAACGTAATCCATTAAATTACTTCAAGTGAGTAAAGTAATCTGAATACTTTGGATTACTTGATTTGCTGTAGCAAGTCTTTGAGCAGCAAAGACCAGGATCTTCACATAAATCTGCTAAAAGATGATAAAAAAGTCCAGTTTTTACTTAACTACTTATAAAAAATATTATTGATAGAAGAGAAGGAGACATGGTCCACGCAGCAGGATTTAGTCCTGTTAAATCCTGTTTAAGACCTGGTCTAGTCCTGGTTTTAGTCCTGGTTTAGATCTAGTTTAGACCTGGTTTAGCACTGGTTTGGACCTGGGTTTAGATCTGGTTTAGACCTGGTTTAGACCTGGTTTAGTCCTGGTTTAGTCCTGGTTTTAGTCCTGGTTTAGACCTAGTTTAGACCTAGTTTAGACCTGGTTTAGCACTGGTTTGGACCTGGGTTTAGATCTGGTTTAGACCTGGTTTTACTCCTGGTTTAGTCCTAGTTTTAGTCCTGGTTTAGACCTAGTTTAGACCTGGTTTAGACCTGGTTTTACTCCTGGTTTAGTCCTAGTTTTAGTCCTAGTTTAGACCTAGTTTTAGACCTGGTTTTAGACCTGGCACTGGTTTTTCCTGGTTTACTGGTTTCCTGGTTTAGTTTATCTGGTTTTAGACCTGGTTTAGACCTGGTTTTACTCCTGGTTTAGTCCTAGTTTTAGTCCTGGTTTAGACCTGGTTTAGACCTGGTTTAGACCTGGTTTTAGACCTCCTGGTTTTAGTCCTGGTTTTAGTCCTGGTTTAGTTTACTGGTTTAGTCCTGGTTTTAGACCTGGTTTAGACCTGGTTTTAGTTTAGACCTGGTTTTAGTCCTGGTTTAGTCCTGGACCTGGTTTAGACCTGGTTTAGACCTGGTTTTAGACCTGGTTTTAGTCCTGGTTTAGTCCTGGTTTAGTCCTGGTTTTAGACCTTTTAGACCTGGTTTAGTCCTGGTTTTTAGTTTATCCTGGTTTTAGTCCTGGTTTAGACCTGGTTAGACTGGTTTAGACCTGGTTTAGTCCTGGTTTAGTCCTGGTTTAGTTTTACCTGGTTTTAGTCCTGGTTTTAGACCTGGTTTAGAGACCTTTATCTGGTTTTAGTCCTGGTTTAGACCTGGTTTAGACCTGGTTTAGACTGGTTTAGACCTGTTTAGACCTAGTTTAGGACCTGGTTTAGACCTGGTTTAGACCTGGTTTAGACCTGGTTTAGACCTTTTAGGTTTAGTCCTGGTTTAGTCTGGTTTAGTCCGGATTAGAAAAATTTAGAAAAGAAATTAAAAAGGGGATTTTATGTGAAAACAGTAAAATCCCTCTGTGTAATCCATTTACTTCAACAACTGTAACTGTCCAATTCCCACTCACTGAAACAGTAACTGTAACTGAATACAGTTACTCATCATTTGTACTCTGATTACTCCGGTACATGTAATCTGTTACTCCCCAACACTGTCAGTTGTGAAGTAGGAAGTGTCTCTAATCCTGTTGGGGACTTTTAGTACAGTTTTTAAATAAGATCAAAACTTTAAATTAACCAACATTTAATCCTTAATAAAATTGCATTTATCAGGGGTCAGAAATATTGAATTAAACTTAACTCACCATTTTTTTGTCCACGTACTTTTACTTGTACGTTTATAAAATCTGTTCAAAAGTACTCCCAGCGTGAACTTCTGAACGTAATATTTTCCTTTTGCACTTTTTACAGTTTCGGCAGCATGACTTGTACTTGTAATTAAGCACAGTTTTAACCCTGACTCTTTACTTTTACTTGAGTTCTAAAAAGAAAAATGTCATGATGAAAATGAAGCTGATTGGTTCGTTTCCTCCACCAGGGGGCAGTGTTGTTTCAGTAATAGTCAGGGCCTTCGCTTCAGTGACGGTGTAGGAGTAAGATTTTTTTTAAACAGAAACTTCTTTATTAAATGACAGAAAATAAAAGTAGACAATTTCATCAAAAAAGACGAATCTACTGAAAGAATGAAAGAAAAAACGTTTATGCAAAAGAGAAAATTCGGTGCGTTCGGAACAGAAGTGCTCAGAAAACTCAGACTGAATAATCCTCCAGAAGCTATTTAAAGGAGCACCGTGGAACTTTTCCCTGACATCTGCTCGTCACTATGGAGATGTTTGACGACTGATTGGCCCGGAACGTTCCACAGTAAAGCATTAAATGTAACTATCCCGATTTTATCCAAATACTGGAGTTGTTATTGGAAAAACAAAACAAAAAAAAACAAAAAAAAGTACATTGGTGGATTGGAGTGAGTGAGGTCGCTGCTCCACAGATCTGAGCTCTGTCTCTCTCTCTTCTCTCTCTCTCTCTCTCTCTCTCTCTCTGCTCTCTCTCTTTCTCCTCTCTCTCTCTCTCTCTCTCTCTCTCTCTCTCTCCTCTCTCCTTTTTCTCCTCTCTCTCCTCTCTCTCTCTCTCTTCTCTCTCTCTCTCTCTCTCTCTCTCTCTCTCTCTCTCTCTCTCTCTCTCTCTCTTCTCTCCTCTCTCTCTCTCTCTCTCTCTCTCTCTCTCTCTTCTCTCTCTCTCTCTCCTCTCTCTTCTCTCTCTCTCTCTCTCTCTCTCTCTCTCTCTCTCTCTCTCTCCTCTCTCTCTCTCTCTCTCTCTCTCTCTCTCTTTCTCTCTCTCTCTCTCTCTCTTCTCTCTCTCTCTCTCTCTCTCTCTCTCTTCTCTCTCTCTCTCTCTCTCTCTCTCTCTCTCTTTCTCTCTCTCTCTCTCTCTCTCTCTCTCTCTCTCTCCTTCTCTCTCTCTCTCTCTCTCTCTCTCTCTCTCTCTCTCTCTCTCTCTCTCTTCTTTTTCTCCTCTCTCTCTTCTCTTTCTCCTCTCTCTTTCTTTCAAGTCGTCGTTTCCTCGTCAAAAACAGACCTGGAGTTGTGTTTTGTTTCATGTTTGAATGACTCTTTATTATCAGTGTTTGGGAAAGGATCTTCACATAAATCTGCTAAAAGATGATTAAAAAGTCCAGTTCTTTACTTAACTACTGATAAAAAATATTATTGATAGAAGAGAAGGAGACATGGTCCACGCAGCAGGATTTAGTCCTGTTAAATCCTGTTTAAGACCTGGTTTAGTCCTGGTTTAAGTCCTGGTTTAGACCTGGTTTAGTCCTGGTTTAGTCCTGGTTTAGACCTGGTTTAGTCCTGCTTTAGTCCTGGTTTAGTCCTGGTTTAGACCTGGTTTAAAAGTAATCTGATTACTTTGGATTACTTGATATTGTGATGCTTTTTTAAAACGACATGAATGTAACAAACACATCCTGAAAATTCATATTTGTTGTCTTCAAATTGTCTGTTGAGTCCCAAGTCTAAATGAACAGACTTTTGTTTGTTGTAGAAAAGCAAAGACGAGGAAATATTAACATAAGATGTTTTATGTGCTAAAAGAAAATAAAAAGTCCAGTCTTTACTTAACCAGATTAAAACTATTATTGATAGAGAAATTATTTTTATTTGAGACACTGCTGCCTTCAGTTATGTTCACCTACTGTTAGTGTCACACTGTTTATTAAAACATAAAATAAAAACACTTTCAGTACAAACAGTAAAAATCTGTAATAATCAGTGTCAGGGAGTAACAGATTACATGTACTGGAGTTATGTAATCAGAGTACAAATGATGAGTAACTGTATTCAGTTACAGTTACTGTTTCAGTGAGTGGGAATTGGATTACAGTTACTTTGTTGAAATAAATGGATTACACAGAGGGATTTTACTGTTTTCACATTTTGGACTATATCCCTTTTTTTTTCTTTTTTTTTTTCTTTTTTTTTCTCGGTAATTCCACTCATTGCCGGTCTAAAAGGTCTAAACCAGGTCTAAAACCTAAACCAGGTCTAAACCAGGTCTAAACCAGGTCTAAAACCAGGTCTAAAACCAGGTCTAAACCAGGAACTAAACCAGGTCTAAAACCAGGTCTAAAAACCAGGTCTAAACCAGGTCTAAAACCAAGTCTAAACCAGGTCTAAACCAGGTCCTAAAACCAGTCTAAAACCAAAAACCAGGTCTAAAACCAAGTCTAAAACCAGTCTAAACCAGGTATAAACCAGGTCTAAAACCAGGTCTAAACCAGGTCTAAAACCAGGTCTAAACCAGGATTTAACAAAACTAAACTTCTTCTATCAATAATATTTTTAATTTGGTTCAGTAAAGTCTGGACTTTTTATTTTCTTTTATCAGACAAAACATCTTATGTGAAGATTTCCTCGTCTTTGTTTCTCTACAGCAAATCAAGTAATCCAAAGTAATCAGATTACATTACTCACTTTAAGTAATTTAATGGATTATGTTACAAACTACATTTTGGTGTGTGTAATCTGTAATCTGTAGGGGAATATGTTTTAAAAGTCACCTTCCCAACACTGGTAATATTTGATGTTTTTAACTCAAAATTATGCAGAATCAGATTATCAACGATGATTATTAATGACCTCGTCCATTGTGTGACTTTGTGATTCTGTTTCTGGCAATGAGTGGAATTATCAAAATATAAAAAAATTAAAAAAGGGATATAGTCCAAAATGTGAAAACAGGAACATACCACCATGTAATCCATTTACTTCAACAAAGTAACTGTAATCCAATTCCCACTCACTGAAACAGTAACTGTAACTGAATACAGTTACTCATCATTTGTACTCTGATTACTCCGGTACATGTAATCTGTTACTCCCCAACACTGATTATCCGTCTCTTTACATCTACAAACCTTAAATGTCGTATTTAATCAGTGTATTGAATGTTGTACAGTCCCTGACAA